AAAGCCACTCAACAGATCAGGAAGGAGGGAAGAGATCCCACGACCATTACCGAAGCCCTCATCCATCTCACGTCCATCAGCAAGACCTCCTCAACCTTCTACTACTCGACGACCATCAATTCCTCAACCTGTACCACGACCTGGCCTTACTCATCAAGCCCAATCATGGGGTTCTTCTTCAACTTCAGCATCCACACGATCAACTGCCAACCATCGTGGAGGTTCTGGATCATCATCATCAGCCCAGTCCATGGACAACCCAAGGTCTAACCCAAACGTTCTGCGTAGGAAGAAGTCATCATTATCCGGTGATGTCAAGACAACACGGACTGGCTCATCTCGTACAGACTCTTCTTCTTCGTCCCAGCATAAGCGCCGAGGCTCACTCGACCCTGCTTTCGGCTTCCATCTGGACAGAGAACTTACCAGCAGCCCTGCCGAGATCCAAATTGCTGAGGTTGTAGAGGTAAAGAAACCTTCCAAATCACCAGTGATCTACCCCGAACTGGACCGTTATCGCAACATTCGACGTCCGTCTGACAGCTCGGATAATCGCATTGAGGTTCCGTTCCGGTTAGCGACACACGATCTTCCACCTCCAACTCCAGCCAGCCTACTGTTTTCTGGAACTAGTGGAAGCCCATCTACTAGGTTCTCCGAGTCACCTGGACCAGGGTCCTATAGTCGTGACACCACGCCAACCTCAATTGCTTCCCAGTCTCCTGGTCTTGTTGCACCCCTTCGCGCCCAGAACAAGAACCGACTGCAAAGTCCTATCCTCAACAGACCTCCTGTGACACGAAGAGCCGGTGGAAGTTTCCCCAACGAGGTTGATGCCATCACTGTCGATCCTCATGGCCTCGCAGCTGTTAGAGAGTCCCTGACTTCATCCTCGTCGAACTCTACCGTTCGAGAAGCCACCATCAAGAAGAAGACCAAGAATCTGCCTCCGTCTCCACCCAGTCCTCCACCACGGAAGTCATCACAGTACTTTCGTGAGGAGACATCGTCGCCCAAGTCGGTACGCAAGGTATCAAGACCTGTTTTACGATCCCCCTCCCCTGAGGGAAGTGCCCAATCTTCTGCCTCCCCAAGAGCTGTGCCCCCTTCACGGCCCAGCAGAGATGGCACCCCCGACATGCAATCTCAACTATTCAACCCCATGCCAGTTATCCACAGCAATCTTTCCAGTCAATCCCTCCCATCAACCGAAAGACGTGGAAGTGAATCTGCGGCTACAGCAGCTCTGTCGCCCCCAAAGCCACAGTACACTCATGGAGGTCGAACAGCATCAACCTCGCAGCTGCCCATCAGAGGCGAGTTGTATGCTCAATCGGCAGCCAAGCCAACCGCCGAATCGAAGAAGCGTAAGGGCCTCGAGCCACCTCGAATGACGCGCACACCGAGCCCTAATGTGGCAACCTCCTCTTTCTCGCGCTTCCCGTTCTTTAGTCGCAAGAAGCATGCCAACGCAACACAAGTCGAGAAGAACGAGAAGGAAAAGAAGACTCTCCGCAAGGGTCCTGTAGCTGGCACAGGCCATGAAGGCTATGGACGCATTGGTGCTCACAAGAGACGCAGCGGCAGTATCAGCAACATGACACGCAATTCTCCTGGTAGTCAAACAACTCAGGAACCCCGTTCTAGCAACGATTCCTTCTTCACAGACCGGGTCAACCCAGTGGTCATCGCTGGAGGTGCGGTTATCGAGAATCGAAATGCAAGCTCTGAAATCTCTCGAAGTGTAAGCTCACAGAGCCTGGCGACCGAGGAGTCGAGATTCGGAAGCTCGCAGTCATTGGCAGTATCTCAAGAGCAGCCTCGAAACACTTTGTGGCCATCGCCCATGTCACGCACCCTACACCCGGCTTTTGGTGCTCGTCGTCCATCCGAGAGCAGTGATTCTGAAGGCCCTACGATGAAGTCCACGTTGGCTTTCCGAAGATCTGTCCATCGTCTCCGATCTTCGCCGGATGATCCCCTGAAGCTGCCTCAACCCATCAACACATCAGGTTATGCATCGTCGTCTATGACAAGCTTTGATACTAGTGTGATGTCTGATGAATCCCACTTCGAACTGCAACGGGAGATTTCTCACGAGGCTAAGACTTCTCACCCTGCACCCAAGAAACTTATCAAGAGATCTCGGTCACCTCGGAAGTGGAATCTATTTGGAAGATCAACCCAGACGCAGCAACCTAAGCAAAGTGAGAAGGTCTCAGCTACTGTCAAACCAGTGGAGAAGAAGCCCCTTGCATTCTACGCCATGATGGATTCGTCAGAGCAAGAGGACAGCGAGCCCATGGACATTCAAGATGTCTTGAGGTTTGCCGAGGTTTACGGAAAGTCACCGAGTGTTGGTGATACTCCCGAGCTTTCGCAAGGTACACCAGAGATGCGGTCGTCAGCCAATTCCCCGGTGCGACCTGTAGAGCCAGCTAGACCCCCAAGGCGTGAGAGCATCGAGATGAAGACCAAGCCTCGGCTGCCTGTACCCCAGCAGACTTTAATGTCCAAGAAGCCTACTCTTCAGCCTCCGTCAACAAGCACCACTGCTGGTCGACGAAGCCGACTTCCTCAAGTCGGAAGGATCCCCAAGGTTGTGAGCAACCGTACTGAACATGTGTCACCTATGAGCTTTTCTAGGCCTTTCAGAGCTAGCATGCAGCTGGCACCTGAGAACCTTGAGGTCTATGACCCTGAGTCAATAGCCAAAGGCCCTTCGCCTTCCAGGCCCTCGACTCCTGTCCCCGATTTGACTACCGATGGTTCAACAGCAGGAAGCACAAACAACCTCTCATCAAGAGACTCCAACCCTCCTGCTTTGAGTCGGGTTGAAAAAGAGTTCTTAGCCTTTTCGCCTCGCAAGGACTCCGAGGGAACTATTGGTACATCTAGCTCTAGCTGTTCTGGCATTCTCGCCTTCTCTGGCTCTACTGCCGTGATCCCGCAGCCTTGCGATCCTCCCGCCGAAGATGAGGTGTGGGATGAGTATGATGATCTCCTTGGAGAAGATGCTGGCAAAGCACTTCCCTCAGCAACTTCGTCACGAGGTACACCGTTCCACCTTGAAACTTACGAGTCGAAGCTGGCTAGCAAGGAGAAGCCCTTGGAGTCGCCGACGATTGTCTTCGATAAGAAGGCAAGCCGACAATCCAAGGCAACAACCATCTCCAGCACTTGCAGCGCCGATATGACTGAACGTCTTCGGGCGGCCTTCCAACCTCACCCAAGCCCTAGTACTCCCTTCTCAGTCTCTAAATTTGTTTCGGGTTATGAAGATCGCAACACCAATACCAACACCGAGGTGCCTGAAACTGGCGAGGTATCTCGGCGAAGCAGTCGATCTTCCCACAAGACAAGACGATCTGATGCCAGTTCCTCTTCGGAGGATGGGTCACCACTCGCACAAGTCAATCTCAGAGTTGGTTCAATGACGGTAAGCAAGTGGCTTACCTTTGGGCATGTTCTCTTCAGTGACGTTCGCCACGAACTGGTACCTGTTGAGGGATCACTGAAGAGGCACTCGATCCTTGTGATTGATGGCCTTGGTAACGATGACTGGTCATTCTACGCTGCGGAAACATATCCGGCTGCTACCTTCTTCAACCTCTCTCCTCGCGCTCCTCTTCCTGAAGAACTCAAGAGTTCATCTTCGAGCTTTCCTCTCAGCCCTCCAAACCACCATCAGATCCAATACGTCTCTCACCTTGACAAGTTTCCCTTCGCCCCTCAGAGCTTTACGGCTGTTGTGTACCGCTTCCCCGTCGCAGCTCCTGAAGCATACTACCGCAGCATCCTCACTGAAGCTCGTCGTGTGCTGAAGCCAGGAGGCTTCATCGAGCTCTCCATTCTTGACGTTGACCTGAACAACATGGGCAACCGGGGCCGGCGTACAGTCCGCCGTCTCAAAGAGAGGATCAATGAGAAGACACCTGATACTAGTCTCGGATCGACCGCGGACCTCATTGTTCGTCTTCTCGGCAAGGTTGGTTTCACTACCATCAAGGCAGCACGAGTGGGTGTGCCTGTGGCAAGTTCTGTCAGTCGCTCAGACAGCAAGGCCGACAAGGGCAAGACTACTGCTGAGAAGAAGAAGGATCCGCCAAGTCTATCCGAGATGATGAGTGATGACAGCCCCTTGGCAGACGAGGGCATCACCAAGATGGTCAGTCGCGTTGGCCGATGGTGGTACACACGATGCTATGAGAACGCAGCTGAGAACCCCTCTGGAAAGAGCATCTGGACCGATAAGTCTCTGCTCTCTGAGTCTGAAGAGCTCGGTACAAGCCTGAAGCTCATGGTCTGCTGCGCTCGAGCTCCTCTTGAGCGCATCACCAGTGTCTAAGCACTTAACACAACACAAATTTTCTTCCTCTACTTTTCCTTATCGGTCACAACATTGCGCAAGATACGCAAGTTTAATTGGAAAGCATTACAGGTTGGAAGAGTCCATGCGGCGCAAGCCCATTCCTCAGAAAAAGAGGCTATACCACAAGATTGAACCACGGAAAGCAATCTTTATTTCATTTCGTTCCTCTGCAGCAGAGGCATAAGTTCTTTTTACTTGTTTGATTAATCTTCGGTGCCGCAGGTTGGGTTAGACCACGCACTGGATGCACTGGTATTTCAAGCTACGGGGTCATTTTTTGGGTTCTTAATATGGGGGAAATGCTGGACATTGCACTCCGCAGAATTTGGAAAAGGAGTGCAAATGATTGGGGGAAAAAGAAAGACGGGACAGGGATGATTATGAAATCTTGATGATTGAATGTGAGGAGGAGATACGACTTGATATTTGAGCATGTTGCATAGAGATACCCATTCATGCTTTGGGGAGCCAGAACGAGATAGCAAGCGGCATTACTGTTCTTCCACTCCTATTACATTCGTTGCTTCGTCTATTGTTTGCCTTATATATGCCTAAACCCTATAGGTTTAAAAGTCTACTATACAGATTGTGTTGTACAAGATTTATAGATTGTTACGATTCATGAACATCATTCAGTCTTCGCTGGCTCAGTCCCCACCGTGCCCTCAGCTTGAGTAGTTTCTTCAACCTCTGGTTTTCCCTCAGCTTCAGAAGCTTCCTCATCCTCAAATTCATACTCAACTTCAGAAGAACTCTCCTGTGTAGAGGACTCAGCTTGGGGGCGTATTTGATCAACAGGCCATCGCCTGAGAACAGCTACAAACCCACCACCAGTGACTCGCTCACCCACCTTAGGTCGCATGACCTGCACTGCAGCGCCCTCAGGGTTTTCTCTGGGGATAACGGTTTTGACATCCCACTCCTTGCCACCACCAGTATCAAGAACACCGTCGGCCGTTGTCGAAACCTCAAGTTCAATTACCCTCTCAGGGCGCATGGGCTGGCCTGTGCGAGCAACCCAGGTTTGGAAGTCGCCGATTTGACTAATGGAGGGTGTGAAAATGACAAGAAGGCCGTTAGGGTGAAGGGCCTGAATAACCTGGGAAGCGTGGTCGTGAGCGGACGGGAGGTCGAGAATTGCATGAGACAAAAAAGGCTGGTTATCCGTCTCAGCCAGACGGGATGAGATATACTCGTCTACGGAGCCGACATGGAAGTCTATAGTAGGAAAGTACAAAGAGCGGCGGAAGTGGCGAATCAGTTTATGCGCTGCGCGCGAGTGTTTAACGTTCCGGTCAAGGGTATGTAACACGGCGCGACGGCTGGACCGGTAAGAGTTAAGGGCAGCCTGGTCCTCGTCGGTCAGATCAAGACCAAACCCATCAGTCCTGTAGCGTGCCGTGCAAAGGGTGTTTCGCAGGCTTGGAGGTACAGCTGGATTTGCTGCATGAAGAGCACGAGCGAGATGTAGCGTTAAGCTCCCCATTCCAGTACCAGCCTCAAATATCTCAAACGGCTGGGCCGGGTGATTGGGATCTGCGTCATGTTCCTCTTCACCAGGCCGGGAAAGGTTTAAATCGAGGAGCGACACGATGGTGTTCGCATGGTGGGGATAGATCTAAGAATCAATTATATCAGTAATAGTTGTTGAGTTCAATTGGCACTGCATCGCACCGGTGTGGCTTGTCGAGGGCTGTTAATGATGTATGAAGCCAATGTCGGTTCATGAAGAGTGACAGGGCGTCCCGAGCTATCATTCACAACATCAAGCACCTGGCGACCAATGAGCTCGGACGAATTGATAGAGGCACCATAGCCAAGTCTTATTTTCGTATCGGCGCGGAGAGGAGACGAAAGATGCCATTTGGGAGCTTTAATACCCTGTTGGCGCAGGAAGAGGACGTCATTTTCTGGAAGACCGTGGGTTTAGCGTCCATGATGAGACTTCGGGAGGGCAAAGGCGGGAATTGACTTACTTTGGACGGTGCGCGATGAAGAATAGAATCGTTTCAGGGAGGTGAAAGGGAGGCCCGCGAGGGCTGAAGGGTTGGACAGGCGCATGATGGGGGCTTGAACGGTGGAGAGGTTGTCATGATGAGGATTTGTAGAGGTTTTCGTTTTGTGCCGGGGGTAGCTCGGAAATAACTCGCAGGGATCATGGCTGCGGCGACCATTTGAACCTCAGAACTGATGAAGACATAAAGACTAAGTAAGTAATGTTGTCGGAAGCAGTGGTTGGAAACAAGTACAATTTATATATGTTTTGTAGATAAATGTCTATTTGTATTACCTGATTTCACTACCAAGGTATCGACTTGTAATTTTGGCCCAGGGTATCGCCTTCCCTCGTTGTGGAGGGGTTTGTTCATATCCTTCCTTCCAACCTTTGGTTCCAAACCTTCGCGCCTGCCTTGCACCTTCTCAATGTAAACCTCTCCATTTCTCTTTAGAGCGCCGTCATTCTGAAGACTCCCCAAACTCCGCCATCATCCAACCTCGTCTCGTCTCATCAATACCCGACGCGTCAGTTACTTACTATTATACAATGGGGGATGTCATATCATAACCGACCAAAACCAAAATGTTCAAGCACGTTTCCCCCCAAATCCCGCTGCGCTGCGCTGTGCTGTGCTGGCTAACGCAAAACCCAAAGAATAAACGCCAGTCCATGAGACGTTAAAACCCACAAAGAAAAGATATGCTTGCTCGGTACCAGACTCCAGGCTGTGTAATCATCAATGGGATCATGATCGAATCCAAAGTTATCGGTACCAAGATATGTACATATACTGGCAACGCGTGTACTAGTATATCGTGCAGTCGTTGAAGCCGCTTCCGCCACCAATACTTGTTGAAAACACCGGCTTCGTCGAATTACATACGCCAGATCCCGATCCTACGCATCAAGACCAAGAACAATAAACCATCTGAGATCCTGCTCAGATGAACGAATATTTTGAGCTCGACATTTGCTGCCCCATCGCGGCCGCCCACGAGTCCTGTGCTTGGAGCTGTTGTGGGCGTTGCTGCTGCTGTGACTGCCGATGCTGATATTGGTGGCTGTGCTGATGCTGGCGTTGTTGCTGCTGGTGAGGAATATGTTCTGGTGCGTGCTCCGTGGTATGGAAGTCCTCCTCGAAGTACACGACAACACGAACCCCGACATGTTCTTCGAGGAATTGAACACCAGAATCGTATCGACGCCGACAGCGCTTCGTCCAAGGATCGACCTTGACGGGACTATGATAGCAGAACATGTTCGGTTGCTGACTACGAATAGGGAATAGAAGTCCCATGCCTCTCATGTGATGCCAGAGGTCGATCGTTGCTTGCTTGGTCGCATCAGATTGAGGGTGAGCCGCGAACATCAACTGGACAATTGTATATCGGAGAACGAGGACGTCAACGCTTTCAGGGCCTAGTCGTTGCTCCAATTGTCGCTGCAGCAGTCGTAGTTCTCCAACCAATTTTTCTAGTCGCTCTTGATTCACATGGTTATAAAACATGGCGAGGTCAACCCATGTTCGAGCCACATAGGGATGCTTGCGACCATAAATGGCCTCCAGCTCCTCAGCGATGGTTGGAATGCTTCCCCACAGCAATTCCGATAGTGTGCCTGGGCCATGCTTCTGTTGCACCTCATATAAGCAAGAGAAGATCTGCCGCAGAGGATGTGACCTCTCGAAGTTGGTCGTCGAGTAAGCCGCTAAATACTTGCAGAGGGCCGTCATCATTCCTGGATCGCGATGAACCATACCCAGAAGCAACTCCTTGATTCCCTGAGGAGACAACTTCTTCAGATCTGATTCAAGCTGCTGGAAAGCCTTCATCAGGAAATGACCACCCTGATCGTGGTCCTTCATCTCGAAATAGTGGTTAGCCTCAAGAAGAAGATCACTTGAGCCCGCTCCCCACACCATGATAGTTTGCCATCCAACTTGGGCGTCAGTCTCGACTTCGAACTGTCGACATTGCAAGAACGCTTTTCTCATGTTGCTGATGATGATTTCTTGAGCCCGAAGGAGATCCGGTGATTGGAGATATCCTGGTGTTGGAGGCGGAGTTGGTGTTCTGCATCTGATATGTGCTGGCAAATCGGCAGGCAGTTCGAAATCGACCAAGTCATACTCGGTAACACCTTTTCTCTTCAAGTAGGTGCCCAAATTAACAACCTTGCCGTTACGAACGAATTCAGACACCTTGCCCTCGGCGTCGCGCTGGAACTTCATGGACAGCAGGCGCTTCACTTCCTCTTCAGTATTATTCTTCACAAAACCCCATTGCGAGAATCGGGTCTTGTACATTTTTGGTCTACAAAGGATGAGTTATGGCACTCGGTGGGAGATGAATAAGGACTTACGTTGCCTGGAAGCCATACTGGTCGGCCATGACAGACATGACCTCTTTAAGTGGTTTCCTCTCCTCAAGATACAATTTACGAATTGTGTGCTTGAAAGATTCCCATGCCTCAGCGGGAACCTGTTCTCTTGAAGGGCGGCTTCCTGCTTGAGATCGTTGAGATACAGAAGGTCTTCGTTCATTCTGAGACGAGTTAGTAATGGGTTCCCCCGCTTGAGATCCCACGAAACATACCGGAGGCAGCATAGAGGAGGTGGAGGCTTGAGAAAGTTGTGGTGTAGAGGGTTCCTGTTTAATAGAAGGGCTAAAAGGGCCAGGTGTGGACATTGATGATCGGGAGGGTTGTCGAACAGGCCTAGGCGGCTTGACAGGCGGCTTCGCAGGGGCCTTGCCTTTAGCATTAAAGGTGGAATTGGTATTGAAATCCAAGACCAGCTGGCTTCCGGCGTTCATCACAGGTTTAGGTGTAGAGGGGATCGGGGGTTTTGCGAAATAGCCGGAATTTGAGGAAGTGCTGCTACCTTGTGGTTGATCCAAGGAGGGTTTAGAAGTCATTGGTACTGGTGGTCGCCATATGGCAAATCCAGGCGTACCCGGCACACCTGGGGTGACTGGACCGGGTGAGGTGATTTTGGCGTTCATGCTAGAATTTGGCATCATTGAAGGCCCAGCCATGGATGCTGTCTCCATCGGGGTCGTCACTCTATTGTTGTTGACCATGAAACTGTTCATGCTTCCGAAAGGACCGGACGGCGAACCCACGCCTGGACTGTGGACTGGTATATCATGAAATCCGCCAAAAGCGAGGGCGGGCGGCGGGCTAACGATCGGACTGGTGACTCTTGAATGACCACTCAAGAGTCCATAGTTGGGCTCTGCAGGACTGTCAAGAGGACTTGTAACGATAGGCGAGGTGACACTGAAGTTTCCGAACGGCGAGGAAACGGGAGGCTCTTGATGCACTGGGCTTGTTACGACGTTCGATGGTCTTGGAGGTAGAGGGGGCGCAAAGGATTTGTTCTCGAAATGCGCAACCAGACGTCCAACGCCACCTCCTCCACCATGAGAAGAGCTCATGTTATCGAGTTCGACATCTTGAGACATGGGGTCGTGTTGATCGAATCGCATGTCATATTCTGCTGATGGAGTTGGCGCCCAATCCATGCCGGATGAGTCGCCATAGGATGCGCCGCCATCGTGATATGATTGCGAATTTCCCGTCGAGAAACTATTTGTGTTGTTATTGTTCATGGTGAACCTGTGCCAGCCTTGGTCGGCGAAACCATACGACGGGTCCTCATTGTTGTCGGAAGGGCGAGGCCCGCCTGCTGAATGGTTAAACATGTCGCCGGTGATGCCCAGGCCGGACGTGAGAGGCCCGGTCCGCTGGCTGAAAGGCAGTCAATGACGGACTGAGGCGAGTCGAAGGCCTCGGCTGTGTCCTCAGTCGCCAATGCGAGAATTCATCACTCGTTAATGTGGCGAGCGGGAGAGCTCAGATGGAGGTTCAAGAACGGGAGGATGAATAGGCGGGCAGAAACGCTCATGTCTATCGGTACGTATAATAAGGAAGAGCGCTCGAACGGACAGTACAGACAGGCAAGAGCGAGCAGAACCAAACCAAGAACGACAACCCAGCGGACACTACAAGGACTGGGGTGTCTGCCGCCTGTAGGACAGTGCAGTGAGTCGCACCAAAGCAATGGCCAGGGCTTGCTAACGTTATCGTTCCCCAGACTTGACGCAGCAGCTAGACAAGATATGGGCGGTGCTGTGATAGGACCATCAATGCAATGGGAGCCAGAAAAAAGACGGGGAGCGTCCACGGCCAGAACGCCAAGTAATGCGCGTGAGAGAGCGCCAGCAAAAGTTCCCTCGCCAAAGTTTCCCAGAAAGGCAACCCAATATGTTGTCTAGAGGAGGCTGGAGTGGGCTCTTTGAGGGAGATAAGAGGGAAACAGACATATCCTCGGTTCAGCAGTTCCGAGGGGTTTATGGTTAAAACCAAACGCGGCCAAAAAGCATCCAGGCACAGCTAAAACACAGCAGCAATGACTCTCAAAACCAACGACTCGAGTTACCAGGCAGTGCAGAGGCGATAAAAGAGAGAACGACCTCAAGAGAACGAATTATGAATTGGAGATTCAGCAGCACAGAGAAAGAAGGGCCGATAAGGCTGCACTAGAAACTTAGAAAGACAACGCCATCGCTGGGGTCGATGATATTCAACCAGTGAGATGAAAGCTTTCAGGGGTGCGCTTGTGAGAGCATGCGACCAAACGGCCAAAAGCAGAAGGTGGACAAGACGGAGACACCACCCTAACTCAGAAGCACCAATCATATTGACTCGATACGGCTCTGGGGGCTCGTACCGACAGGGAAATCTGCCGAGGGGATGAGCATTCCAGCGTATTATCCTGTGTGTATGCTCTGAGAGGATTGAGTTCTGAGATATTCCAGAAGGCTTCGTTATCTTGGTTTTCTCTCTCAGCTCAGCTGAATCAAAGGCACCACGAGAGACAAGACGCAACTCTATTCCCCTGATATTGTCAGGTGCTGCAAGAGTGACAATACGATCGGCACGGCACATTCGGTGGACAGGAAGAAATGGGAATGGTTTCGGAGAAGCTTGGGACTCTGACTTGAACTTGGAAACTTTACTGGCCGTCCGATCGCTTCGGCCGTGGCGCACGCCACTGTCTGTTCGACCTGCTGTTTCTGAGGCCACACCGTGAGTTGGTCTAAGTGGCTAGTGACGAAGTTTGCCAGGCATTGTCACCCTGGAAGGATTGCTGCTTGAGCGCGAATCAGGGTACCGAGACGCAGGTTCTGCTGCGAAGCTCTGTATCTCGACGCGAAGGAGCTCTATCGATCTTCAGTCAGTTTGCTCCAATCAAATGAGGAGACTGCCCTAGGACAGTGGTTATCTTGCAAATTGAAGGAAGACACAATGTTGTGGGGGAGCGAGAGCCGTGCTTCTTACTGGCTCTGTAGCCAAGCCGGCTCCCGCCGATAGCCTGCAAATGAGCCTTGGAGGCTTTCGTTTCCTACCGTCCACATGGCGCCGTTGTCTTAGAAGTCTCGTTTTCCCGTAATTTGTTCCGAGGAGAAGGAAATTTCGAATGTTTCGAAGAGGACTGACAACGCCTTACTGGGCCCGAATAACGCAAGATCAACCTTGGAAAGTCTTGCTTGCTTGAATGATTCGACAACTGCAAAGTTCAGAGCGAAATCATTTGCTCAGTTATGATTGCTCGTTCGCTTTTACGAGAGGGTACCGGAATGGGCTGAAAATGGAACGTTCCATGTTGGCTGGAGCCATGACATGCCACACAGCCCTGGTCCGGCAACGGCTCCCATAAGTCGAAATGTACTCGGCCGAGAAAGCGGCCGAGTTATCTCAAAGAACTGATGTGTGTCGTTCGAAGATAACGAGTCGCTTGTGATTCTATGTAATACTCTTTCAAATATCACACGGATATGACCGTCAATGCAACTCATCAGAAGAACAAGTCTTTGTCTCTAATTCAGGTTGCTATGATAGCGTCTGTTTTGTGCCCGAGTGTCCTGGGGATATGACCCAAGACAGCATAGTCAAACCCATGCTTGCGAGTCGCCTTGCATGTGCTTTGCTCGATGCCGGCACCCCCTGTCCCCTGCTCCCATTGAACGACGGAGATCATGCCGCAACTCCATCTCGCACGATCCAGTAAGCTCGTCATCGGGTCCCTGAAAGCAGTCACTGGAGTGTACTCCATAATATCACTCCAGATGCCGTGATGCTATTACGAGATTTACGGTTTCTTTCTCAGGGGTCCAATTGAAGCAGATTGATCAAGAGCAAGCCGCTGCCAAGGCTGAGATCAGCAGTAGGGTCAAGCCACATTGTACACGGTGATCTGGTCCGCATCCGCCGCGTCTCTAGCTAAATGCCCCGAGACATAGTCTACGGCCCAGTCGGTGCATATCACTGGATGCGGCATCACGTCTGACAACCTCAACAGCTAGCCTGCTTGATGTGCCCCCTACGTGTTCCATCCGTCCTTCTTTTCTTCCTTTCGATTGACAGTGATAAGGGGGGAAATTCAAGGCAGCAAGGGGGGAGCTGAGTTCTTGTGCTGATATTGAACTGTGTGTTCATTGGACAGCTCCCAGTAGACTGAGTCGACTCATGACTTCATGGTTCGTTGTCAGTTGTCCCCCAGCAGATAAAAATAGCCAGGTCAATGGCCAGCCTTTGCAGATCTCTTAGCTGATACAGAGGGGTTCCAGCTGATAAGACAAATGTGACCTTGTGTTAAGCGACTGGCCAGTCATCAACGAGGGGGAACAAACCCCCCGAACCGGAGTTGGACGTCAATATAAGCATATTTTGTTGTTGCGGGAATCCAAGGCGTTAACTTGAGCCATCAGTGGCATTACGACCTGAAATACGATGTGCAGTGCAGCCAAACCTTGAGTCAAATTAACCTCTGCAAGAAACAATAAACGGGCCGGTAACTCTGTCAACGTCGACCGTTGTCAGATTCAGTCCCTGAATGAAGAGTAGCATGTGAACAAGATATACGAGCATGGTAGGCCTGAAGGAGGAAATCGATGCAGCATTTTTGAAAGCATGAAGAAGTTAGGCATGTCTACGGGGAAGACAAGAAACTGTTGTTCGTTTTGCAGAATAGAATGCTCATTGTCTAGATACTTTATAAAGGCATTCTTGCACAGAATGACGTCGGTGGAATCAGACGATGCCAATAAGAATACGAAAAATGGCTTTCCAATGCGACAGCCATTATTACGACGCAACAGAGCAAACAAGCTGCAGTCTACGAGAGGGGGGTTCACGCAGCAAACCCCCTCAAGTCGCACTCAGTCTTACTCTGGAAGATATCACCATAGTCAATGCCTCAGTGAAACCACTGTTACCAAAGTGCATGTTGTTCTAGACAAAAGTCTGAGTAGTTGAATCAGTGTAGCAACAAGTACAGACTATCTTTGTTGCAGAGTTTCTCACAATTGAGAAGTTTGCTTTTCACATTAGGCATGAGAACATAATAGAGTATGAAAACACCTTTCTATCCATTTTGGTATAACCTTTTTCTACTCCTGAAAGCCTACGAGTGGTATGGTTTAATGTAAGAACGAGGAAACAAAGTGGGTAATCGAAGGATAAAACAACAAAGGATGTCAAGATAGAACGAACCAAACCCAAGACAGCCAAAGCACAAATGCCAAAACACAACCAAATGCTATAAATACACAACCAAACCGCATCATACTGATACCCATGAAACAACACCTTCCATCATTCTTCCTGATTTGATCAATCCGTTACCCATGTGCCCCCTTGTCCCGTCATGTAGTCGTATAAAGATTCGTAGAAGGGGCGCGCAATAGATTGTAATGTAGTTTTAAGGGAGCCGCCATTTTGGTGGCAGTGGTGCAACCGATGGTTTCAAGAATCATCAAGTTGGTTATGGGCAATATCCGAGAACAGACCTCTGGTCCAAGTTGAAAGAAGTCAAGATACTTTCTGTGACTTTAGAGTCGCAAAATTGAATGTCAGGAAACTTCCTCGCCGTCCTTCTCTTCGCGGAAACGTATTCCGCCTTCGACGTTGATGGCACCCTGAACCCAGGGAGTCTTGGCTACCTTGTCGACGGTCCAACGACCCCTAGCTCGCCTTAGCAACCCCTCTGTGATCTCCATAGCACCGAGGAGACCCTTTTGCTTGAACTTAGCTTCGTCGCCATCGTGGTCGGTGTCATCACCGTAATATTCTACCCATTTCCATTCGACTCTCGCGATACGGTGGCTAGTGCGACTGCGCATGCGATGCGCTTCACTCATACCTGGGTGAGGATCAAAGGGAAGCCGAGCCTCTAGAAGAGCATACAGAAGAACACCGAGTGACCAAGCATCGGTAGCTCGTCCATCGTAAGGTTGTCCCATGATAACCTCGGGGGCTGCATAGTCTTCTGATCCACATCGAGTTTCCAGTTTCTCATCATCGGCGATGCGTCTCGAAAGGCCCAAATCACTCAGAATTACCACTGAGTAAGGGTAGGTAGCCCAGTCGATTGATGGGTCTGCAAGCTCAGAGGGGGTGAGGTTGACGAGGACATTCTCGAGTTTGATATCTCGGTGAACAATTCTCCTTTCGTGGAGATAGCTCACTGCACCAACCATTTCGGCAAATATTCTTCGTAATAGAGGCTCTTTGAGCACACTACGGTGGCTGGTCGCGATATCAAACATATCACCTCCAGGGCAATAGCTCAAGACAAGGATGGCCCGAGTAGGCTCAATGCTCCAAGCTTTTAGGTCGACAAGCGAGGGGTGGTGGATGGAAAGCATGATTTCAAGTTCACGTTTTAGACTCATCTCAACGCGTTCCTCGCTGGCGCCGCCTTTTGGACCATGCTCGCAGACCTTCACGGCAACCAAAGTCTTACGGTCAAGGCTCTGTTCCGGTTTTGGTGTCAGCCTTCCATGATCAACTTCGGGAGAGTCTTCGTCGGGTTCAATCTGGCTTGTAGCCAACATGACCCTACTGAAGGTTCCCTGACCAAGCATTCGCACGGCCCTCCATCGGCGCCGCTTCTTATCATTGCGTCCGTTTGCTTCGAAATATTCGAATCGGGGTCCTTTAGGCTTGCCGGCGCCATCAGCAGAGTCTCGCGAAGACTCGCTTGGTGGAGGAGTTGGTGGCTGAACCACAGAAGGGGTAAGTCCTCGCGATTCTGCAAGGTTAAGCTCTCTTCGAAGCTGGGGTTCATGGGACCGTGCTGAAGCCTCGGCGTTGGGTCGTGCTGAAACGGATATTTGTCTCTTAGGAATGCCCATAGGATCAGGAACGTATTCGCTCACGCTGCGGTTTCTCGTATGCTGTCGTGGCTGCTGGTTAGAAGGCGATTGTGTATGAACATGGTCGCCGGGCTCGAGGGTTGAATAGATTTTACGTTTGGCACCATTGGAAAGTGCTGCATCAATCGATTCACCTGTACTCGTAACCAGAACAGAGCCCTCTCCTACGCTTTTGAGGCGCTGTTGGGGAGGTGACGCAGAACCTGCGCTCAGCCTCTTCCAGGGTCCTGGGGAATCACCCGACATGAGCGGGCTTGGAAGGGGCGTCATATCCCCCATAGCAGAAATAATAGGACTAGGCACCAAACTGCTTGTGCCGCTGGCAGAACCAAGACTGTTAGTCAAGGCAGCTTTAAGACTTGGTGTCCGGGAGATGGGATGAAGGCTGTTGGACGAAGCCCTGTGGTTCAACGTCAACGAGCCACGGGATGAACCACTGCCATTCCCGTTGCTGTTGTTGAATGATTCACGGCGGTCTGGGGTTACGGGACGTGTAGCAAAGTCAGTTGAGATACGCAAGGATCCCACAGGACTGACGGAGCGTCTTGGAATAGCCGGTGATCCAATGGACAGGGTATTGGATTGTGGTTGCGGGAGTTCGCCCTCTTGTATGGAAGTCGGTGCTATTGTATCAGCACGGAAATGAGCAAGCGGCGGCGTTGTAACAGAGACATCAGGAAGCGTGAAGGACGACAAGGGACTGGTGGACAATGTAGCGTAGGCGTGGTCGTGCCGACGAGGATTTGGTGTAAGGGAGGCCCCAGCACGAGAAGGTGTGTGTGCAGGAACTGGTATGGGACGAGAAGCTGTGCGAAGGGAGGTATCACGACCTCTAAAAGAATTGTTGCCTGTGTCTTGAGAGTTGTCGTCGAGGGGCAGGGCCGTCGCAGTTCGGGGGGCGTGGGGCGTGTTCATGGCTCCGCGCTGTCGGGTCGTCGGAGTCGCTTAGAACCAGATTAAGGTCTAGCGAATTTGAAGGAGGGGATAGTCGAGTAATCGTCGTTTGTTTAGATCGCAAGACTGTTGAATTGCCTGTCAGCCTGCTGCGAATGAGATATGTACGAAAATGGAATTGGCTAAGTCGCTGTATTTCGAAATCCAGGTGGGGTGACGAGTGTTGATATTCAGAGACAATGCAATGATGAGATCTTGAAGGCCTTAGGAACGTACCTTGGCGCAAGGGAAACTCTGGGGGAATGCGAATGCGTCAAGGGAGCACTGTGCTAAGGAATGGGCTTGGCGATGCTGGTTGAGGGAGCGTTGATCGAGTTGAAGGAGTCCAAGGGGTTCGTTTATAAGGACGAGGAGAACGGCGGAAGGAAGAGGAGAAATTGGCCAAAGGCTCTTCTATAACGCGAACATGAGAGGCGGTTCGAAACGTCGTTCAGAGGAGGGAGGATGAATGTGTCGACAGGTGTCGCTCAAACAGAGCGAGAACAAGAGAAACAGAAGAACAGAAAAGAAAGAAGAGGAGAAGTCAAAGGAGTCAAGATCGACGTGAACAGCCAAGATTTGGGTGGTTGATCGTTCGTGGGTCCAGCACCAGTACCAGCACAGCACAGTACAGTACAGCAGCAGTAGCATGGAAGGCCAGGCCTTTGACCTTTGACCTTTGAACTGTGAGAAGCAAAGACAGGACAGGCTCCCTGAGGGAAGGGATGTCAGAAAACTAAAGAGCTGATCATGGGTGACAGAAATATTGGGGCAACGTCTGTGGTAAACTAGGAGATGTTGATGACTACCTTACCTGATTATTTTAGCCCCTCTAATCCGAGGTCTTGGTCCTTTTTGCGCTTCGAGGGGCATGGACCGCACTTGGAGGGCCTTACTGCCACTAGCTTCAAGTAGCCTCCACTAGCACGAGTGCAGGTGCGATGTGCTAGGTTAGCACCAGAGATTGGGGACCGGGGATCGGAGCGGGTCCTTCCTGTCTCTGTGACTCGTTCCGTCTGAACTCGTCTCGCTGTGTCGTCTTTTTGTTCTTTTCTCGACCGTTTGTGTTTGGACTCGCTCCCCTTCTCCTTGTATATTTCTTCCTGAATGGATAGGAGTTCTACCTCAATGAGAGGAGTTGGCCTTGCCTATCGCCGCGGGAGTTCATCCACCGGGCTCTGCTCAAAGCTTTGGCAGCGGGTGAGGAAAACTGGGGCCGTCACAGTGATAAGTCGATAGTAGCTTTAGGTACCCCTGCAGCGTTGAGCGCTTCCAAAGTTACTTGCAGACGATGGAATCCTTATCGCTTGATGGTTAGTAGGATGTATGGATGTGCTCTGCTTTGGAGACGAGAGGGAAAGGAGGGGTTCGAGTTCGGGATTAAGTTAGGTTTGCCTTGAAATCGGGCCCAGGTAAACTTTGTTTTTGCTGAGTCGTGGACGCTCGTTGATGTTGTGCAGGCGATGGTGTCAATTGAGGTGACGGCGCCTTTAATGAGCTGCAGGGCTACCTAAGTATCTAGGTAGGTATGCGGCAACGGTAACTGTAGCAGTAGCAGTAGCCAAGACGGACTGTCGAGCTGGGGATCCAGGACAATTGGTCTCGTGCAGGAACGTCAAATATTGCAATACGGTCACTTTTACGGATATGGTATGTTGTTGGGCGTGGTGTGGTGAAATTGGAGGTCACGCTGAGTTGAGCCGGGAGTGCATGGACTTGTAATTTCCTGGAGAGAAGATTTTGTCCTAGGGTCAAAGATTTCCCTCAATTGAAGATGCAGATTGATTGTAGATAAGAAACAAAAGATCCGGTGGAAACAGAAGGTCAAAAAGGACACTGCAGCCCGTGTTGGAATGGGGGATGAATGAATGGATGATTCATGAAATTGGTGTGGAGGTTGATGATATTAACGTTACGATATCTTAGATACCACCACCCAACAAATAAGCCGAATGAATGCCCAAGCACATGGAAGCAGACTACACGAGTATATCATCTACAACACGAGCCTCAATATTAATTATTCCGTATTCTACTTATTATGTGATTAATTCCACTAATTAGCAAAGACTATACGAGGGGAGGTATTACGGTAATGCAGTAGAGTTGGGCAATTAAGTTTACCAAACAAATCTAACTTTTCTCAGAAGCAAGCTCAGACATATCTGATAGGAAACTGATTGACTCAGTTGAGACAGAGAGAGGGAAGGCGCAAATTACAGAACATCTTTGATACTGATACAGTACACTTCAGTACTTTGCACTTAACTTACAGGGGCTCATCTGCAAAGTAACGTTTGGCGCTGTGTTGCTTCGTTACACCTGCATGCATTGCCCCATATTTCCTCGACCTTTGCTGTCTCTTTGGGGCATCCCGAGAGAGGGAACCAGGATTCAACATAAGCGAAACACAGATGGTCGCTCAGTAACGATGGTGACAAAAACGCCGGCTTCAATTTTATGTGTATCACCCATCTGTCGGTTATGCATTACTTGCATTGGATCCTTTTGCTCTTGTATTGACGCTGGTAACAGGCAAACATCAAGCCCTCACCAACAACTATACCAAAACACTCTCTGCCCGGTCTCTCCAGTTATCTCTCTCTCTATCTTGAAGCTCTCCACTCTCAATCCCCGCTGCCACGCTGCCCTATCCCACTGCCGCCGCAGAGAGCCCACCAAGGCGGCCACTAAGAGCCCTATAATCGCCCACCCGCTCCATTCCTACGCATTTCTGCGATCGTCCCTTGATTCCATTGCAAACTGGTCCCCTCACCCCTTGTCGCTTTTTGCTCTGTCATGACGTCGATAACTGTAACTTCATGAGTCGTCACATGTACCGCTCTTCGATGTCATCGCCCGATCCCTCCGCTCCGGCCCTCCGGTCTCTCGACTGCCGAAACCCTCTGGGTCCTTCGGCGTCTGTGAAATACCACCCTCACCTCACTCACCGTTAGTAAGCTCCACGCAATGTTCGCTTTGCCAAGTCTTGGTACACTTCGGCCTACGACGCCTTTGATGTCACCCAAGGAAGCGTCTCAAAGGAGTAAAGACATTTGCTTTTATCATGAACGAACATACTTGGATGCCGCGCCGTGCCGTAGATCCTTTCGGACCACTCGCGTCACTGAGCACACATCCATCATTTTTCGGTTCGAGTTTCTTTCACGCCTCCGAGATTCGTTACGCTTCGACCTGATCCTCTGCCTCGACCACATGGTCCATCCGCTGACATTATTGGCTTACTTGCAGCGACACTCTAATTCTACAGACCATCTCAATGACAAATTATACCAGCCGCTGAAACCCGTGGCATCCTTATGAAAAGGCTCAACACGTTCTGGGATAGGTCTCTGTTCAATCGTCAGAGGACGCTGTCACTTATATCTATAATTATTAAAGATGGTAATGCATGTCAATTTATCGTGAGATAGAGTTACCCAGCCAGGAAATACATTTCCCAGAACTGTTCTTGCTAGGCCGCTTTTCCATAAAGCTAATACTCGCTATATACCTTTCAAATACTATTACACTGTATTTAGAAATACCCGACTTTTATATAAGGTATAGGGTGTCTTATAAAAAACAGAAGATTTATAAAAAGATAAGTAAAATAATTATATTATTAAGTAATATATCTTGCTGTATCTGCCTGTTAATAGTAACTAACTAACAGCTTGCTGAACCGAGTATTTAGTTATAAAAAAGAATGTTATTATTATTATTTACCAGAAGTGCAAAAGATAAATGACTCCGGTACAGGGAATCGAACCCTGGGCTCCGCGGTACTAATCCCTCAGGTTATGAGAGCGCGAAATGTTAGCCACTACACCATACCGGATGTTATTGCTTAGATGGAAAGTTCTAATTGATGTCTATGCATGTAATAGCCTACCGGGTAGTGGTTGAAAGCTCCTATTGACGGTTGACTTGTAAATACAATATATAGCGAGAGCAGTCGCTTCTATAAAACCTTTTCTTATAATTACCTATCCTGGAACACTCTTATTTAATTGCACTGTAAAAGGTCCTATTTCTTAACAGAAAACAGCTCGTGTCTTACTTGAGGCAGTTCTAGGAGACAGCGAAGGTGATGGTTGCTGGTATTTTGACTTCATCTCAGTTCGTTGCCGTCCAGGTACTACGGAGCCAATGGCCTAGAAAATAACGTTGTTTGTCAATATCGTGTGGTATACCGATGAATCATCATGATATCTCACTTCTGACTTCATTGCGTTGTTGCCTGCCAGCATTGTTCGTCAAGCATCCCTAAGAAGACCGTAACTATGCAACCCAACACTCACAAGCATATGCCACAACGAACTCGACAGAACACTCAAGAGCCATGTTCAACGGCCACTAATGCAGGGATATCTTATCCCAGGCATACTGCCGTCAATGGTCACATCACAGAGTTAAGTTTGTTATCTCGTTGCAAACGCAAGACTGTGTGATCCGCGCAAAACATCACGATGCTGCTTTGCCCTTACCCATTCAACATCATGAAAGAGAGAGTCAATAACAATAGGATAAGCTTTTATAAGATGGATAAAGTCTACGCAGATCCTTGATAAGGTCCCGCTTCAACTACACAGCCCCGGGAGGTCGCCAGTTGTGGCCTCGAAAAATGATACCGCTTTCGTCCAAGATGCCCACCAGCTAGCCTTTTAGACTGATCCTTCTTTGAATCATCTGCTTTTTCTTCTGTATCTCTTGGATTCATTCCTAATAATGTCTTCGTCGTAATAAAATGTTTAGTCGTAAAAGCGTTAACCCCGAAATCCTCGCTCAATAGATATACACAAAGTCATATTTCATAACATGCAGAACCCCCCTGTATCATGAAACATAATGCAGTAAGCAGATGCTGCAGGCATCATGTCAATCCCAAGTTAGGTATCGCACTACCGTGTCCATCCTCACTCCAGTGCCAATCAGACACTTGCTGAGCGTCCCAGCTGTAACTATCCCCCGGACTCACGGCCGCAGCGCAGGATTCAGGCAGATTTGCAAAGGTACCAGTCTCCCTGGCAAAGTCTGATAATCGTCTGAGCCGTAGCTCATGCACCTGGGCTGCCTCGTCAGCCTCTCCGCTTTTGCGCAGTGCGGACTCGAGGTTTGCGAGACATGTGAGGTGGATCCTCTCGTCGCCTTGGCTGGCGGTTATGAGGCGAGATGCTTCGCGGAAGCAGTCAATTGCCAAGGAGAAGTCACCCATTTGATAGCCGTAGTTGCCTAGTTGAATGTTCATACCGGCTTGTTGCTCCTCGTCAAGGTCCCAGTCTTTTAGTGATTGAAGACACTGCATTGCCTCCTCAATCTTCCCCTCAGCCGTTTTCGCATTGCAAATTATGCCTGTTTGTAAGATTGCAAGTTCGCGGAGCCAAGGATGCCGTAATTGTGTGGCTTCTGCCCGGGTTCTGTATTGTGTAGCGACACTGAGTGATTCTGCTGTTTGGCCATGGTGCACAAGACAGTCGATGTGGTCGCAGTAGAGAATTGTGGTGAGGGAGTTGGCGAATCCAATTCGCTCCTCAAAGAGAGGCACGAGAGAAGAGTAGAGTCGTGTGGAGAGTTCGTAATGATCGGAGAAGTCCTGAGACCCAATGATTTTCCAGATTCGTGTCATGGGGTGATCATGACCCAGTACAATAGGTACTAAGCCAGCGAGGTAGTTCATGACAATGTGAAGAAGGTCTTCCTTGTGAAATCGATGGAGATACCACAAGAGGAAAGCTGTGCGTACAGCGAAAACCGGGCTCTCAGAGGCGATTATCTCCTTGAGCGACTCGAATGCTGGAGTGAGGAGAGTGCTTATTGAGATTTCATCTTTTCTCATCATTGACCTGTTGACAAGACCAAAGCTGGCGACCACACGTTCAAACAGCTCGACACTGCGGTCGCCAGGCCTTGGGCTGACACAGTCACCATTATATTCATGGTTCCATATTCCACTGGTGAAAGAGGTATCGAAGTAGTCCCTAAATAGATTGAGAACTTGTTCGACGTTGGAAATCTCCTTCGTCGGTGGTAACGAGTGATAACTCGGTGTTGGTGATGGTGTTCGACATTGGACCTCGAGAGTTGTCTGGATGCTGGGCACAACACCCGCCCTGAAGCGCGCAACAAGGCCCGGATTCCGTCGGATGTATCTGTTTATGTTATCCAGATCGACTGGTTGACCGCGAATGGTGAACTCTGATATCTTTCCCTTCGCCTCACGTTCAGTCCTCAGGATGAGAATGGCGAGGACCTCATCACTCTTGAGCTTCTTGTCAAGACCCCACTTCCAAATCCTCGACTTGTACATCTTGACACTGCAAAACGAGTCAACACCCAAGACTTTAAGAGAAGAAAAGGTTTACACACGTTGCAGTGAAGCCATGATCACGCTCGAGGACTTCCATGACCTCTTTGAGCGGTCGCTTCTCTTCCTGGTAGAGCTTCGTGATTACTGGACGTATCTTCTCCCACTCCGAGCTGGGAATACGTCTTCCGGGTGCGCAGCGAGGGAAGCTCATGTCGGTGTCGTCAGAGTCACCGGGTGACGTGCGACGTCGAGCGGAGAAGACGCTCGAGGTAGCCATCATAGCATTTCTGGTGGGTTACGTTCTGTGGTGGTAAGGCTGACTGAGGAACGGCGGATGTAGTGCTGACGCGGCAGTTGTGAATGAGTAATTGTTAACGAAGCGAGGCCCCATATGAAGATTTATGGGAGAGAGGATGAGGAAAGACGTCACATTAAAGATGAAGTTGAAGATGAAGATGAAGATGAAGCAGAGCGAGTAGAAATGGATTCAAGCAAGATAATCAGCTAATGTTCAAGGTTTGGCATGTTTAAGCCCCAACCCTGTCTGTTAATCCCCTCCTCTCATCAGCGAAGCGCAGCGCGGCACGGCACAGAGTGGATGAGGCAGCCTTGAGGGATCACCCCAGTCCGTTCCATTTAGCCCAGCCCCGTTAGGCCAGTGAGAGTGTGACAGTACCCTACCCTACCTACGGCATAAGGTAAGACGGGCTTCAACGCGGGTGTCTTTCCCCTCCTAAAACTTATTTAGCGATATCTCACTCACCTTACATATGTGCTAGACTAATGTGTTATCCATGTCAAATGCGTTTTAGGGTGGGGGCCGTTTTCTCGAGTCATCCATGTCGTAGGGAACCCAGAGTCACAAGTCATGGAATACTACCTCGATGGATGGATGATGTGAGTATGCCTTGCGATAATCTTGGCCCTGGTGTCTTATGCTTATCCATCGGCTCATTTTTTATCTGTTGAGTTCCCTATTTCACATACGATCAACACGCAGTTATTATCACCATCGTTGATCATGCAAGTCTTTTGACATTCATGTTGCATTTGTTGGTTTCATCTCTTCTTCAGCCCTACAGAAATGAAAGCCACCTACCGCCCGCCCCTGTAAATGGTGCCCCATAAGCGCCCGGCTATCTCCACTTGTTCGGGAGCGAGAGGCGCTCTAGCAGCCGTTGCTCCCTCCCGTCGCATTCATCAAGGACCGACACCCACCTCAGCCGTCGGTCGAGTGGTCTAGATCTGGCAATCACTGCCTCCATCTAACTGATTACGGAGATTGATCGATAGACAAAGGGTTCTTTGTCAGTGGAGGCCTGAAGAGCAGCATGTTTTGCATCAAGCTAAGATAGCTACGTCAACAAGCATCTAACTACCTAAGTAAGTATAGAAGACAGTTCTAACAAAGCTCAATCTTGGCTGACATGGGATAGTTCACAATGAGTTGATCTGAGCCTCGTGATGGCGATATACGTCACTGCAGAGATATGTTATAAAATCATAAAATTGCACTTAGAATTATGCAGCAAAATAATGCATTCTTATTACAGTTCCTCTTTGTTTTGCTGCTGGTTGATGAGCTTGGGGAGTAGCAAGACATCTATACTTCCATACAACCTATAACTCATTACCAATCCGTGCAAGTACAAAATAAAATACAAAAAATACGCTCGCGTTCGCCCCCAAATTGGGTTCACGTATGCACAACTCTTCTCGTAAAATCCATAAATGCATGCAGTCGTAGACTTTCGTAGACTTGGTGTTACACCCAACAGACCTGCCCGATAAGTTACAGGTCGACAAAGCCATAGGAGCACTGAGATTCGGGCCCGAGGTGGGCATCAGCCGAGGAATAGTCGTCGTCCTCACCTAGCATCTGAGAGTACATGCCGTCTTCAACGGGAGTGTACATGCTAATGCCAGAATCGTGCTGGTCTGGAGCTTTGTGATCTTCGCTAACCCCAACTGAATTTTCCATTGTGCTTTGGGGTGCATCCACGTCCAGACCTTCAGCGTGCATTTCTTGAATGGCTGTATCATTGTTAGTATATCTAAGCACCAACAGAGGCATAACAGAAGACTTACCGGAGGACGCTTGAAGGATGAAATCGAAAGCCACAGATTGCAGTTGCGCAGTGCTGTTGAGGTTGAGCTGGTACATGTCTGCAGCCTGGGGAAAAGATTTGACTGCAAATGCAGCACCTGCGACCGCCTCGAACAAGCGGAGGTCAGGTTGGTTCTGGATGCTGATGGTCTTCCATCGGCCAAGATCTCCGTTGAACCTAGATACGGTCAGTAATGTACAAGGGCGAAAATTAAGGACGACTTACATCTCTTCCAGCTCTTTGACTGGGCCTGGCACCTGATGGATCAAGCTATACGCCAACATGAGAGCCGGTAAGGCTGAGATGAGATCAACGCGTTGGTTGTTCGTCCCGATAGACTGCAGGTACTGGAGGCCATTCCCTAGGACGACAGCTGGGTGCCGGCAACGTTCCTTAACTTCTTCGAGGCGATCCATTTCACGGTGCTGCAAACTGCCTCTACAGTCACAGAATTTCTTCAGCCTCCGATATACCAGCCTCAGCCGCCTCATAAAGTGACGGGCTGAGCCATATCGGGACTTGTATGTCCCTGTGTACTCGAGGATCCTGTCTGTTGACTCTTGAGCGTTTGGGGAGACTCGAAGGTCATGAGGCCCTGGCTGGATGCGCTGAATCAATTGCTGGTAGTAGTCCCTGATCTCCTCAGGCGCACCAGAGAGTTCGTTCTGGATGAAATCGATGTTGTGGAGGATCCTGATATCTGGTGGTTGTAGGTAAGGGTTGATCAACTCCTGAAGATCCTGGAGGTTGCCTGTCTTCACGCTTTCCCTGAAGTTGGCTTCGAGTTCCTTCAGGTTATCTCTGTCTCGTGCCGGTGCAATGCAGGCCAAATGGAAGAATTGCCGAACATTCTGCAATTTGAAATCCAAGTCCTGCAGGGGCATCTGTGGAAACAAGCTCATGTGGTTCGAGCCATCTGGAGACTCCTCCTGTGGAAGCTCGGGAATGAGGTACTGCTGAATGTCCATGATGTGTAAAAGGAAGGACTTAGTGATGCTGATCTTGATACAGGAGCAAGTATAAAGTGCAGAAAGGGGGATGCTCTATGATGGGTGATGCTAGTGAGTAATGTACAAGTCTGGTCGTACAAAAATTGGATGGAAAGAGTGGTGAGTTCTGAGGTTAGTGATGGGGAAAAGGGAATGGTATATATAGGAAATTAATATTCTAAAAAGTTGAAACGAGCTCAAAATGACTTGTAGAAGTTTTTAGGCTTTATGAAAGTTAGACTCAGGATATCCACTGAGGCGAGAGGAAAATGAAGGCATCATGAGTTTCCTGGTGTTCAGCCCAAATATGTCCCCTAATCACTCAATGTCCATGGGTCTGTTTAACAAAATTTCAGTGCGCAGCAGCTTTAACCAGTGTATTGTTTTGAGGCCTATTATCTTGATATTCGTGGCGTTGTATATTGTAATTAGAATTGTGCTGCTTCAGTTGCAGTGTTGGTGTTAGGCAGAAGCGTGAAAACTTTTGAACGTAAATTCTATCCCGGAGGTCTTTAAGTTCGTTTATTCCCTCAAAAATTAAAGTTAGAGGATCATAAGAAACACCCATCAAAATTATGTTCTTGACGATATCATCTCCATATTTTAATTTGTTTGTTGAAGTTATTGGGCGTCTTTCAGGTAACAAATAGGGCACTGCTGTTTGAGTCCGCGACTGAACCAATTAATACTAGGCTCACAGTTTGGTAGCCCATCTCGAGATACCACAGCAGGCGCCTTTCTCATTCGGCGCTGCCACCATCCCCGTCTTGTCGGGAAATATCTACAGCAGTCCAGACACCAACTCCACGCCCGACTCGGTCGACCACGAGCGTCCCTTGGCCGAAACCTCCGGAGTAAATCACCCATGTTCAAACATGAGCATGAAGCTACAGTGCGTGAAGAGTCTGGCCTATTCCAAGTGGCCATGTGCGATTCACGGAGAGGTACAGAAAGGCTACACAGCCGTGAAGTTGCGAGTAAACTTTTGCAGGTCATCGCTAACATGATCTTGTCCACCTGCGGCGCTTGATCAAAGATCATGGTAAGAACCTCAGGCGGCAGTTCAAATAGTAGAGCTGAGTCTGAACTGCTCTCCGTATCAATCTGAAAGAATGAGTGACTCATACACAACGATTGGTCGAGGCTCGTACATACTGTTGAAGGGACTTTGAATGGAGTTGTAGAGCGACAGGTCTTGGGAGCTGATGCCGCAGGTCTACGTCTGAGCTGAACTGGCATGGCTCATGTTATTTGCAGGATATATTGATGCGCTATAAGGTAGGGAGGGAGCTGATAGGCATGAGTGCTTCACTTGTGAATGACGGGGAATTGGAACAACTGAATACTCCAACTGAGGTCATCGACTAAGCTACCTCTTGAAATGCATGGTCGCAGGACGTTCGGATGCAAAATCGCTTCCGTTGTCGCGTTGCAATAAGTTTAAGTGACCCATTCATTCCAGCATTAATTACGGGGTAAATGGTTGAACTCTCTTAGACTTAAGAACAAAGCCTTCTTTATTAATTAATTGCATTGTCTGATGGAACCAAGTAAATCGCGGGCTTGCATGCCAAAATCACCTGGGGAACACCTCGCGCGCTTCTGATTGGGCTACAGGCCCTTAATTGCCCGCTCCACCCCGCGACGCCAGACGCGTAAAGTCGCGTCTCCCTCTCTATGCATTTTGCCAACCAATTCCACTCCTTGGCTAGTTTCCACTCCCTCGATACAGATACTCAGCAAACAACGAAATCATGTTGCGGCAAGACTTGAACCGAATCGACCCCAAGAGGCGAAATGTCGTCGACCATCGCAAGAAGCAATTCGCTGCGCCTACATACAAAGATCTAGACTATCCTCATCGTCTCAACTTTTACACAGATCCTCCCACAGCGGATATCACCCTCGAGCAATTTGAACAATGGGCCATCGACCGACTTCGAGGTAGGCTGCTGAAAACTGCAGTAATGGGCGTATCTAATACTCGGTAGTTCTCGCTGAACTCGAAGCATGCTCGTTCCGCAACAAGACTCCTGCCGAGACTGCAACACACATGAAGCCCATCCTCAAGAAGCATCTTCACCTCGAGGCCAACAGCTCAGGCTCCAAGAAGATCTTCGAGCAACGCCAAAAAGACCACTACAGCCATTTCATCCTCCGACTTGCATTCTCGTCTACTGAAGATCTGCGCCGTCGATTCACCCGTGTTGAGACGATGCTTTTCCGCCTGCGACTCAATGATGACGATCTCGCCGAGCGATCTGCCTTTGTCAAGACTCTTGGACTAGACTGGTGCGAAGACGTAACAGATGAGGATAGGAGGGAGTATGCTGCGGAGTTAGCCGCCTTTTCTAGCAACCGAAAGGGCGAGAATGATGATGATGCATGGTTCAAGGTAGACTGGGAACGAGTTCCCGAGCTCATTGAGAGCCGAAGAGTGTTCTTGAAGGCTGGAAAGGCGTTTGTGCCAGGCCGAGAACAGGCTGGTATGGTAGTCTCGGAGTTCAGCTCGCGACTGGAGCGACAACTTGAGGTACAGCATCTGAAAACTCTTTGCCAAGGTCTGAACTGACAGTGTCTAGTTGACTGCCCGTGCCCTTCCCCGACTTGACGAGGATGACCGACTCACACCCATCCTCAACCATCTTTCCAAGAACTTCATCACCCCCGACGCATCTTACATGTCCAGCACAGCCGCTGTGCCCGGTGCCGAGATCAGCGCCGCCAACATCGACAACTTATCCCAACACTTCCCAGCCTGCATGTCCCACTTGCACCGCTCATTACGTCGAGACGCTCATCTCAAGCACTATGGTCGACTGCAGTACTCGCTCTTTCTCAAGGGCATTGGGCTCAACTTGGAGGAGTGTCTTGTATTCTGGAGAAAGAGCTTCCACAAGATCACAGATGACAAGTTCAACAAGGAGTACCGATATAATATTCGTCACGTTTATGGTGATGTCGGTGGTGATTCCAACCGAAGAGGAGGTGGTTATAGTCCATTCAGTTGTCAGAAGATCCTTACCGAGCATCCTCCTGGTCCTGGTGAGGCCCACGGATGCCCATACCGACACTTCAACATGGAGAACCTCTCAGCACTTGTCCAAGCTATGGGTGTTAATGATCGCTCTGTTCTCCAGGGCGTTAAAGAGGATAAAGACAAGCAAAAGTTTCACATGGCGTGCAATCGGTAAGTCTATGCTCATGCCTCGAATGACCTATGTACTAATTGCGATCGCAGTGTATTTGAGCATCTGCACAAGCAGGAGATCAAGAAGGCCAAGGATGAGGGTGTCATGACACAACAACAGCTCGAGACCATTGTTCACCCCAACGAGTACTTCAAGCGCAGCTTTCTGCTGAAGAATCTTGGGAGGGAGACGGATGTGAGAATGGAGGGCTGATAGCTTCACGGTCGTTGGTTTACGGAAACATGATGTTCGGATATAATGCGTTTGCATGTCTAACTTTGTAATTATGGTCTGTAGGGATTGGGTGTAAGGCGTTGGAATAGTCTTGGTGTGAGCATGCACGAAAGCACCTGGGTATGTAATCGAGAAGACAATCTCGGTAATCAGAAATCGAATATTCTTAGAAGCAGCATAGAAGCTCGCCCGTTGACCGCCGGGTGCACACAACAGCCCTATAATGCTCAAAATAAGTCGAGTTACACATACGCCACAACCTCACCGTTTCGCTCATTGTAGGGGGTTTCTGATCTTCATGTACATCATCCTCACACACCTCAGTCTATTCCCGCTTGGCGACCGTTTGGCCAAAAGAACCCATGTCAAATACCGCAAAAGCAAACCGTTTAGCAGCTTTTTCCCTCACAGGCGACGTCACGCACCCATGTCAGTGTTGTTTTTTATAGACCGCCCTGTTTTTGGGACTGCTCGATAACGTAACGTCGGTGTCGTGGTGGCCTGCACGATGAGGTCAGAGGGCGGGATGACGAAAGGGGGGTGGGTCATATTGGAGTGAGGGCATTCGCAGGGTCTTTGCGGGAAGATGCACGTTTTTGATGGTGTGTACGTGTTTGTGCAAGGGAATTGCACGGAAGGGCGACAGAACCCCTTTAATCCATGCTCTTGGTGTTCTGTTTCTAAATACGTGTTTCCTTTTGCTATTTTTGAGTTTGGGATCTCGGGGGCCTTGAGCCTCAAATGGAGAATATCTGATCTGATCTTTTGTGATGATCTCCCGTGCGTTTAGTTCTCCACCAGAAAAACTTACATGAGGTCCATTTCTTTTTCTGTTCTCTCCTCTTCCAACATCCAGGGCCATGACTTGAGCCCTTTTTCTCGGGGTTCTTCTTTTTCATTTCGGTGTGGCTCCTGTCACTGTCACCGCTCTGACCTTGTTAATAAAGGGAGCAGAGAAAACCCTTGACGCATGAGAAAACGTCATCCCTTGCGGCATCCAAGGTGAAGCTAACTCGCGTTGGAGTTGGCGCGCGGGGACCCTATGACATCTGGCTGCATAGCTCACGGGCGCAACCGTTTTCTGGTTAGACGGGGGAATGTGTACTGTACTGTATGGATGGATATGACCTGTCGGGGGTGTGTAAGACGGGTTAAAGAAAGAAAAAAGCGCTCATTTGCTGCATGGGAAGACTGAGAACTGAGGACGGTGATAACATCACGACACGACGTTGCTGTGCATGGGGGCTCGATAATTAGACGGTTAAAACGGCATTAAGACGGAACTGCTCAGAGTCTAGGGAATCACCAAAAGCGTTATTCCCTTCGGACGGATCGGCCTCGGGATGTTTGTTGCCATAACCTTCAGATCCGTCGATGCCGCTTCTGCTTTAAACGGACGACATGCCGAGCGAACGCCTTGAATCAAGTTCGGGGGGTCGGGTCTAGACCGGTGAGTGAAGTCTCACTATCTATCACGGATAAGAAGGACTCCGACGTTAATTGTCTTGTAGCCTTGTCAGAATGGTCAATTGTCTCTGCGTATTGCCTATCTTCTAAGACAAAGTGACATTCAGTGCATTCTACAGTATATACTCCCCAAGCTCCAATGTAAGGCAAGACAAGGGGTTCATTTTTTGTCTCACGTCTCATGCCAAGGAAAAAGGAAAGAGGAAAAGGCCAACGACATGACAGCCTCATAGTTGCTGCATGTCAGCTTTTGGAGCGGGCGATACGATGGATAGGTAGACCAGCAGGCTGGACATGTTTTTCACACTTCTACTTCTGTATGTGGTAAAATACCTACCTACCCTGGCTTCACTGCAACCCCTGCGGGTCAATGAGATGCTATTTCGAGCTTGGTCAAGAACGGTACTGAAACCCTGGACTGCAAGTTGAGCAAGGAAACGCAAGGCACACGAGCAGGAAAAAAAGCTTGGCACGGGGACTTTGAAAAGGTGCTATATCTTGGTGTTAGTGCAGCTGCTAGGTCCTGAATCGCAGAGGAATCAAGAAATGGCCATTTCGAGCAATTCGTACTCCGTAGTCTCGGATTGTTAACCTTCCGGCATTTAGACCCGTCAAGCCACCGCCGCCATCTTATTTCCTAATTCCTTTATTTTTCGCAGCTGCTGCCTTGAGCCTTTGACGGAGCCGAGGATGGCGAGCGAGCGGGGAGTCGGAGTGTTCTTAATCTGAGTCTTGACGAGTCTAGACCTGCATCTCCTCTATTTGAAGGATAACGGCAGATGCAGCTACGCAAGCCAATGTTACATTCCAATCCACTCCAGTCGACTACCGTAGCACTTTTGTAGACGCATGCATCTCCTCAACTGCCGCTCCAAAGTCAAATACCTATGTACATACTCCGTCTTGTTCCTCTCAATCTGCTACTACAGGCGCGTTGTGCGGCAGGAGGACAAGTCGTACATTAGCTCGTCTCGTCCATATGTGCTTTTTTTAGGCCACATCCATCATCCATCGTGTGGCTGGGATGTTCTGAAATGCCTATAACAGTTACGCTCGTGGCTTGCAAAGCTTGCAGAAGCGTGACAACGGTGCTGGGTAACTTGCAGTTAGGCTATGAGCTATCTTGGTACCTTTTACGGATAGCCCACGGCACTCATACTCAAGACTCCACTGTTTGCATCTGAGGTGCCGCACGCGAACTGACATTGACTTTTGATGGTTGGCTGGGCAAACCTAAGCTTTGCAGTCGACAGCTGAAATCTCCAGCTACGATTTGTAAGGGCGAGCACAAGCGCAAGTGCAAGTGCAAGTGCAAGTGTGAGTGTGACTGGACTGATTGAGTTTCAAGTGTCATTGTCACACGGACATAGGTAGATATTACATAGAGTTTATGCAATGATCGCAAGCCAATCTGCATGTGAGTGCGGCACCACTGCACTATTGGATCGATTGGTCTTGGCCTTGTTTCTCAGGGCAGGCACTCATATCCATGTCATGTCACGTCGTCGTACTCCGTAATCTCGACGCATCTCTGAGACGGCTCTAGACCACGACGAGTGGGACAGTGGGAATAGCCTCACAGAGGAGTAGAGAGAAAAAAATATGCAGATGCAGCTGCGGGTGCAAGATATTGGAGACTCCACTAAATCTGCAGAAATAAGCAAGTAAACAGAAATAGTGGAGTTGCTCTGGGCTCTGTTAAAAACCCTAACCGAGGAGAATTGCCAAAGCCGGGATAAAACCTGGAGTGACAGGCGGAGAAGAGCAGAAGGGAAAGGGGGAGGCGAAAAGGGAAAAGGACAGGTCTCAGAGTCTCAGATTAAAGTGAAAGTCAAAGTGAAATGAGTCGAAGCGAGACCGCCATGTCTCCATTCCCAACTCCGCTCTCATTCCTATCGATGAAGCCAGACTCAGACTCAGATCATGAAAACTCTCTCTATCTCTCTGTGCCCTCCATACACATCTAAAGCCCCCGCTTGAAGAGAAATGATTACGGAAAAGTTGGGGAGCCAAGACGTCAGCGGCTGGTATGTAACCTTTCGGCAGCCAACATCGAGTCTGCTGTTGAAATTCCTCTTGGACTGTCTCTAATTGGTTCTGAGAGGGGGAGGGTAAAAATGGCAATCACCGTTTGAGAACGAATGAGCCAATGGCAGTATTCCCGACCCTGGTCGGATGTAAATACGTGCTAGCAATGCGAGAGACGGCACGTAGCGCCGAGGGCTGTTGTAGTAGCCTGTAGTTAGACGGACAGTGAGTGTTAGAGATCAGGCGTCAATGACCACCAACTACATGACCAACACGCAAGACACAGATGAGATTGGTGTGAGAGCACAATGCACGAGACACAATGATATGATGAGATATGATATGATATGATATGGCAATTTTTAATAAATTGTTTCAATAAGCATATAGATAAAATAGCCTGCCCAGGAGGCTAAAGCCGTGCCAGGCACCAGGCCGTGGTCTTGCGTGTATCTACCACGATGAATAGAAGCGAACAAGTAAAAGCATCCAAATAACCCCAAAAATATCCGAAGCGCCCGGCGGCAATAAACAGGGTATCTGTGGGTATACAAGAAGAAGAAGAAGAAGAAGAAGAAAATCCGATAGTGTGACAATGTTATATATCCCATCCCAAAGAAAACTCCATACATGAAGGTCGTCAAATAGGTACACAAAAAATTGGTGGTCATGGAAAATTGACAAGACAGCGCCTCAAGTGGTATCCATCTCACATGAGGCAGTGAATGCAGTCTTTATCTTTTGGAGGGGTTGATCACTCGCAGGCTGGGCTGGGCTGGGCTGGGCTGAGCTGAGCCTGACAAGTGCTGATCCGGAAGCTGACGGGGTACCCATACATTGATGCCGGACATGCCGCACCCAATTACTCGAATGCCCTGAACCTCAAAAAATGATGGGAATTGGTTCCTGAGATTTGCAGGTGCTGAGAAGGTGGGTTTTGTCAGTGTCGTTGGGTTTTGTTTTTGCTTCGGTTGTTGTTAAGAGGGTGCCAATTTAGGTCGTCCTCGCATGTTGATGTTGACTGTCAACTATGCTTTGTGGTGATATATGGCTTTGCTCTTGGTGGTGATTGGGTATGCCAAATGCAAGAAATGGCTGGCTGACCCTAATGGCGGGAGAGGGATGTATTCATGCGGCACACTGGTGGTTAAGAGCCGAATATCATATTTCCTTTGCGCCGAAAAGGTGGTTGTTGTGTGTGTTGGCTGGCTGACTGGTTGGTTGGAAGAATCATTGAATGCTTTGGGGATTAACCGTCCATGTCGCAATGTGATTTGTTTCCCTCCACCGAGAAAGAAGAAGAAAAAGCTGAAAGTAGTTCGGTGTGTTACTCGTGTTCAGGCCTTTAGTTGTTGTGTGTTGGTTGATTCATTTATTTGTAGCCGACCATCTTTGCACAGCGTTCGCAGTAGTAGAGGTTGTGTGCGATGCGAACCATTCCCATGGTGCTGACGTCGTCGGTGGAAGTAGCCTCTACTGAGCGAGCGCATCGCATGCAGCGAAGAACCTCGACAGAGGCGATGGGGAGGGCGATTGAGTCCATGCTGTATCTGTGTCCTGAGCTGGAAGAGTCTGAGTCGGAGCCTGAAGAAGGTGTTGATGATGTTGAGCTGGTTGATCCAAAGTGGTGGCTTGAAGGTCTGGCAGACATGATGATGGAGACGAGGTTGGAGAGGGCAGACAGGGCGGGTTATAATATAGATAATTTCTGAGGTGATGTACCACAAGGGGCAGGCAGGCAGGCAGGCAGGGCAAGGAATAAGGAAGAAGAAAAAGAAGCTAAAGCCTTTTTTTCTGTTTGTTTCAAGTGGATGGGGATGTGCTGGCGCCTTGGTAATGTAATTGCTTTGCTGCTTTGTGCTGGCTCTTGCTTGAATGCTTCACCCTCAAGGGGGACTGTGCTGGTTAAGAAGGATTGAAGAGCGACCAGGGGCCTAGCCTCTTGAACTCTGGAGCCTTGAAAACAAGCCCGTCCGGGGGAGGGGGGTGTGTCTTGTGTTTTGTCTTGACCTGTCTGAGCCTGAACGGGACTGGGCACTGGGGACCAGGGAGGGCGCGCTACGCTACGTACGCTACGTCGTATACGTAGACGACGGGACAGAGAGACAGATACGGTAGATACGGTACGGGCGGATGGTACAGTTTCGAACTGTAGCACAGGTGGCTGAGGCTTAGTCCGGTCGATTGCAGCTGGGACAGTGAGCAGATTGGAGCCCCTCGTGTGTTTATTTGAGTGCACAATCAATCAATCGCTATCACTGAAGAGAGCCTAGAATGTACTAGGCTATTGTATGTATCGTATAGAGTTGAGTCGAGTCGAGTCGAGTCGTATCGTGAAATTCGTTTCATAAAAGGGATGTAGGTTCTGGATCCAAGGCGTTGTTCTGGGGGGTGAGCAGGCCTTTTTATCAAAAATGGCTTTATTCTTTTTTCTTGAACCTGCTAGCAATGGGATGCAACACACACATACACGGGCACCCAGAGAGAAACAGGGCAGCCTCTGTATGTGTGGTTTTTTGGGGGCTACGTAAGTTTCTTCCCCTTGGTCTCCTTTAGCTGTGCTGCTGCGGATCGACGATTTAACTGCTCGTCCACGGAGGTGTCTTGCAAGACGGCGTGTCGCGGAGTAAAGATCGGCAGCGGGTCGAAGAGAAACAGCAGCAAGACATTGTGCCAAGCCCAAGAACGAGCAAAACGGAGCGTCCAAGTTGAAGCACACGCCCCTCTTCAAGGCACCAGCTTTCAGTTCAGTTCAATTCAATTTGAGACCTGGAAAAAGATACATGCATACTTTGCATCTGCGGCATATGCCAGCACCAGACAAAGCTGAGCTGTTATCTAAGACTGCTCTCGGTGAGGGATAATTGTCTCAGCAACCATACACAAACTCTCGAGCTGTTGAGTCTTGGCTTGAAACTTGGCGTTCAACTCACTCACTCAATCAACAGAGCAAGCTCAGGTTCAGTCAAAAACGGAGGAGGCAGAGGGAGTGAGAGGGGGCGTGGCTTGGCTCGAACCCAATACCAGAACAGGCCTGGCCGATGCAACGTCAGGTCTTGGGTCTTGGGTCCTGAGTCCTGACCAGGCGAAACCCGTCCATCTCCATCTTGTCCGTTTAGTTTACCTTAACCCCTGTCGATTCATCTGAGATGCTCCGTTTTCTTTTTTGTGTTGGGCTTATGCGATCTATCGGGGCTTACGGGATCACCACTAGAGCTTTGTTTTGGCTTGTGATGATTGATTTGACCTGGCGGGTCGGGTTATGTTGGTGAGGCATCACGCAGTGTCTAATTGATTAACCGACTCCACGGAACTGCCCAGAAATATTCTGTTATTATCCCCTGCAGCGCCCGTGATTTAACCTCACGCCCAAATTCGTCCCGTTTTGAGGCTGCCTGATGTCTCGGATATGCCTGTATGTACTGTACCTCTTACAGAACTGTACATATGGCACGGGAGGAACCAGCTCAAAACTGCTTACGACGACAACGGGGCACAGCTTCAGAGACAAAAAGGTACAGCGCAATATATTCATGCATTGTTTGCTTTTTGGCAGCAATCTACTTATTTACCGCCTTGTTTAACCCGGGCACGAAAAAAGGAACAAAAATGCAAATGCAGATAAAGCTTGTTGCATTATTAGATGTCTTGTTGTCAATCGTCGCTCCGGGCTCCCGTAACGGGGTCTTCCTTGTACAATGGGAGCTTCCTGCAAATTAGATTGCAGAGTCTCGTGTTGATGAAGCTTCTAGCTTCAGGGCCCCAAAGTCTGTGCAAAAAGACCCTGTGCCTGTGCTGTATCGCTCTCGCTTTTCACCTCCTACAGCTTGGACCAAGATGAGTTGTCCAGTGTTGCTCTGGCAAGATGAGTCAAATGTACGGTAGACGTAGACGGTAGTACGACAATTCAACATGGTCCGCCTCATGAAATTGAGTTCACCGTTAAAATAACCCCGGATCGGCCAGCTCAGCCCAGCAAGGGCACGAAGCCACAGGGATTAATTAGGTAGGTAAAAGGACATATCGAGCTGACTGCGTGCGCCCGTCTTCCGCGGGTGCCTGCTGCCTCTTGTCTCAACTGATTGTCCAAGTGACGGGCTTTTCGGCTTGTACGGCATGCGTATGCCATGCCATGGTGATTGATAATGGATGGCGACGCTTGAACCGCGCCGAAAGGCCGCGCAATTGATACAATAAGCATCCATTGCATCTGTCACATTTAAACAATGGCGTTCGCGTCGGGCGGCATGTACATTACAGCACGGAGTAGATGTGATGCAGTAATTAACCCTTGTTGTGCGACCAACATTATATGAAGGGCGGATCTTTGGATGGAGTCTTGAATCCTAGGGTGAATTTCACACATATCGCGGGATCCGATGAGTCTTGAGAGAGAGAGTTTGTTCCTGTTCTTCATCCACGGTCAATGCATGAATAACTTTGAGAGAAACAAATCGGTGTCGTTTCTCAACACATGAAAGAGTCGCTATTGGGCGCCCGCCAAGCTTCCATTTTGACAGGATTGTAATTTGCAAAGTTTTGTCCTCGTATGGAAAGGCGCTATTGGATGGCTGTCACTTACAAGCCTCAATCCTGATGCAACGTAGACAACCCAGCTCAGCCCAGCCCAGCCCATCATCACAGAACAGAACAACAGAGCCGCCCGCGACTACGGGCACCACCACGATCTAAGCACCGGGGTGATCCAATATCCACAGGGAGGAAGATGAGCAGAATGCTACATACAGCGCAGCACACCGCGTACCCGGGGATTCGGGTCGTTCAGTTTTTCAGGGCTGCAACGCTGGTCTTACGGGCGGGCTCCAGTGTTTTGAGGTCGAGCTTGAGTGAATGATACTCTATACTCCGTACAGAAGAGATGATGGACCCCTAATTCCTTTTGAGGGCTGACTCTGACCGAGAGCGAGAGCGAGAACCCTGTCCTTGCATGATGAGCCTGAACCGTTGGATTGGGCTCTGAGCTAGCGTTTAGTGTACCCAGAAATAGAGCATTGTTGAAATGTGTAAATTGGCGTGTTGGGCTTGACAGTGAAAAGTCCACCGCCGTGGAAACTACAATGCTGTAGAGTTGAGTTTCATGATGTTTATGACCGCTTCTTCTTTGCTGTCTTTTGACAGTGGATCGTGTTGGGATGAATTGCTATTTCGGGTGCATCTTCCCGCCCTTTGGTTTCTTTACAGGGCCCCTTGCCGTGACTCACAGGGACCTTGCGAAGAAGCTGTGTTGTTAACATGCAACTGAGCGAGGTAAAGGGAGTGGGTTAACGAGATATCACAGTAAGCGGTAAACGGAGTTAGCGAACGGAGATCTTGGCAGGGCATTCCGTTCCGGCGTTTGGAGTCAGCCTCCAAAACAGTCGTAGCGCCATCGGCCACTCCTTTGATGACACAGCCAATTTCCGATCTTCAGGGCACAGAGACGAGAACCTTGGTCGGGCCATTAGAACAGGATCGAAGGACTTGAAAGCTTCGGTTTTTTACTGTCTTGTTCTGTTCCTTCTGTCCCATGACCCAGATCCCACTAGTCGGAGATGATTCCGTTTCAATGGCGATATCTCGTCGATTCGCTTCACGGGTGTGGGTAGATGGGTAGAGTCCAGAGCATTCTAACGAGATATCTGAATGTTCTGGACGGGAATAACGACAGATGACTGGCTCCGGAGCTGTCTGTCACTCTGCTGATACATACATGTGTCTTTTTGTTGAGCATGAAAAAGAAAGACATGGCATTGCATGGACACATTGCATTGCAACAGACGGCCCTGAGCATCTCGATGTCGTCCGTTACGGCTTCATTGGATTGGTCCTCAAAGTTGCAACGTGCTTTGCCAAGACCTTGAAACAGAGTGCAAAGCACCATTCACGTTCACGCTATCACACCCGGCCAAGTCGTGCCAGTCACATCCGGCACGGCACTCGAGACAGGCAAAAGCACCCCTATGACTCCGAGTGCCATCGGCATCGTACTATGGCATGCAATCGACATCGTGAGCTTCCTTCACAAGCACCGGAGCTTCTCCGTCGACCTTGTTCTTGTCTAGGCTGCCTGCATGACCCCGTTGGCGATGGCAATACCCTGCATCTCATCATGATCCCTAAAAGCGAAATTGATGACAGGGTTTGAGTTATTCCCGATCTCAGTAAATCATCATCGTCTAGCCAGCAGTTCCGAACATCGAGAACTTACCTTACAGTGGTGCTCGATGGAGCTGTCAATAGCCGTCTGGATGATGCAATCTCCATCGCACGCGCGTAATTCATCCCTCGAAACATGACACAAGGGAAGCGCTTATCGCAAAACTGACGTCGACAGTTACGCAGCACCCACGTGCGATTGAAACCCTCTCGATGCCCAGAACCAGACTTACTCATCGGATCAGCGAGTGAAACTGGAGACGTAGTGTGATTGATCGTCGGATTGCCGGGACTGGGCTTGGGCGGGAACGCTTATCAGAACCCGCGATCGTCTATCATTTTTCCTAATTTTTTGCCTTTCGATGGTCCCGATGAGAAGGAAGATAGATATGTGGGGTTTTAGACTAACGTGCGTAGTAGGTAGGGGGATCTTGATTGATTCATCGAAAGATTATCAGCCAAGTCAGCTCAGGTGTGGGATGAGAATCTGTTTGATCTTCGTTACAGAGGAATTAATCATCGAGATGTGTTTTAAGTAGACTGGTTAAGTCGTGTCGAGTCGTAGATAAAGACACACTGCACTTGTCTCATCGCGATCGATCACTAATATACGAGTGAGTGGTGTCGCTCCGTTCAGCCCTTTGGAGAGACCGTTTTAAACTGGACTGATGGGTCAGTCTAGAGTTTGAGATAGACAGAGCCATCCACATCGTCCAGACACAAAACGGCCGCCAATTCAGTGGTGGTTTTGAGCAAATGCCCATGGCCATGCCACCCACAATTCCCATAACCCGATTACCAATTGCCCATGGCGCGACACACAACAGACACCCCCTCTGGCCGTATTATCATCGAATGGAAACTCTCTCAGCGTGTTGCTTAGTTAGTGTATGTACAGTACAGTAGTGAGTAGATGGAAAATGTTCCTGGGAGCCAACGTTAGGTAAGACCCTTTGTTGTAGATCGATCTGGAACACGCTCTAAAAGACCGCCCTCATCAAGTGACGGAGCCACATCGAGATGGCGACGCCACCGGCCGAGATGCTCTACCAAACCTTCGATGGGCGTCCGTTTTCGTTATAAACAGCCAGAGAGTCCTCCCGTCCGGAGCTGCTCCTGGTAACCAATGGCCTCTCTCTCTCTCTTTGCACAAATATCGAGATGCTTGCTTTTTCCCACATCGACATATCCATATTCTAATCACAATTCTCGATCTCACAGATTTACGATGGAGGAATGGAAATGTATGTAGCCTCGCCTCATCAATGCTGCAAGGGGATCGAGACGGAGATACTCTAAATCGGGGATATGGATGACCCTTTTCTTAATTCCCACCCCGTGTACGCCCTTCCCCCTCTGCTCCGTTTTCTCATTTTGCCTATACTACAGTGGGATAGAACCTTACGCGTGTCTGTTTTATCTGATGCGATAATATGTAGTATGCGATGCATGCGATACGATGCGATGCGATGCCGCGGCAATTCTACCGTATCTCCCATGGAGCCCGATGCATGGCGCTCTAATTAATCGAGCTCCCCGACCCGACGGATGCGACGGATCAGTCGTCAGTGTCTTCTTTGTCAGACGATCACGAATTGCTTGGCAAGCCGTGTCATGTCAAGAATCACTAACTGTCTCTAGCACTGGTCTTGAGGTTATTGCTGACAGATGGTTCCTTTTCCGCTTGAATTGCTATTTCCGTATAAAAAAAAAAAATAAAAAAAAAGAGGAAATAATGCCGCTCGCCATTTTTAAGTGAGTGGGTGAGAGTCAGACTGTTAGACTCATGGCTCTGGAGTCTAGAACACTGGCTTGGCAGGGTCCCCTAATTCTTCAGTGCCTCATCCATTTCCTCACTGGCTGGCGTTTTGAACTGGTGGGCCCCAAAAGGTCCCTGAAGCTGAAGTTTGATGAATGATCGACCCGCTTGGACATCCATTTAGACGCTGAGCAACGTGTGTTTTGCATATCATTAAATTACAAATGGAAGCCAACCATTCTAAGCAGTAAACCTGTCACAGCCACCATGTTCTGACGAAGCCTTTTTCTCTTCTGTCAAACCCCCGCAAGCGCTGACAAGAGCAAGAGAGTGTTGCATTGCAGGACTGCAGTCCCATGCGGCCTAGAATTCGTCTTCGCGGGCTTCTGCTGGCAGGAAATTGCATGGCACTTATGTGAGACGTTGGAACCGTATTCCAGAATACGCCATCTTGCAGAGCTTGGATCTCAAAATGGACTTTTAAGCCACGGGCCCGGTGATCCCAGGGCTGAAGATTTATGGAGCGGTGAATCCCTTTCTTTTTCTGGTCCTCTTACAAATTAAGGGTCCTTTTGAAAAGGTCCGTCCGGTCTTGCTCATCACACGAGGGAGGCTCTAGATCTGGGCCTTTGTTTTACATGCTCAGGTTCCGGGCCATAAGCTCGGCCAATATGACTGATCTGTTTCGGCCTGACTCTAGAAAAACGTCCGTGGTCTGGCTTCCTTGATGCGGCAATAGGTGCCTGTGCTTGATGCATTGTAACTGAGCGCTATGCAGCTGATTGCTTTCGACCACATTGCATCCCGGGTACTGTACTCACGGAAGACATCGATGTTTTGAGTAGGCGAGTGTTTCCGCGTGATCAGCCCTCAGGCACTTGGTCAGTTATTTTATCAGTTATTCCATATGACACTTTTCTATCAGATCATGATGGAGCTCGGGCATGCCGATGCGGATCAGGCAGGGCTTGGCTTTATTGATTTTCAGGGCAGAGTCGCAGAGGGTAAGTCAACAAAGACATTTGAATCGGTGCTTTTACTGTAGTCTCAGTGTCTCTAAACCATGCTGCTATTCTTGTCTGGCTATTGACTAAAAGCGTTGTTGTTCTGGCCAGTCAATAGACTCAATACTACAGTACACTACGCCTCCGGAAAAGACCGTTATCGATCTCCCGGCATTCATACAACGTTGCTTCAATTAAAGCCCTTTTCCGCTCCTGCCGGGCTCCGAGCGTTCCTGGCTAATTCGAGAGCATGTCCATTAATACGATACCCCAGCGAGCACTATGCCATTTCTCTACCTCGGGGTCTCTCAATCGCCCTTCTCCGTTGCGCCTTGTCGCAGAACCAATAGCGAAGCGCAGTGGCACAGGAAACCTTCGCACAGCCGTGCAGTCCTATTGGATGAATTGGTTCTCAGGAGCGTGGGAAACTCGTCGGGAATACCCAAGATCAGCACAGCGACGTTCTAGACCCTTTGGATCCATGGGTTGCGTGTCCTCGTGCCCTGAGCCACAGTTCTTGGCTTCGTAGGCTTTGCTCCGTTGGTCTAGAACGTGTTACGAGTGCTACTGTGGCGCCCTCATTTTGCGGATGCGACGGGAGGGATTAACTTAACTTATAGCATAACGGTTTTTGTTGTGAAGCCCGAGAGATCAGAATGACACGATAATGACAGGGGAGGGGAGGGACCAGCTTGAGAATGCGTTGCCATGCCGTGACATGCCGTGCCATGCCATGCGACGCGGGCGGTTAAAACGGTGTTTGTGATTGAGGTCACGCGAGGCTTGGCGCGAGTTAATTTTTGTGTCTTGGGCGTTTAAGGCTGCGAAGAAATGACTGATTGCTCAATCTTGTGACCTTGAATCGTCCAGGGTGCAGAGTATGTGTTTCGAGAGATGCTGTCGTGGCTGGGTTGGTTGTACTCATGCAGGGTCTTTTGTCTCACACCCTTATTCTGGCTCTGATATTGATGACTTGAGTTTGTTAGGACTTTGGTGTCTCGGTTTGGCCAACGGCGTAGTTGGTTACTGGCATTGGGTTTGGTGTTGACCTTGTCTGCGAGTATCAGGCAATCAAGGGCATGCATGACTATTGGTGAGACCATGCCATATAATAGTTCCGTAACATACGGTGCCAGACGCAGCAGCGCGACATGAACAGATATTGTTGACATCGACAATTCACATCTGTAGGACTTATAAGTCAAGTTGCAGGCGGCTATCACTCGCTAGCTGCCGAGCGAGTGTCGATCATCTCCGTCTGGGGCAAGTCTGGCGAGTTTACCCTACAGCATTTCTCAGGTACCAGGGGCAAACTTGGAAGCTCTTTGTTCCTAGAAACCTGTTTTATTGAATGTGTTATACATATACATTGCCGCTGCCTGTAATTTACTCATCTACGTTTGCCGTTATATAGAACTGCTTGTGCCAGCGCTTCATTGTCGGGTGCTGAAGCGGCTGAAAGGGCTGTCAAAGATGCACCAATCTCAGTGGTTGGCTCTGCAGCTGCCTGACGCATTACGTGGACATGCATTCAATCTCACCACCTCAATACCGCAACTGAGTCACAATTATCGACAGTAGAATATCATCAGAATGAGTAAAGAAATGGATCTCATTGATACCATGTCCATGGCTTCCACTGTCGATGGCCAAGGTACGCCTACACACACAACAACAACCGAACACTGCAGAGATTACACCGAATCTGTTCCCTACCCCGGAGCAACCTTCATCATTCGCCATCGCGACTCAGGCAAAGTCATCACCATCGTCAACGGCGACCTCCGACTTTGTGAGGGCTTCAACCCGAGAGGAGGCTTTCACTGGGAGTGTATCGAGCGAGATAGATGGCTGGGCTTCCGAAACTGTGTTTCTGGGACTATCATCGGCCACAACGACAGGAAGAAGTTCATCGCGCGAGTCGATCACCACCAGTCGCATGAGTATTTCACACTTCAACCGAGTCCGCAGGGTGGCTATGAGCTCTTGATGAGACATGGCCAAGAGCTGTGGAGTATGGCTGTTGGAGATGATGGAAGTGAGTTGGTTGAAGTGAAGGGTGAAGGTGCTCTATGGGACTTTCTCAAGGCTTGATGATGTTTATCTTTGGATCTGGGAGACTACTTTCATCTTATTCATGGTACAGTGCCTCTGAGCTCCGACACATAGCCGCGAATGCCCTCCTTTTCTTTATCGCTGAGAGATATCTGGAAATACCTCTCAAGAGCTTCTACACGTTCCCCTTGATTGTCACAAGTGGTGATGATCTGTGTCTTTCCGCCCAGGTTTTCTTTAATAACCCCATTCACAAGCATTCTCTTTCCATAAATCTCCATCTCCCCTTCAAAGCTCGCCTCAACCTCCACAGGCCGAAGCAGAAACTTGATAGTCAACAAGTTGCGTCGCTGATGGCTATCCGCGTGAGTGTTGATCCACCAGTTTACAACATCCCAGTCCAAAGCGAAGAACTCGATGCCAGGAAACGAGTAGAAAGAGTTCCACTCTTTGTCTTCGCCGTTCCGATACTGATAGATCCAGAGTTTAGTCTCTTCTGTCTTGTGGACTTGATGAGGTATCCAGTCTTTCTTGAGTCGGATTTGCTGGGTTCCAAGGTTCTTGTGTACTAAACCGTCGACGAGTGGCATTGGCATCGTGGCGCCGTCACCTCCGAATGCTACATCGGAATGATATTTGCTGCCATCCGGGAAAGTGATGATATTCACGATATGGTTCCTTAGTGTCTAGTCAGTGCTTGATTCATGTTGCCAGAATACTTGCATGTCTAAAAAGAACATGAGGTTATTTGTACAGTGATAGCCCTGATTCTGGTCCCTCCATGTGTAGAATTGACTTCCTCGTTCAATCACAACAACTGAGATACAGTAAGCTACTTACCAGCCTGGATAGTCCCCTCTTGGAACACCCTCAAGTCTCCCTCGAGTTCGTACTCCAGCAGTATATACATCGAATCCTACGGCCCGAAGAATGTGGTTGTACAAGATCGCAATTTCCATACAGAAACCACCCCGTCCCCGTCTATCAGTCACCATCTTTCGAAAAAGGTGTTGAGGGTCGAGGTCGATGCTATGAGTGGCATTATAGTGCAGAGATAGGTTTTCATACGGGAGCGTGGCGAGCGAGTGAGTGTGCAAGGCTTTCAAGAGCATCAAAGAAGGCCGAATGTCTTTTCGCAGCGCTTTGGGAAGATCGATGTGATCGAAGAACTGTGAAAGTTGCTCTTGAATATATGCGGAAGCCATTTTGAGACAATTTAGTTTGGTAGAGACAGGCTTTTCAAGATGATCCAATGTTTCTTTTAAAGCTAAGTTGGCGATGAGTCATTTCTGGTCCGACCTGATGTCGTGCTTTTGGAACACTAGACGCTCGCCAGGATGTCTTGGAAACCTAATTGGCCGCAAAGCCTTATCAGAACATTGAAGCTTCCCGGAAAACCGATCCTGAATACTTTCCATGAGTGAAGTGAAACAATTCGAGCTGGCCGAGCTCCGTCTTAAGTCCCTCAACTTCTCGGCTAGTCCTAGATATATCCTAGGTGCATCGAGGAAAGTGTTTATTTCTCTTGCACGCCTCCTGTTTCTTAGGGTACTCTCTATTTATGAGAGAATAATTGGTGAAAACAATGATCGACCTGGCACTGGTATTGTGAGAGTAGATCTTTCACAAATCTATGATTTTGAAATCGAAGCACGAGTTACAGATACTCAAGGAAGGATATAAGAGTTCCAATAGTTCTTAAAAGCTTTATTACTTAATTGCACTTGATATAGTGTCTTGGTAAATATTTAGAGAGCTAACCCATATGGTGATTATTTCTAACCTATTGCTACACATCCATTCCATCGCTCATCATCCAAGCCCGAGTCTTGATCTGAAACGCTCGGGGATTTGTAGGCCAGGTTGTATCTTGTTCATTATCTGAGGTTTGTGAGCGACTAGCTTCAGCGTGAAGTTGCTCTAAGTGACGTGTTTTTCCTTGGCTATGTAAAGACCCTTGCCTGATGATACATCGTGTTGCGTCAACCGTGTAAGCAGTACCGGCACTATCACGCCTGATATCTGTCTTTAGTGGTATAGTTACGTCCACCTGCTCGGCTTGATTCTCATGTTCCCATAGCTAAACCAAAGACCAGCTTACATGCCGAGATTGAAGTGCTTTGTTATCAAGATAGAGAAGTGCGTCTGATGGTAAGCCTTTGGATACAGCTCTATTGTCTCAGTGCTTTCTATTTTGACAGTGGACGTGAAAGTGAAGCCATGCCGAATGGCAGTTTCATCTACTCCTTGAATACTTGCCAGCCAATATCCTTCGAGTGGAAGATCACAAAGCCACAAGGTGCCAAGCTGGAAATAAACAAGATTATAGCGTGCTCCTGCCATCAAACAGTCATGTGTCATGATCTTCGAGCGTTTCTTTGGCATTCTGGCTTTGTTGGTCCCAGAAAGGCTTCATATCCAAGCTGATTCGGCGAGCAGCAAAGTCCTCTTCTGTCAAATCAGCTTTACTCATTCCATATCTATATAGACCTGGATCAGGGATGATTCAAAGTATGAGATGGATCTGGGATCTTGAACAGCTTTAGGCGTAAGTTCTGACCGGTATCAGACGTTGTAAAGAAGATAAGATGCTTCATAGATTTTGCTACACAATTACTGCTGGATATTGGCCTCCACCTCAATCTCAACGATCATACCAGGAATACCCAACTCGGTAACACCCACGCAAGTCCAAGTTGGCTGATGATCAGGCATCCACTTGCGAAACTGTTCAACCATGAGGTCAAAAGAGCCCGAGAGGGAGATGTGATAGCTTCTGACGGAGTGAACGTCTGCCCAACCTCTTGCACCAGCGTCTTTGAGGTTCTTCTCAACGTTCTTGAACGCAAGGTCAATTTGACCCTTGAGATCTTCTTTGTCGATGTTGCCTTCACTGTCCCATCCGCCTTGGCCGGAGCATTTGACGCTGTTGCCGACGCGGACAGCTTGTGAGTAGGAGTATTCTCTGTTGTTGGTCTTGCCGACACCTTCGTAGTTGTAGTAGGTGAGATGAGACATGATGCAAGTCTATTTGTGTAAGCACTGAGATAAGACTGGTAGGGAAGTTGGAGGCTTACGTAGAGCTGGGGATTTGTGACTGAGAGGTACAGATCTTTGAACAGTCGCTGTGCTTGATGCTCGTATCAGAGGCACAGTTTCCCTTATGTACTACGCAACATGATACACAATACCACCACCCAAGATCTTGGCGCATGGCCATGATGATCGCAGAACCTATCATGAACATTTCACCTTGGCCACCTCGTCATGCCACAACGACCGAGTGGCCACCCAACATTCCTATTCCAGTTTGACTCCCTCACTCTTGAGAGCTGTATCTCCCTTTCCCCGCAGAATTGCCCAGAAACATCCCAGATGCAGTTTGAGATAAGACCTGCCTGTGGATTGTAAGAGGCCCAAAAAGTTGCCCAAAGCAGAATAGCCCACGTTCCCCCGCATCGTGGGGTTGTAGATATCGTTAGTGTCCCTCCTCATTCTGGCCTGAATACTTTCCTGACTTGAACTGGGACATCATGAGAGACTGTATGAGGAAAGGTTTGGGGCCAATTGAAGTGCTATCAGCTGAATGTGCAGCAGAATTGTCATGATTGAGTGAACCCCGCAAACATGGATGGACGCGATGGTGTCTTGGTTGGTGGTAGTTTATTGGGTGTACGAGCTCCGAGGACAGTTGCCGTCATTTGATGCGTCGCACTCATTATAAAAGATCATACCCCATCCTTCGTCATTGTATACCTCATTCTACATTCAGATTTCTCTTATTCTGCCCCCCCCCCACCTTGCCTCTCTTGCATATCTCACAATGGCATCAACCACATCAATCACATTGCCCAATGGCAAGAAATACGACCAACCCACTGGTCTCTTCATCAACAACGAGTATGTTGCCGCTTCAGGCGACGAGTTCACAGTGACAAACCCAGTGTAAGTTCCCAGCAGCCCCCAACTCTCTAATTGAACGGGAACTCACACGTCCCAGCACCGAGGAGGAAGTCATCAAGCTCAAGGGAGCTTCAAAAGAAGACGTCGACAAGGCCGTCCAAGCTGCGCGCAAAGCTTTTGAAGGTGAATGGTCAGAGCTCGCTGCTGTGGACCGAGGCGCGTTCCTCTACAAGCTTGCTGATCTCATTGATCGCGACCGTGAGCTCATCGCTGCTATTGACGCCTTTGACAATGGCAAGGTACGTATCAATGCTCCTTAGTCCGATTGCATCGCTGACACTGTCGCTAGCCTTTCAGCGCTTGTCTCGCTGGCGATCTCGACGAGTCGTACAATGTCTTCCGATACTACGCTGGTGCCGCCGACAAGATCAGCGGCAAGACAATTGAGACATCTCCCGCCAAGCTCGCATATGTCCTCCAAGAGCCTCTTGGTGTCTGCGGACAGATCATCCCGTGGAACTTCCCTTTCATGATGCTCGCTTGGAAGGTCGCGCCAGCGCTGGCATGCGGTAACACTGTTATCCTCAAGCCCGCCGAGCAGACGCCGCTATCTGCTTTATACTTCGGTAACCTTGTCAAGGAGGCTGGTCTCCCTGCTGGCGTTGTCAACGTGCTGCCTGGTCTTGGCCCTCAGACTGGAAAGGCTATTGCTGGACACATGGACGTTGACAAGGTTGCATTCACAGGCAGCACCAATACTGGTAGGGCTATTATGAAGGATGCCGCGAATAACCTGAAGAACATCACGCTTGAGTGCGGTGGCAAGAGTCCTTCAATTGTCTTTGCGGATGCAGAGCTGGAGCAGGCTGTTAAGTGGTGCCACTTTGGAATCATGGACAACAAGGGAGAGGTGAGCTTGATAGCCCAGTGAACAGCGATATGGATACTGACAGTATATCTTAGGTTTGCACATCCACCTCGAGAATCTACGTGCATGAGGACATCTACGACAAGTTCCTTGAGAAGTTCGTCGCAGTCACAAAGGAGAATGACAAGCTCGGATCTCCCTTTGAAGAAGCAACGGTCCAAGGACCTCAAGTCTCCAAGACCCAATTCGATCGAGTTATCTCATATATTGAGGAGGGACGCAAGTCTGGTGCTAGACTCCTATACGGTGGTAGCAAGCACGGCGACAAGGGCTACTATCTCCAGCCAACGGTCTTTGCAGACGTAAGTTTTCGCTCCAACAATACCAAAAGGTATTCTGACTCAAGTAACAGACTACCGAGGACATGAAGATCATGAAGGAAGAGATCTTTGGCCCTGTTGTCTCTATTGCCAAGTTCTCAACAGACGAGGAAGCCATCGCTAAAGCCAACGATACATCCTACGGTCTTGCAGCTGCTCTATTCACCGAGAAGATCTCACGGGCACACAAGGTCGCTCGCAAGCTTCAGGCTGGCATGGTCTGGATCAATTCGTCTGGCGATTCACACTTTGGTATTCCCTTCGGTGGATACAAGTCTTCTGGAATTGGTCGTGAATTGGGACAGTATGCGCTGGATGCCTACACTCAATCCAAGGCTATTCATGTGAACCTGGGATTTGAGCTGTAAGAGAGGGTGATATGAGACAGCCATAATGATACCATTTGTTACATGACTGATTGCTAGGTTCTGCTGAGTGCTTAGTGAGTGTCTCTTCTCTAGCTCGGTTATCTTCCGATGGATCCCCAACATATTTAGCTAGTATCTGTGAGATTGCGACCTTGGACTCCTTATCAGCATCCTTATCTCAATCGACCAGTCCAAAAAACAGGCAAGTCAGTCACTCGGAAAGTCTCAATAACGCCGAAAACCGGAGCCGACACATACTACGTACGTAGTGACAGGGCGAGACGAGCCAACGCTCGGGTTCTGTTTCCTCTTTATCGCATCCGAGCCCCATGACCGGATTTCGGACCGCCTTATCGGATGCGCGATCCCCGCTTTATCAGTAAAGCATGTAATCTAATTCGTTGGAGGCTTGTCAGTGGAGAACGACTACAAGCAAAAGGGCGTCCAAAAGATACCTGATAACGTCGGCATTCGTGTCTCGTTGCCCGAGATATTAGATATAAATGATAGTATTCAGTCTTATCTTAATTATACTATGGACGTGATAAACCTAATAACAAACTTGAGTTCAACATACTGCTCCTTACCGCGCAAATAGTCCCCCTTCTACAACAACAACATACCATATACCACAGTCACAATGACAGTTACAGACCCAGTCAGTCCAGATGCTATCAGGGCAATGTTTGCCTCTGCCCTTTCGAGCATGTATCGACGTGAAGTTCCCCAATATGGCACACTCCTCAAGCTTGTATCCGATATCAACCACCAGAAACATCAACCCATCGAACCCCGTATCGAGGTTGAACGTCATGGAGCCATCAGACTCGGAACACCAGAAGAACTAGTCATGATGAGGCGACTATTCGCTGTAATGGGCATGCATCCTGTTGGTTACTACGACCTCACTGTCGCCAATCTCCCAGTTCACGCAACGTGTTTTCGACCTCTCACACAAGAAGCCCTGGCATACAACCCTTTTCGGGTATTTACATCTTTATTACGACTTGAGCTCATCGAGGATGAGACACTTCGGACACAGGCTGCCGATATCTTGCGAAAACGCAATATTTTTACAGATCGATGTGTAGAATTGATCGGAATATTCGAGTCACAAAAGTCTTTTTCAAAAGAAGTCTCGACTGAATTCATAAAAGAAGCCCTCGAAACATTTCGATGGCACAAAACTTCAACAGTTGACATGAAAACATACAAAGCTCTTCGAAAAGCACATCCCTTGATCGCAGATGTCGTCTGTTTCAAAGGACCTCACATCAACCATCTCACACCCCGGGTTCTCGATATCGAAACGGCACAAGTTGAAATGCTTCGATATGGCCTCCAAGCCAAAGACGCCATTGAAGGACCTCCACCAAGACTTTGTCCCATCCTCCTTCGCCAAACAAGTTTCTTAGCCCTTGATGAAGCAATTGCTTTTTCAGAGGGAGAAGAAACTGGAGGAAGTCACAAGGCGAGATTTGGAGAGATTGAGCAACGAGGAATGGCTCTGACGCCCAAGGGAAGACGTCTATACGATGATCTTATCAACGAGTGGCGAGGGTCTGTAGCTGAGCTCACGTCTGATGCCAAGTCTGGTTCGAAAGAGCGGATTCTTGCAAAGGTTTTCCAGAAGTTCCCTGATGACTTGGAAACCATTCGAAAAGAGAACCTTGCATACTTTACATATACCCCTTTCTCTAAGCTACCAAAAGACTCTGATGCGAGCATCGACAGTCTTGTCAGCTCCGGGGCTGTCAAGGCTGAGCCGATTACATATGAGGACTTCCTGCCTGTCAGTGCAGCTGGAATCTTCCATTCGAACCTTGGAGAAGACGGTGGCTTGAGTCATGTCACAGAAGCAGATCAGGGATCTTTCGAGAAGAGTCTTGGATGTCAGGTCAAGAAGGAATTTGAGCTGTACAGTGAAATGCAGGAAATGTCGATTCGAGGATGTCTGGAGAAATAATGGGTTATGATTGATGATTCTGGTTATCTTAGCGACTGATGGAAGGATATAACGATATGAATATGATTATTTGATTTCGCATTGAGTATATTGATACAGTTATCCAATGTTCTAAATCTTTCGATTGGCTGGTCGAGGTTAGATCTTCGCTGATGGCCCCCTTGAGTTCGAACTCTTAGCATCGACCTCGATTTCTAGCCTCATACCCGGAAGAGCCAACTTCGCAACACCCAACACAACACCTCCAGGTCGATTGTTAGGGATTCGCTTCTTGAGAGCCTCAGCTAGAGGGGATAGTGTGGCGTCAATATCGGTATGATAGCTGCGTATGTAATAGACATCTTCCCATCCGCGAAGACCAGCCGCTTTGAGAACATCATCCACGTTTTGAATGGTCTGTTCAGTTTCTTGATTGATATCGGTGGATATTTCGCCTTTGGAATTCCAGCCGCCTTGTCCTGAGATTTTGAAGTGGCCGTTGCCGAGTTCTACGGCTTGGGAGTAGTGGACGGCGTCAGAGAGGGTTTGGGTGAAGCCGGGAGGAGTGGTATATTTTATTGAGGACATGTTGCAAGGATATAAATACAGATATATTGGTGATTGGGAAGTTTATATCGAGAGAACCGAGAATATCTTGAGTGGTGTCGGAAGAAGGTAGTGTGAGACTTCTCAGCTGTTCAAATGAGGTCGTCATACGTTTATATATACCTAGATCGGATAACGTTGGAATAAATACAACTATTCTGAATTAATAATTCAAGACGATATCATTACAGCCATTAGACAGTAATCGTACGCTTGAGGACTTGTTATTGGTCTCGGCCCTCGGCCGGCTTGGATAACCGTGCATGCCGTGTCCGCAACTCTATCCTGGGAAGCTAAAAAAAAAGCAGTATCTATCGACAGAAACGGCAATTTTCAGAGAGAAACTGGGTCGTTTATCATTAGTGTCTATTTAAGCCTATTCTTGTTACCGGCCCAGGGGTGCTTAAGACTCCATAGTTCAAGTCAGGATGAAGCTGGTCACCAGCACAATCAAGGGTAGGCTTTTCTGGGTGGTGCCATTAACCATGTCCTAAACTACTGGAATGATGGATGGAAAGTTGGCTTATCTTGTCAACAGAAAGGTGTACTGGCCAAGTGCTAAAACGACTTGTGATGGCGGTGAAATCTCATACAGCCACGCCTTGTTTGTTAACATTCAGATCTCGAGGCTGAGGTTGGGGCAAATGATTCAACTAGCCTATCTACGTATCAGTGCTACTGAATCTACATAACTAGCTCGAGAAGGATACTAGTGACCAAAGCAGTAAACAAAGTTAAGAACCTGACGTTGCTACTTCCCAATCTTTGTGCTCCATTATCATCCTTTCCACTTCCACTGCTTTGACCAGAGGTATCTCCAGTGCTAGATGGTACTGAGGCACCATCTGTGCCGGTACCTAGAGCATCCACACCTGCATCGGTGGTTTTGCTGGGTAACACGGTCAAGCTCGTGGTAGGTTTCACAACAGCCTCAGCAAGACTACTGCGGGCCTTTTTGACATCCAAGCCACAAGGCTGCGGTTTCGATGAGGCGTCTTCGGCAAGAATGGGACAACCAACTGTATGATTGCGCTCAACCTTCACCGCAGTGCCCCCAATAGCGCATCCATCGTACTCAGCGATAGCCTTGCGTGCAGTCTTTGCGCCAGGGCGAAGGGTAAAAGTTACGTTGCTAGATCGTTCGAACTGATTGTTCTTCAAGAGAAGACTACCATCTTTGCGTGGCTCGCAGACAGTGGTCCACCGCAAATCCCACTTAAGGATGCAAGAGTCTTCTTCGCTACGCCAGTACTGAAACTGGTCACCCTCGTCAGCATCAGCAATGGCTTGGCTCGTGTTGAGAAAGTAATATATGTCTCCGAGTCAGGCAAGAAGTCCAAGTATAGTCGACCGATGCCGGATAGTGTATATGCACAGTTGAGTTCCCAGTTGAGGGTGCCGCTGAAGGTTGTCAAGACTGGGGCGTTTTGAAGGCCGAAGATGACGGGAAATGGCGCTTCACCGGCGTATGTATCTTCCCGAGGAAATACGATGTCGACTTCGCCGATGGCGGGGAACGAAATAACATCTTCGTCGGAGGCAGCTGCCAAGACTGCGAGGCCTAGGCTGATAAATGTTGACGAAAAGGCACGCATCTCAACGTCTCGGGATCAATAGAGAAAATAAGCTTGAATGAATGAACAGCCACTTCCATTACTGACTGGAGAGATGAGCAGGTACTTAAGCTTCTTGTGGGATCGCGAGCGATAAAATGACCTGGTCAGCCCTTCTCGAGCATGGATCCATCCCTGTTCATTGCATTCAGACAGCACGATTTGGGGATCAGCTGAAAACCGTGAAACAAGTCAGGTGTCTCGATTTTAATTGCGAAGGGCAATCTTTACCAATCATGCATAAAGTTATATTCGCAAGATGGCAATTAGTCAGGAAAACGTGGCCGCTTAGTTGAGATGTGAAAAATAGAAGGTGCTCCTTCCTGGATCGTGAATCACGGTGCATGACTAATAACCTTATCTTCAACCTTGTATCGAGTATGAGTCGGGCCAATCAATGGCAGCTGCACCGATACATCAACAGCTGGCAATGGGTTCCTTGACTTGTGATCCCCTGGACATTTGATGCGGTCATGAAGCATGCTGTTTGCTGAAGATGGATAACACTAGTCTGGGACTGCCTTCGTCGTATTGCGAAAACTACACGATTGAGGCTGTTAGACCGGAGTCTGATCGTGAGAAACATCAAATTACATCTGGCAACGTGGCGGAGTGGTTATCGCGACAGCCTCGAATTCTCTCGTAAGCTGTTTCCTTCGGGAGCGCAGGTTCGAATCCTGCCGTTGTCGATTCTTTCTTACTTTTTCTTTTGGTGTTTTGGTTCCAGAGAGCACATCACCACCACTACAGGCTTGTTCAAGCGTAGAGTTGAAACGTCGTTATACGAACCAGCCTGGATATTTCTTTCTTTAACTACTGACCATGATCTGAGCAAGTGTCCGGTATAGTCGGTGTTCTTCATCCGGTATCTTACATCCGGCAGGTCGCACAACAAACACCGGTGTTCTCGGCAGATTGATGTCGGAAGAAGTCAAAGACGCGAAAAGCGAGAATCACGTGTGAATACAAAAGAGAATTGTGCTTTTATAGATCGGATCTTGTCTCTCCGACCTTCATGTAAGGCATAATTGACTCTCTGAACGTACTCTGGGGTTGACATTTGTCACTGATTAGACACAATGAGCATACAGCGACTTGGCCTTGATGCCATGAGAGGTAAAACAATTCAATTTACAAATATAATTGCAATAGTCTTACTGATTCCTCTCAATAGGCATCGGACGACCAAGAGCCTTCTTCAATAAGGGCATCCCGAAGTTGGCTGCGGCCCGTCTGTTGTCCCAGCAAGCAAGGTGAGTTCCCATTTTCAACACCCTTGTGGTTGCTCTCTAACTCCCTTATGATCTTCTTCTAGAGAACGCCCAGCGATTGTTCACCTGAACCAGAAACAAGGCCACGACATTCTCGTCAAACAACGCCTCAACCGTCCCGTCACTCCAAACCTCACAATCTATAAAGTCGGACAAATCTGGTTTAGTGCATCAGCATGGACTCGAATAACAGGCCTCGCTGTAGGGGGTACAGCTTACCTGACTCTTTGCGCCCATGCCGTGGCTCCTTACCTTGGAATGGGATTTGACTCTGCTGCTTTGGTATCGGCTTTCGGCGCACTGCCTTTCGCTATCAAGGCCGCAATCAAATTTGGCCTATTGGGGTTTCCGTTTACATATCATTTTGTCAATGGTATTAGACACTTGGTGTTTGATCTGGGATTTGGATATAAGAAGGCTCAGTTTAAGAAGTCAGAGGCAGCTACGTGGATACTGAGTATTCTTGGTGGTCTTGTCTTGGCCTTCTGGATCTAGATGTTCAGATATTCCACCGTCGACGATCAATTAGGCGTCCATTTATTGCCAATTGCATTGTAGAACTATTCCCATTTCATCATCCATTGATCTGGTGTTTTAAGTGGCATGAAACTTGATCAACAAAACGTTTTCTTTCTATAGTAAAGCTATAAACAGTTATGCAAAATTGGATATAGACAATAAACTTAGTTCCAGACCAAGCAGGCACTTCTCCAACAAATCGCAAATCGCTTGCCCAGACTCATCACAGTGACTCCCGACTTCCCAGAGTCATCGGGAAAACCGGGTAGAACGGCCGGTTACACTATTCTAGTATCCACATCCATGGATCCAACCAGTGGTATCCCGGATTTAATTCACCGTAGGATTGTTTTACTCGTCAATCTTGGCCGGAGGTGTACCTCCAGGAGCAGCACCAGAAGGAGGAGATCCGCCCATACCGCCGCCGGAGTTCTCGTTGGCAACACCTCCCTCCTTGTAGTAGTAGGCAGCAGGAGACACAGAGCTGGACTGGGTGGAGTTGATGCCGAAAGCGAGCCAAGCAAAAAGACCGTCACTGATGCTGTCACCGAGAAGAGTGTACTCCATGACCGGGTCGACACCATCGGTATTTGTCTCTTCGCTCAGAATACCATCATCTGCGTTGAGGGTGAGTTCCTGGGTGTTGGAAGCATAAGGCTCGAGTGTTTCGACTTGGGAGATGAGGTCTTGGTCGAAGAAGGCTTGTCCAACGTGGCTGGCATAGTTATCTCGGCCCAGGGTCTGGTTGGCGAGGAGAGTCGCGTTGGTATGAACCATGACGTGGATATGAGTAGCACGGCTGGTGTAGTGGCCAGGGAAGATAGACTCGAACTGAGCAACTCCATCAGAGTCGGTCTTCTGAATGCCTCGAAGCCAAGTCTGGTCAATGTTGGACTCATCAGAGCTATCACCATTGCCGTTAGCAACAATACCAGAATACACGCCAGTGGAGTTGCAGTGCCACATCTCCAGGTAAACATCGGGAACAGGGTCGCAGGTTTCGACGTCGATGACCTGGTAGTCGAGGACGATGTTAAGACCCTCTTGATCCTCAATGATGTTCTCACGAACGTATTCACCGGCCACGTCTGTATTGTTTTAGCTAAAGTCCCTGAAACAGGAGACAGAAATTACTTACAGTAAGGACCCTGAGTGACTTCGGGAGTCAAAACACAAGAGTTGATGCTGGCAAACAGGACCGAAGGGGCAGTGCAAGGGCTGAAGCCTTGAGAAGTCTTGTTATGAGAAGTGTTCAAGACGGTATCAGCATCACGCTTCTTCAAGCTCCGCTTCTGGCGAGCCTTGTTGACCTGGGCCGAACGACGGGCGATGTTGCGGGCCTCAACACCACGAGCTCGAAGCTTGGAGGCGCAGTGGGCGAGGGAAGATCGCTTGACAGAGCTGAGAAACTCACGGCGTTCAGCGGCTTCGTGAGCAATATCATGTCCTGGATGGGCCGAGGCGATACTAGCCGCAAGGGCAAAGGTGGTGAGAAGGCTCTTGAAAGAAGGCATAGTGATGGTTTAATGATAGTTGGTACTGTTTAGAGAACGATCTGGAAGAGACTGATGCGAGGGATGAGGATATCGAGATTGCGATTCAATTGCAGAAACTCATTCTTTATATCTATCGTGAAGCTGGAATTCCACCGCCTCTCAGCCTCAACAACAACCCACATACCGAGTGGCACTGAGGCTGCATATTCGCATTGTCGAGAGGCGCATGGACACGCTGTGACGCGTTAATATTACGGAAAATGTCCAAACGGTCGATTTCTCCGAATAAAGGTGCCAAGCCAAGAATGAAGCATAGACGGCACCTAAAAAGCACTGCCGAGGTCTAGTTTAGGGCCAGCCTATAGCGGAGAATGTAAAACGAGTCAGGCAAAGGAGTGACGACGATTGGCTCGCGAACGCGCAGGTCAAGCAAGGGAGTCCCGTGTTGTGGGGGTTTTGGTCGGGAGGTGGGAGGTGTGAGCCCACATCACGAGAGATCTTCACCATGTCATCTTGAAAATCGAGATAGGGAAATGCGTGTGCATGTTCCGTATTTGAAATTGGTTTCTATCATTGGTTGGATGTTTGAAGAGCGTGTTCAAGCTTATACTAGAGTTGACGTAGTGGCTTTCTAGACCGATGGTGCACGTTTCATGAGTACAAGCAGATAATAGGTAGACCGAGACAGGTTCCAACAGCTTCATCGATTCATGTTCAAGCTCAAGCTTTTACATCTAACCCCCTTCAGAACTTTATCATAGTAGTCAAGAGCAGTCGAAACAATTTCCGTAGCTTCCTGGGTCGTTTTCCCGACCTATCACTAGATAAATCAAGAAGACATAACAGTCATAGTCTCGCATTATAGGATGTTGCTTTACTTGCTCAGATACTCTTGCCGCTTCATGCGACTGTCATTGGCAAGCTCGAGGTGCCTGTCGAGATATCTCGCAATTGAACGGAACGCTCTTCCCATGCTATGAGACGCACGATAAATGACTGTCGTGGCCGTTTTATATTGTATCAAGGCCAACTGCAAAAGACCAACCCACCAACGGCACTAGCTTTTGTAGTTATCTATTAGTAAAGAATAATAATTGTAGGATTTGCCATCAATGCTCGAGACCTTTGAAGCTGTCGAGCCCTTGAGAAGTGAGCGCCCTCCAGGGTAGCTTTGACTGAAGCCGGAGTTGCGTGAATGATGATGTGCTGTCCATTCATATTCCTATAGTTGCGTCATTCCCCTCTCTTTTGCTGACCTCGATTACAACGCTAAGACACAAGGATGGTCAAGAACTTTGAGATGGCAGATAGGGCTGCCATAAACTCAATTCACTTGACTTACCGGGGCCCTATACATGCGTAGAATGGCCAGGACAAGTCAAACGGATATACACTTACTTGCCATGCTTGTCGGATTTCATTCTAGAAGAGCCTTCTTGTGCAGCATCCCGCAAGAACCAACGCCAAAGCACAATCCCATTCATCGACTACTGCACTAGAACTTTCCAGATGCGGCTTCTTGGACGCTTTCCTACAGACGATTCTTGCATCCTGCACCGCTTCAGTTCTAGCCCAAAACCACGAATGAGCCGCATTCTAGTCCGTCATTCATTACCCGCTTGTTGGGCCTTATCCGAGCTGTTGGCTCGTCTAGCCATGGTCTTGCCGAGAACGTGTTGTGGCGCTTGAGTTGTCCCAGCGTGCCGGTCCGCCATCACATTGGTACATAAGATTAGGGCGGTGTCTTTATGCATTTTATGCTCAAAGTCAAGCGTGTTTCTGCGGGATTAATCGTCGATTGGATGATAAGATGCAGGGGTAGCGATACGAACGGGGAACACCATCCTTTGTGTATCACCATCGCCAACAAACAACCTTGCTACTAACCAACCCAACAAATGGCCTGAATCTCGGGGTAGTATTGGATGTCCCACTGACCAGCCGATGCATTCCAGAAGAACAGTTTCTCGTCGCACAGCTTTAACTTTGCGTTCACAATCCGCAAATGGGATTTGTTATCTCTGAGTAGGTAACTTACCTTATCGCAAGCCACCAATTGTGTTGCCGGTTACGCGGGGGAGCGACCCAAAAAACGCCGAACTATGGAATGGTGGCTTCTTGGCCTTTTTTGGGGTACATGTACAGTAGCATTTTGTTCATCGGACCCCAGACATTATTGCTTGTGCTAATTTGCGACGAGGCAAGGGAGGCTGTCAGCTGTGCATGATCCCCTCTCCGCTCCCACGAGGCTCGGACCCGTCTTGAGAGTGAGACACTTCGGTTAGAGAAGATGGCAAATTAAGACCGTATTCGCGGACGTGACTAGAGAGTTCTCAGTAAAGCGGATGGAGCTATTATGAAGCCGCGTCTCGAAAATACCCGCACCATCTGAAGCGGATCTATAGCCGAGTCCCTAGAAATCAGATCTATTGTTACGAAGCGAGGCCAAAGTTGATGGTGCCTGATAAAGTTTGGGGCTACGAGACTAGCGCATCTGCAGACCTCAGATCACTTTGGGCCTAGAACTAGGTAGTCAAAGCCCAATATGTGATTACACATGGGAGAGACATGGCTTGCTCAGATTCCTCTTAAAGCCGCGTCTCCATCCCCGTTCCGCGCTCGATCTGCGACTCTCCATCTTTTGCTTCCCGTGTGTTTTCCCCTATCGAATATCTAGACTACTGCGTCAAAATGGCCATTAACGAAGTCGACAAGTATCTGTGGCTGGCATACTGCAAGGCTGTGCAGAATGCTGTCGGTGGTCTACCTGGACACAAGCCTGCTTTGTTTTTCACAAAGCATGCGCAAAAGGCACCAGTCGCGTCACAAGATATTGACGCGGCCTATACGAACTATGGAATCAACAACATCATCAACAATTTCTTACAGACAAATGACCTCTTCTATGATCCGGCTCATCACAAAACTTACACCCAATGTTTGCTAGAGTAAGCACATCGTCCACATACAGTGCGCATGTAATTGACCAAGACTAGATATCTGTTGACAGTCAAGATTGTACGTGAATCACATGTGCCATAAATTACTTTCTCTAACAAGTCACAGGGCGAGGGTGATCAAGTCCGTGTAACAATGATGGGCCGAACCTTGGCGAGTGCACTTGACCAGGCCTTGCGCGAGAGAGATCGTGCCCTGGAGACTTTTGAAAAAGAAGAAGGCTACGGCCTCACGGGCGAACAAGACTTTTCTCAGTGGTGGCCATCGCATGCTCCTGCATACTCGGCAGCCAAGCAAAAAGTCGAGGCCGCGGCCAAAGACTACCAAGCCACCCTCCTCAACATAGGCGGACCAACTGCTAGTTCACTAGCTAGGGATTTCAACCGAATCGTCAAGGCCCTGATCGGTGGGCAGTCAGTCGAAGGGTGAGACATCATCTTCCGAAGCATTTTGCCCGATTCCTAACCTTGATAGCATCACGATGCCTGCTTGTCACGCCTCAGCTGAAATCACCCGTGAGCTCCTCGAGAGAGACAGGACACCGCACGCTATCACATATGTCCCCGAATGGATGTCTCTTCAGTACACTGCCCAAGTTGAACACTGGATGAACGGTGTTGGCGACGGTGACTCTTCTACTCAGATCAACGTTGCTGATGGTAGAGAGGTCAACGAATCCGACTTTGGTCATGCGTCCACAGACGGATTCTCATATGGGCCGTGGCTGTCTTTCTCTACCGGTAAAGGAAGTGCCAATGGGAAGGGTGTGTCTTTTGGTTCTATGGACACTGATACCAACCTCGACGTCCAATTCTCGTATGATGAAATTCAAACCATCTGTGTTCCAGCTGGTGATTGGTAAGTCCCACCTATCCAGCAAGATTTGCATATGCTAACATTATTCTAGGAACGTTCCCAGCCCGGGACGACGCTATCAGTTATCAGACACGGCCTCTGAAGAGTCCCGCAACCTTGCCTTCCCAGACTATCTCGTTGTTGTGAGGAACCTCGGCTTCAAGGTCTACATCCGAGATTGGAAGGTTGCGGGACAGATCGACAGCTTGTTTGAAGAAGCCAAGTCTTCTGGTGGCTCTGTCAGAGTTTTCGGTATCCCTGCTACGCCGGATGGCAGCCCGGATAAGGCCACTGAGGAGAATGCCCATGTCGCTGAGTGGGATCTCGGCGCTGGCATGCTTTCAATCAGACCGACTACCGATGCCGGATTTGCTTCTGTTGTGGCTCTTGTTGGTGAGCTGAACATCAGTTGACTCGTGTCGGGGCGAGTGTAGTCTTTGTTTGCTGTTGTCTGAATTGTTTTACAATCGTTTAGTCACTCAACAATGAAATGCATTTGTCCTGGATATCCATAGAATTACACCAGTATTGCTGGCAAAGTTTCAAGCCCTCTTTCAGAGAGCAAGTATACTACAAGAGATAAGATATATATATACTTTCTTAAAAGCTTATTATAGTTAATAATTAATAAATGTCTAAAGTGTCTTATCTGAGCCTATGCAAGGCCCCCTCACTCGCAAAAGGCATTGTGATTTACAACATCAGAGACGCAACGATGATATATATTAAAAGACAAAAAAGACATCGACAACGGCAGGATTCGAACCTGCGCTCCCGAAGGAAACAGCTTACGAGAGAATTCGAGGCTGTCGCGATAACCACTCCGCCACGTTGCCTAGACCGGATTGATGCTATTCCCGTCGCAAAGACCTGCCATCACAGCGCGAGGTCTCCGGGGGTATACTGGAATTAACAGATAAAGTATCATTTGTTGAGTAAAGTCGTCCATGCCGAGATTAGAGTCGTTTTATCTACCGTTTAACGACGATGTTTATGTTTAGTAGTATCCGGATCTACCAACGCGAGATCAGGCGATAGGCTGAATTTGGTGCCTATTAATAGAAACGTACGTTGTTATCATTTGGTCAAACAGCCCGGAATTGCTGATCTCATTGTTTGATTACCATGAAGGCACCGAGAAGTTATCTGACTGTTGGTGGTGGGAAAGAAAGCTTCATTTAATGGTCTCTGGACCTTCGCCTGCATGATGGACGTGCTTGATGCGCATGAGCAGACTCGGTGGCCTAAACGGGGACCTCTTTGTGTTGTCTGCCCAAACTTTACAAATATTGGTGGTGGTGATGATAATGACTGGACACCACCTCAGAGAATGGCGGAGGCGTCCTGGTATGCGCTAGTCTGAAAGAAAATACATGAACACTGCATTTGTTTGTCTATAGACATACCATTTTGGGCAGAGGCCGTTGGTACAACAAAGGGCCAAGTTGAACCAGCTGACTCTCTTCCATTCAGAGAGGAGCGTCCAATTCTGGAAACATAGAACGTCATTTTTAGAAATGAATCCGGTTGGCGTGCCGGGGTTTCATGACCACAATATTATTATTAGCCACATGGTGGCTATTGCACTGCGTTTGTCAACAGGGAGATAACAAAGGCCAAAAAGAACAAACCTGCTCAAAAGTTTGGATAAAGCATGTCTGCCACACATTGAGTCGGTTGTTTGTTTGAACAGTGAGCTGGTGTAAGATCGAGCTCGGAATATATTCATTACCTGAAGCTCAATCGTGTAAGCTGGAGATCAATACTTAAACCAAATGCAATCCCAACTGCTGCCACATATCATCACAACAACTCTAATCAACTAATCAACAAACAACCACAATCAACTACTCATACACCAAGACATCAATCAACATGTCCACTTCCCAAGATATCAACAATTCCCAATCACCTTCAACCCCTCGACTTTCAATGGACGATCCCCAGAACACCCAGAAAGCAGCTAATGGAGACATCAAGAAGGATGAAAATCTTGTTGTCAAGGACGACGTCAAGAAGCACACTGTCAAGGAATCTATCAAGGCCTTTCTGAAAAGGAAACAAGATCAGAGAAAACTCCGAAAGATTAAAAATGTGCGCAAAAAACTTGTGAAAGCCGGTCATGCTTATGGGAAGGCTCTTGACACTATGGACGCCAATGAGACAATTGAGTATTTAGAATCAGTTTGGGGTGAGATTGGTCTTCTCGGATGAAGACTTTTGAGTGTTGGCGGAGGTGGTTCCCACCCAAGGTTTCGGGCGTGTCCTGTCATGTATTTTGGAAGAAATCCACCAGGAAAACTTATATAGTGGCTTATTTAGATCTTAGTTCTCTGTACCAAGATATGCAAATGATGGCATTGATTGTTATGGATGAATGTGAATCTTGTCAATCTCATCTTATTATACACTGATATCAAGGAATTCCACATAAAAAACAGACTTCTAATGTGCTACGTAGGTATCTTTGGCCACTCACCCCGAAGTTACTTAGTACCATGTCGTGAACAACACTACAGCGCAGAATCATGCGCACTGGCGCAGTAGTTCAACCACTTCGCATGGTTCTGACCGGTTCTGATCATCTAAAACGGCGGACCATATGTAAGCAAATAAATGACTACACTATCATTATAGCAGTAATTTGGCCCATTGAGCCATGATTGGCTGCCATCTGTGTTCCGTGAAACAGAATCAATCATCTGCCCAGCGCTTGGACTCAAGAAAAAAGCAAAAAGAACAACGCCAAACACTCCCCATTCAGGTTTCCGCGTTTTACCGTTGCTACTTATGGCAGGGGTTTGTATCTTGGGTATATTTTGATATATTATACTTGAAACCTGGCAGTAAACCTCACCAATCAGAAGTACTAACAACCGGCAGCCTAACAAGCCCAGAGATGACTTTACTACCTTGCCGTCCATTCGCCGTCAAGAGTGACGTCTGGCGACCTACCGTAGCCTTGGGGCTTTGGTATTGTCGTTAGCTCATGCGTAGAAGAAAACGATAGACTACCGTTCTCACCACCGCCTCTCTGACTTGTCACTTGGCTGCCTGCGCGGTAATCCCCGTGATAATCAGCCACCCAGCAACCTCTGTGAGCAACCCAGGGCAAGAATACATGTTTTTCAACCACAAAAAAGCCTCAAGTACTTCATGACGAACATGGTAAGCATAGAGAAAGAGGTAGGATTTGCCATCGTTGAACCCTGGATCGAAATTACCATATCCTACACTGCAGAGAGGTGATATCCATCCATTCTGACAACGTGGCAGTGGCTTATGCGATGGACATGGGATAGTTTCACCGTTTTATCTGGAGAGTTTCCAAGTGAAGCCATGATACTAATTGCTGTATTTATTTCTTTGTCCTTCGGCCACACCGGCTGAGCTTCACGCCAAAGCTAAAGAGACGAAACTGCGCTTAGAGCTGTATTGTAAGGAGCACTTAGCTACGAATTGCCGGTCACTGGATGGCTAAAATGACTGTAATCTGCACTCTGAAGATAATTTAAGGATCAGATCCCCTTCGCCAGTCTCTTCTCATCAATCTCGACCCAGCCGGCATAGTATTCTATCCCAAGAAAACAACAACACTACAAAATCGTCATACACACAACAAGAACTACCCACCACAATGTCAGGAGCTGAAGCCGCGATCCCCATCGCCTGGGAGGTGTTCAAATTGGCCAAAGCTCTGGTAGACATCGGGCTCTCTGCTAGCGACTTGAAGCAGGATGCCCAGGCGTGCGCAAGACTAGTTGAGCAAACCACGCATGACCTTCAATATGCCAAGAAGCTGAGAACATCTCTTTTCACTTTGGGTTCCGAGCACGATGGCACTCTGGCCTGGATCAACGGCACAGTCGACAGAACGGAAGCGGCCCTCAAGGAATACTCCAACAACGTGCCCAGAGAAGACACCAAAAAGGCAACTCTGGGCGCCCTCGCACAAAAGCTGCAAGATCAGAAGAAATGGGAGGAGTGGGGTAAGACTCTTGGAGCCAGTCATTCCTCTCTCGTCGCCGCGATCAATGTCATGCACCAAATTCAGCCGAGAAACGCGGCTGAGGTGGCCAAGGAAAAGAAAGATCCGGTACGGGCTTGCAGCATGCCTCCCAGAAGCTTGAAGCCCAAAGCAAAGGAGCTCCCGTGAATGGGCGTCGCTTTAGAGAGGTTGGGGGGTTGTCGGCCCAGGATGAACCTGGGTGTTTGGTCAGTTGTCATGTGTTTTGGTCTGATGAAGCTTCTGTTTTCCCTCCCTTTCCCGTCAATGGAGGTCCTGGTCTTGGTGTATGTCACACAGGACGGGAAGAGTTTCAGATGGTATTGCAGCGTTGACGGAGGAGGTGGAGTCATTTACGGATACTGTAATTTATCGAATATGTTTTGCGACCGCAATCAGCATACACAAATGTTGCCGATAATTGAGCGCGCGTTTCAAAGTCCTTCATCTTAAGCCCAGCCCCCTCGCTTGTACGACACTCACAGAGCTTGGTACAACACGTCTTTGCCACATGACAGTTGCCAACGGCAACTAACACGTAACAACGCCAGCTAAGGCATGCAAATTAAACCGTACGCTGTTGCATGAAGGAGGTGCGTGGCGTACAGCTCCTTGACTCCGTGTCCAGTCAAAGGCTGCAGGCGGTAATGCTTGCTCCAAGTCTTTGGCGACTGCTCTCCATGCTACTTGACACGCGGAAACGAGTGGATTTTTTGTTACACTTCAATTCTTTTACAAAGGGGATAAATTGGTTCTCAAATAAAACGCCAAATACACACTGTTGCATCAGATATCACAAGTACTAAGTTCTCTGTGGTAATATAAGCTCTCGGTTTTGGCCACGCCTCCACTAAGCTCTCTCTGCAGCAATTAAAGCTCGAAACTCCTCACGCGTCTAGAGTCGGCCTCTATAGTTAGGTTTAGGACATAGCAGAATCTAACGCTCCAGGATGCGAGCCCCCGGGGGGCCGTTGTACACGGTAGCAGGCCTGGTCCATTTGACCTGGCCATTCCACATGAACCTGATCCTAGGAGCAACGAGGCGACCTTGGTCTAAATCCCAGTTGGCTTCCCACACAGAGGGTTGCCCGAAGAAGATAAGAGCACAGTTTGCTGCGATACCGAATATGCCTGTCAAAATCCTTTCCAAGTCAGCAGCCGAACGGCCACGAGCATCTAGGAGCTCCACATTCAGGGCGTCGGCGACTTCAGAAACCATAGGGCGAATCCTCTCTTGCCGCGGGTCATTTTTATCGAGACCGGTCGCGGGTTGGTATATCATTCTGTACCGACCCATGAGCATCATAAACAGAATCTCTCTCCAGACCGAGATACAGTCCTCCCCTGAGATTATGTCAGTAAAGTCCACCGCAGCAGCGATATTAATATTAAACTTACTGTGAGCGAATTGTCGCTCAGGGATGAACTGAAGGCATGTTGAGACTTCAGGCGGCAACAGACATTCTTCAACATCGCAGTCTGGATCCATTCGTCTGTAGAGCAGTCGGACGAGAAAGTTCCATATGGCGTAGTATCGAGTATCTCGATCGCATATCAACTCTGACCACGTGTCACCTTCGGGAGGATTACCGGCAAGGCGGACTAGTTCATCGTCATTGAATAAGGATCTCTCGATGGTTGGCACTGACACGGTATAGACATTTCCGTGGCCATAAATAAGATTACTGCAAAAGTTTTCGACCAAGCACTCGAATCCAACATTCTGGTCGATTTCTTTGGGGCCCCAGACAGGTATGATACGGTGAGCCAACTCCCTGTGTGGCTCGGTAATAGGATTTGGATTCATCGGACTGCGGATAACCTGGCTCTCTGGGACTTGCTGAGGAGCCGGAGCATTCGTAGCTGCAGTTTTCTGTTCGGCAGAGGTTTCAGCAACATCGGGGTTGCGACTTTTGCTTAGCCAGGAGAAGAAAGAAGCTCCACGTACAGTCCCCCGCAAAGCTAGAACGATGATTGCGACGACGAGGGAAATCGTGCAGACCCCAACAGCCCAGCCGATAAAGAACGACTCAACGAACGAATAACTCATAGCTGTAGGGACACCTGATGGGATATCTCAGTATGAATTGAATGGAGTTGCTCCTGCGGTTGAAAAAAGATGAAAGAAGAGGAGAGTTGAGAAACCCAAGTGAAGAGAGGGATGGGCGGTCGTAAATGGAACTGACATTTGGGTACTCAAGTCCGGCTTAAGGGACCAACAACAATATCCCACTAGCTAGCTCAAGAATGATTACCCCGTGCCTGAGCAAACTTGTTTTGGTCAAAGGAGTCGTCTCAGTTGGTGGAGCAATGTGGCTGGCTTGGCGTGAGCTTGGGCGTGAGCCAGGGCCAGGGCCAGGGCCAGCTGACCCTCTCGGGCTTAAGTCTATTGCCGTTGTGACACTCCAGGCAAATTGGCACGCACAGCCCCCGTAATAACTCATTTGTGATACCTTCTCAACAAGAGCGGCAAATGAAAGTGGGTGTGATGGTAGGAGGAACGGGACGGGATGGGACGGCATGCTGCTTGAAACTGTGTATTCCTTCACTCAGCGGCGGTGTAGAACGCGCAATACCGCGTCAAGCATTTCACTGTCCCCCTCAATTGTGGTAGAGGACATTGATAGTTTCTCTTCCTCCTTCTCGCTTCATCTTCAATATTCCTCAGCCAAAATAGACAAATAAGCCGGAATTATGGCAGAAGATCTTGTTGTTGGGATCGACGTTGGAATGACCGGTATGTAATCTGGTCCACCCTAAAAGTCTGAATAACCACAGCGATAATGTGGGCTTCTGACCCCATTAACAGGTACCGGTGTTGCATACAGACGTAAAGGTTATGCTAAAGTGACTGCCCTGGGATGGGGTATCGATGAAAAGGTTCTAAAGACGCCCACGCGACTCTATTACAATGTCCACTATCAGCCGCCGAAGCTCGTTGGATGGGGGATGGAGGTCCCCGACGACTCTACCGAGCATCTTAAACTAAAAGAAGGGTTTAAACTCGACCTTGGAGAAGTTGATGCTGACCAGGTTGAGGTGGAAAGGATGTACAGAGACTTCCTTACCTGTTTGTTTCGCGAACTTAGCACACAGCGGTTTACTCCCGCTTTTCTGGGAGGCAAACAGTTCGAAGAGACCAGAGTTCTATTCCTCTTCAGTGTGCCCGCCTTATGGGACCCGGCTGTTGTCCATGATTTCACACAACTCATTCGTGAATCTGGCTTCGAAAAGGAGGGCGTTCACAGCGTTAGAGTCGCCATGACAGAGCCGCAAGCGGTTGCTGCATATGAGATTTGCGTACCAAATTCGGATTACAAACTCAAGGTTAGTGAGCTTCAAGCCTTCAGGAAAACCACAAACTCATATTTGTCTTACAGAACGGTGAAAATGTCTTGATCGTAGATGCTGGCGGGGGAACTACTGCAAGTTTGCCCCTAAATATGTTGCGATATTTCTGGCGCTAACCTGTGAAGGACTTCTGCCTATTGAAGATGGACGATAGTTATGAAAAACCGCCCCAAGCTATGGAACTAGCAGCGCCAACATGTAGTCCTCTCTCTCTCTCTCTCTCTCTCTCTCTCTCTCTGTCTCTCTCTGTCTCTCCGTGAGTTATGAGCTAACTCTTTTAGCCTGTAAAACTGGCTCCACTTACATCGACCGAGGCTTTGAGGAAATGGTGATGACCTATCTTCAGGACAAGCGTGATTCTTTGGTAGGAGACATCGAGCATGTTAGCTTGGACATGCGAAACAGCAACCTTTTCCTCGAGACAAAACACGCATTTGACCCCGATACATTTGAAGACTTGAAATTCGATATTCCCTTCAAGAACAGCGCTCGACATGACTCAAAGGACTCTCCCCCGCCTGCTACCTTTGTTCTAACTGGGTAAGCTCCTTCCATACCAAAAGAGATGTGTTTCTCATTGGGTTTAGTGAATATCTTGGTTCTTTGTTCAACCGCCAGATTGATGTAATCAATGAGGAGATTCGGCGTTTTATCAGAGCATTCGTGACAGACAGCGGGACCAACTCAGATAACCACCTCGTAAGTCCCGAAACAATCCAGACATCCGTGAATGAGAGTTGTCTCTAATTACGCAGGGCTACATTGTGCTGGCTGGTGGGCTTGGAAGCTCCCGCTACGTTCAAGGAAAGGTTGAAAAATTTATTCAAGAATTGCCGTTTAAGCCTGCAGAGAAACCCAAACTCGTCATGTCAGCTGCTCCTCGACTTGCTGTTTGCATGGGCCTGGTCCACAACGCGGGCCGTAACCCAGAGCTCTTCCCACGACGCTTTAACCGAGTCTCAATAGGCGTGGCGTCACAGTCATTGACAGGTGAAATTAAGAAGAGTCGCTTCCGCAGTTTCATGAAGCGAGCATTTCTGCGCGCTCCCAAGGGCCAGAAGCCCGGGGGGGGAAGTGGAGTGGGTTCTCGTCAAGGTAAAATTCCACCATTGAGATTGATGTCATCGAACTGCCTTTGCTGACATGACAATACAAGGGGGAACTTGTCCCGGACAGAGTTACCCTCCATGAACAAACAGCGTATTTCAGTGCGGATTTGCCGTCCGACAAGCGGACCTGGGAGCTGGCGATTCTCCATAGCTTCGAGAGCGACATCGACCGATTGACTCTTGGAGGCCAGCCTCGGACCTCTGATGACGCACGGCAGATACTAACACACACAGATAACTGCCGCGTCCATTCGGTACTCAGAGTGAATCTGTCGCATATTGGCGTACCTGAGAAGACTGGGACAGGAGACGCCCTATCAAGACTCCATCTGGCTCCAAAGCCCAAAGTCCCGATCAAATTTGACCTTCGGATAGAAGTCGGACTAGCCACTGCCGAAATTTATTGCAGTATGATTACCAACCCAGAGTAGAGGATCTTGACGCTGACAAATGGCTAGCTGATAAGAAGGGTCGGCTCTGCAGCGAACCCATGAGTATTGAGATAGGCCAAGAATCTGAAAGCCTCCCATCCACCGGCCAGAGTGCTGTGCATGAATTGAGCTAGGGAAGATTGAAGACATTTCAATCCAGCTCGGCCAACGGCGGCTGACTTGGTCAACCGAGGCCGTCTTTGAGATGTGATGAGTCAACATACATCGTTGGTATCCATTTGGGGAAAATGTCACGGTCCAGTTTATCATTCGTCGCTTGGTCTTCACCGAAGATGCCTTGGTGGAAAGTATGTAGCTGGACACAAAATGGAACAATGGATTTGCTGCTCTTGTATTCTGGACCACGCGAGCCTCTTCAACGGGGAGTCCATCGCCGAGGCACATCTATCATCACTATGGTAGGAATTTCTTACAGAGGCGAAGATAGCATGTAGGACTACATCCCAGTTAGCATTAGTCTTTCTGCTCTTGCTGTTGATGTCACTCACAAGATCATGCCAAGCCACCCCAGCATATTCAGACTCGCTCTTCCCATAGTGCTCAAATCCGAGTCTCTGGTAGTACGGAACAAGACGGTCATACGTCAAGATAGATATACGATCCGCAGCATTGAGTGACTTTGTTCTCTGGATATAGACGCGCATAATGGCCTTGCCCAGCCCGACCCTCTGATAATCGGGAGCGACAGCAAGAGCATGGAGAGCAATGGTTCGTCCATTCTTGTTGTGACCCACGGCGTACTCACCTTGGGGATCTTCTTTCCAGTTGCGGGGGTAGTCCATGTCTTCATCTTTGACGGGTTTGTTGGTCGTTTTAGTAGAGATGACATGTGAGAGAAGCACATCGTCGCTTGATGTCGAGTCCTCCACAAATGGGATGTCATGAGGAATGGGAGACGGCAAGCTGGCACCAGCTCGAAGAAAGAGGCCAATGCATATCTCAGGACAGACTGCTAGGCGATACTCAATCTAGATCGAGGTTAGAATCAACCCTCGGGTCTGTCTGTTATGAATCTCACAACCTTTTCACGAGTGGCTGCCTCGGCGGGAGGAAATGCGGCGGTTTCAACGGCCAGTGACCGCTCTAGGTCATTGATGTTGAGTTGTCGAGCATAGAGGGACATTTTGAAGATACAATGAGACTAAACGTGTGTTGGTTGACTCAAGGCGGGTAGGGATTGGCTTTTCTCTGAATATCTATGTATCAAAGGATGAAACTTGGGGCGTCAACGACAACGACAACGAACGATAGCGAGGCGGGGTTAGGTGGGGCTGCAAAGTTAGACCAAGGGCGCGGAGTGAGAGTCTAAACTAACATAAGTTAGACTATACTGACTTGGCTCTGTCTCCATTCTTATCGTGAAGGCAATAGAAGCACTTATGCTCTGCATAGCAATCATCGACAAACTAGTTGAGGCCATCAAACGATACAGCTCAATCTCATTATGTAATCGAATCCACAGCTAAACCAAGTACATTCAGTGCATATATCGCCAGGTTACAGCCTTATCTCCCTTGGCGGAGAGTTCCTCCTCAGAGATCGTCTCGTGTTCACCAGCTGCCATTCTCCTGTCGCGGCTCTTGTTGATGCGGTTGTAACTGAAGATCAAGATAAGAGCCGCAATTATCCCCCCGCCAATGAAACCCAGTTCCAGGGCGTGACCTAAAATGTAACGAGGCCCATCCTTTTGTCGGTAAAAGTTTGACGCCATGGCCTATGTTTGTTAGTGAGAAGAGCCTTGCTGCCGAAAAGTAATTGCACTTACACCGCCGAGATTTCCAACTCCAATCTGAATGGCCATTCCAACGCTGCGTTTGTAACTTCCTGACAGATTGTTGGCCAACCAAGTGATAACTCCTGGGAACGCTGGATAGATGGCGCAGGCTGCGATGAAGACACCAGCGTACACGACCTTGGGGTTGTGGGTAGAAATACACCTGGGAATGTTAGCATGAACTGGAGCAATGGGAAATTATGGGTAACTTGCATCGTGAAGCCAACAACCATGACGCAGAGGAAAGACACGATGAATGGACTTCTTTTGCCAACTCGGTCTGATGTCCAAGCGACAATCACAGCTAGGATAGCTGCAGTGATGTAAATAGGAACAGTCATAAGCTGGGCCTTGCTAGAGCTGTAGCCAAGGTTTCGAATGATGGTAGGCAAGAAAAGGCTGATGCCGTAGAGTGGGCAGACAATCTGTCACGGTTAGCAGTACTCATGCCACAGCAGCTCATATCTTGACTTACACCCCAGTAAACAAAGATGTTGACCCAAATCTGCCAGTCCTTAAACGCTGCCCAGACATACTCCCACTTGAACTCATCAGCCTGCGCAACCCGAGACTGACTCTGTCCCGCAGCTTTTTGCTGGCCTTGATACTTGAGTCTGAACACGACGAAAGCGCGCTCTTCTTCGGTTAAGAAGCTTGCAGTTTCGGGGAAGTCGTAAAGTGCCCAGAAGGCAAAGATGGCAACAAGAACGGTAACTATTCCCTCGAGAATGAAGATCCATCGCCATCCTTCAAGGCCACCAACACCGTCCATCTTTGCGATGCCAAAGGCCAAAAGACCGCTGAATGCACCGGCGATGGAAGCGGCAGAGAAGAAGAGGGCCTGTCGAAATTGGATTTCATGACGGCAATACCACATTGTGAGGTAGTACTTAGAACAGGTTAGTTTACAAGTGAAGATCGGAGAAATGACGTAGACGTACAGCGACACCAGGGAAGAGGCCGGCCTCAGTGACACCAAGAAAGATGCGCGCGATAAGAAGACCATGGTAGTTCTGAACAATTCCCATGAGTGTCATCACAATACCCCAAGCAATCATGATTGTAGGGAGCCAAACGCTTGGGCGGAGTTTCTTGAGGAGGAGATTCGACGGGACTTCGAAGGCGGCGTATGTGAAGAAGAAGACGGTGAGACACCAGTTGTATTGGTCTGGGCTCATTTTGAGATCTTCCTGAAGACCCTCGATCTTTGCGTTTCCGATATTTCCTCCTGCGATTACATGATTAGTTGGGTATCATAGCAAGTGCTGCGGTAAACTTACGGTCGAGAAAGGAGAGAAGGTAAAGAAGTGCGAGCATAGGGATCAATCGCATGTCCATCTGAGAGTCTTTCTTTAGTAATGAGGTGGTAAATATTGGTGTCCAGAACAAACCTTGCGAAGAATCTTCTTCTCATCAAGATGAGAAAACGACTCGAGGGTAGTACCAGGTGCCGTAGCCATGGCATCGATACGACCGACCTGTCGTCTACCAGCAGCTTCGGCCTCAAAGACCTCAGCCTTCTCGTTCGGGGGAGTAGAATAAGAAGCCATGATGACGACGAAGAATGTCTGTGTCTCTGTTTAAGAAATGGCGAGAAAAGATGGGATGATCAGCGAACTTAAGTATGTCGCATCACCCTTGTCTTCCCCATGATTTCCCCGCAATGTCTAATGTCGCTGATCTTGAGTGAAGGGATCGTAAGAGGCTTGCGAGGAACGCACGCACGGGGTAGATGGAGACGTGGGAGGGGGCGGAATAGTGCTAACGGTAGAGGGCGGGAAACGCTTATCTGGAATAAGGAACTGAGAGACAGGTCATGATTGGAACCGGATCCGATGGTTGTGTCGAGTGAGCGAGTCATTCTTGGTCATGGTTCGATTGTGGATTACGAATTTCAGATCAATCTCCTACTACAGGTGATATGCTATCCTATTGCTCGTCATCATGCATGTGTCTCTATTGTTATCGTATATTTCTCGTGGTTTCAACTTCCAGCTCTTCACTCAAGATGGGTTTCTACAATGCAAAAACTTGTACGTCATAACAAAGAGTGAGTGCCAATGGCATCGGTTCCGAAGATCCCTGTCAACACATGGTTCCCTTTTTCTCGCCAGCGATCAGCGTTACCTAACAGAATGTGGCGGCGCCCGTCACAAACCAAGCCAGACCACAGAACAAGAGTTTCTCCAAAATTAAGCTTTCAACCGTAATTTCACCCTTTCCCCGTTTTTACCAATCGAGCACTGTAAAAGTTATCTCCAATGTGGTAAGAAATAAGACCATCGACCCGTGAAAACGTCCTAACCTTGAATGTCAACCCCATATACTAGACTAAAGCTGAACTGAACTGAACTGAACTGGGGGATCTGCGCTACCCCGCATCATCTGATGAAAGACTTCCCTGTTCTCGCTCCCAAATAAAGTGGACTCTTTTCATTCCCAACAAACTTCATCCGGATCCGAGATTCACTCCTGGATCGCGAATTGCTACCACTGCAACGCTCACCTGTAGACTATAGTGGATTCGACATGCCAGCGGGTCTTGTTACACGTCGTACTCAGTTCTCCAGCTGCGACGAGTGTCGTAGATCGCGTGTGGCTTGTGACGCCCAGAGCAGCGAAGGGACTTCTTCGTGTACACGCTGTCGGAACCGTCACCACGCGTGCACCTTCAAGGTAAGCAACTATAGTTCCAGATTCGCCAACAGATGATTAAGGACTCATACAGTGGCTACAAAATGCCAAGACAAACAATGGAGGCACGAAACGCAGGTCACGTCGAGGGACGACACGGCCTACAAGCGACACATCATCAACACGCGGCAGTCGAGTCACGGATACTTCCCATGAGTCGGGTTTTGATCCAAGTCCTGCAAATGACCTAGACCATGATACCTACAGAGATAGCCCAACCGTAACGGCAATGCCTGAGTCGGCATCTTTGCCATGGTGCCCCAGTCCGATAAGGAATTCGGACGAGAGCGTCAGCATGGAAAATGTGGACTCTAGATGGCTCGATACTCTGTACAGAGAAGGATTCGAGGCGGTCTTTGGCTCCTGGATGGGGAGATATGCGTGCCCCTTCTTGTACGTACCAGCCAAGAGTCTCTACCACTTATACTTACATGAGCAGGTTTGGTCACAATCTAGCAGACAAATACGTCAGCATATCTGACCTCTGTCGCCATCTCGATGGGTGCATAGTAGATACTGGAGAAAACCAACTAGTCGGTCGAAGTAGAGACATTGAACAGTCTCTCCAGAGCACCATTTCAGCATTTGCAGCACGATGGCTCCCTGTTACATCTCCAGAGCCAAATTCCAACGAGGATCACTGCAGTCTTGTCCAGAGTCTCTGGAGGCATGCCCGAAGGGATATGCTACGTGTCATCAACAGGCCGGCCTACAGGTCAATGCTATCTCTGCTTCTGTTCGCTCTAACGCCGATACCAGAAGGTATCTCGGAGGACGAGGAGGCAGATGGAATTTCCGGTCAGGCTTGTGTTCATGCAGCCTTGCAGCAGATACAAACATTACGTGCACGTCAGAGAAACCTTCAATTCAGCGGTTCAAAAGTTTCTCCCTCTCTCAAGTCCCAAGCTATTGTCACAACACCAGAGTCGATCGAAACATCAGGCTTCATCAACGCCGAGAGTACTGTATACTGGGCTGCTTTGACATTTGACACCTCTGCATCTCTCACTCTCAACTGTCGCTCCCTTCTATCTTCAGGTCTCTTCGGCTTCGAATCTGAACTCCCATGGCGTCTCGTCAAAACCTGTGCCAAGATGTTTGACGAGAACGCCCGCCAGTGGAAGCAAGGTAGCTCAGACATGACAGATGAAAGGGCGAATCAAATCATTGCTGCCGGGGCCTCTTGGAAGCTCCTTGGATGGAAAGTCACTGCCATTTTTAAAGAAGCTCTGAGAGATGGTCATGACGAGTCAGAAGTTCGGAGAGCATACCTGGCCGTAGTTGACTCTGTAAAACAGTTTGGTATCATTTATCGCCCGCTTTTGGATGAATGCCATAAACGCATGCCTTTTCTTGGGCAGCAGACAAAGCTTCGATGGTGTAAGTTTGAGTGGCCCTGCAAGAATGAACTTTGCTGACTGCCTCTATGGTTTCTCTTATGCTTCACTACCATCTCAGCATCCTCATGCTAGTAGATATCATTGAAGCCACGGACCGTCAAGATCTACTAGCGGACATAACCGACATATGTATAGATGCCGAGAACACGGTGATGAATACTCTAGCATTCGGCTTGCACAACACATTTACATTAAAGCGACCTCTCGATCTGATCGAGAGCGATAGTCTGAGTAGGAGGCAAGCGGTTTTCACAGTACCGATCGTGTCTATTGATCCATATCCACATCATGCCGTTGCTGGGGTGCAGTTATTGAGAAAAGCTATTGATCGCGACTTTGGCATTGGAAAAATAACCGAAGAAACTTATCAGAGTTTATTGTCCACGTTGGAGAGGACGTTGAGGCATTTGCCGCAGAGTTCAAAGTCTGTGCGGGCAGCGATAGCAAAGTTCTCAACGGCGACTGATGAAGATAGTGTCCATCCTAGTATTCTAGTCTAATAAACAAGCATTTCTATCGGCTGACCTAAAGTGCAAGCCCTTTATTCGAGTGATTCAAATACTATGTACCATTGCAGGAGGTGGTTGGGTTGGATCACACCGAGCCCGTGGACTTGGCGCTATAAGTTTCCGCGATGTGGAACAAGTAATAACCAAATTACCCCAACTCAAGCGAGTAAGCCACTGACCTCAGAGTCAATTTTCGGTTACAATTATCCTGATTTTGTCTCGGATCCGATGGTCGAAATGGAGTGGAGATGTTCGCCACCCACTAACTGAGTTTCTGAGGTATCATGGATCGGATCCGAAGTGATGACGATCATTTGCTGCTGAGCAAGATCTGCTGGAGCATCTATTTCCTTGCTTCTATTTCAACTCCTTCTCCTCAGTAGGATACATCCAAGCTTTCAAACAAATTAATTCTCTTAATATTTCAATATGGTTCTGACATCAACTCCAAGGACGTCCGTCACTTTGATCGGAGCGGGCACTCAAGGAAGACGCCTTGCGTTCATGGTATGTGTCGCCTCAGTCATTCTCTTATCCTTCGTAAGTTCTTTACTAACAACCATATCTCAGTGGTCGAGTAGAGGAAACGATGTTCATCTGGTTGACGGCCAAGAAGCCCAACTTCAAGCCAGCATAAAAGCCATTGACGAGTTTCGACAAAGTTCAAGCAGCAGAAATGCTTCTTGGGGTAGAATCGTCACTCATTCTCCCGAAGGCTTGCGCGAGGCCCTTCAAGCTGCCTGGCTGGTAGTCGAGGTAAGCAAGTCTGCGATCATGAATGGCCAAAGGCTGACTGAAAAGTGTGTACCTGAGCAAATCGAGCTCAAGACGAAGGTCATCTCAGAGCTTGATGCACTAGCTCCACGAGATACTATCATTGCCTCAAACTCGAGTAGCTATTCCTGTTCGGAGATACTGAAGGGTCTTAACCTAAGAAACGAGAGTCGTTTTCTAAGCGCCCATTCATGTAAGTGTTCGGAAGTTGGCAAAATACCTATACTGACTAAGATGATTCAGACTGGCCACCTGAGACACCCGGTAAGAATTATATGGAAGGCAGGTTACAAAGAAAGTTGCTAACAAAGATTAGAAATTGAGATCATGGGCCATGAAACAACCAACTCTTCATATATCACATTGATGATGGAGCAATGCAAAGCCCATGGGTTCTCACCGTTTCATGTAAAGTCACCATCAATGGGATACATTTACAACAGGTAAGCGCTCAAAAGATTCGCTTTGACGGGAACTAATTCAATTCCACCAGAATATGGGCAGCCATCAAGAGAGAAGCCCTCCTCGCAGCCTCAGAAGGCGCTGCAACACCGGAAGAGATCGACAATATTTTCAAAGGAGTACTAAAAACACCCAAAGGGCCCTTTGAGCAGATGGATGTTGTTGGTTTGGATGTTGTTCTCGATATTGAGCAGCATTATGCAGATGCGAGAGGAAACATCCCAAGTGCACCCCGAGAATATCTACAGAAGTTTTTGGATCAAGGTAATTTGGGCGTTAAGAGCGGGCGAGGATTTTATGATTATGGTAGATCTTAGATGAGTTAGAAGGTGAATAGACTTTGGTATTTCCGAGCAGCAAATTGTATAAATCCATGCAATGGTGCATAACGCCGAGCCGGCCATTTTACCCGAGAACAAAGGAAACTAGGAAGTATTCCTCCGAGAAAACAAATCCCAGAGCCCGAACTTGGCGATGATTAAGATGGCATATATAGGGCCAGGTTGTAAAAGCCACGGCGGCTTGGTAACATTCGCTGAATGCAGGGGAACGCCACAGGGGTAGCGAATACCACCTTCAAGGTTTGCGCGGGGAAAGGGTTGCATCAGCCCGTGATCTCTTCCGGGATGGTAAATGGCATGATACACCACAAATGCTGGGGGATGACAGCATGTGCCAAGAATCAGTTGGTACTTTTCTCGACGACACATTGTGTAGGGTTGCACCGAGAACTGCATGGGGAAGATGCCCCGGCAAGCGAGCTTATTAGGGGGAACGGAGGGAACCCGTGGGTCTGGAACTTGGGCGAGCTTCGCTTGAACGCTTACCCGGGCGCCAAGAGACGGTTACACGATCATACCACCATACCCTGTTGCTTAGTGCTTCTCCAAAGTTAGCCGTATGAGACCCAAGCCCCCGTCTATGGTAGTATTGGTGTTACGGAAGATGCAGGTGAAGATCTCAGGGAAACGAGGATGAACTACTGGGGTCATGACGCAACCCAGAAGACGATGGCAGATAGAACTCAATCGACAGCATTAAAGTCTATTTATCTAACAATAAAAACGCTTAGCGGATGAAGACGAATACGTGCTATGTCTATGTACATGATACCATTCTGCTATTGTCTACAGGTAGACGTAGCAAAATGGTCCGGAAAGCGTGCTCATCAGATCCTTGATCTGTCGCTCAGGTCCAACCCAGCCAATGTTGACATAATCCTCAAGTGTAGTATCAGCACTGGGAGGCATGTTGAGGAAAGTATTTGTGCCCTGCACGGCATTCTTGCCGTTGACACGCTCCTTGGGGTTAAGCATCTGCCAGATCCACCAGACGCGATCAATCATAGAGTGGTGCAGGTAGAAAGCAGGATCACCGGGAGAAGTGAAGACATCTCGACCGGGGTCACCACCGAGAGAGTAGTGGCCACCTCCATGGATACCAATGTCGCCAGTGCCGGGAACACCCTGCATCTGCATCTGGAAGTCCAGAACAGTCTTGGGCTTGAGGATGTTGTTAAGAACAGATGTAGCGTTGGCGAAACGCTTGTTGACGGAGTCGCTGAGATCGCGCTTCAAGCAGCGAGGGTTGTAGTCCAGAGGGTTGGGGTTGGCAGCGACACCACCACCGGGGAGGTCAAGAGCGGCAGGGCCCAGATTCACCTTCATGTCCTTGAAAGGGCCGGACTTGACACAGCCGCCGCCAGAGCCAGCGGCAAGGTAGACGGGGGGGAGACCACTTGAGGCACCGAGAATGATATCGGGCTCGTTAGGGATGAATTCACCGTCACCAGAGAGCGACAAGTCACTGCCATCGAAGACAGGAGATTTGTTGAGGCCGCTGAGGGCAGTAAGAGACCAGTCCCAGTACTACCAGAATATCAGCGAGAGCAGTTCAGTAGCATTGTGAGTTTACTTACAGGCTGAGTTCCCTTGTAGCCACACTCATTTCGAAGAGCCTCTTCGTACAGCCAAGTGAAGTATCGGTGCCATGTGAGGAAGTTGCCAGTGTAGTGGATCGTCTGAGTCTGGTTAAGATGCACAGCAACCCAGTCATCGAAACGCGTCTTGGCACCAGCAGCGAAAGACGCAGGAGACTTGGAAGGCTTGGACTGGAGACACTTGACAGCGTCGATGTAAGACTTCTTCTCTTTCTTTGAGAGGGTGCCCCTGTAGCAGATGTTAGAGAAAATGCTGCTGTAGAAAGACGGGCAGCTTACCATTCTCGTCGAACACGGACGTTGCTCCAGTTGCAGGTGCTGGCACGCTTGGTCTTATCCCCAGCGAGGTCCTGGGCAGTCTCATACGCCGCAGCAGCGAGATCAGCGAGCTGATCGAGGTTGGTGACCTCGGGTGCAGACGAGTCAACAGTGGTGGCTTGCGGGGCAGCCAAAACGCCAGCGGCGTTGAGGGCCAGGAGGGAGATGAAACCAGCACGCATGATGGCAACCTTGACAAGACAAGAGAAAGAAGGGACGAAGAGAAAGGGCAGGGATCTTCTTTGCAGCACCGGTGTTTGGCTTGAATGACCAGTGAGTGAAGAGTGCATTGGATGCAGAAATGTGATGAGCTATATACTACTGTATCATCCCCTTGGACATTTCTCCTTCTCCTGCATTTCCAGGTCAAGGATTACCACGCATAATAGTTCAGGGCCAGCCCATGGATCTTGAACTAGGGCTTGTCAATTGGAGCGAGTACGCTTACACCTCTAATGGGAATATTACCCCGAGGCGAAGGCAGGGTCGTTGACTAAAGACCCTAGAACCAACGGCAGAAGAGAAGTTTTCTGTGGACTCGTAAAAGCCCGTACCTCGTTGCCGAGACGGAGGGGTTCGGTTCGTTCGGCCAGATAAGTTATAGCTTAGATCTAATCCGATTTAGGGACCCATCAGCGGGTTTGCATTAGCTTTGACATTGCAGGGGGGGAACCAACTACGCCACCGGACGATTCTTAATTCAGGGGAATAGAGTGCTTACTACGGTAGGTCTTGTGTCGCGAAATGCATGATCCTGCAGCTGAAGCCATGGGACCGACGTACTCGTCACATTCCAGAGCCCTGGATTTTCAGGAGAGTATAAAGATGCTGGAGTAATAGCGTAGGTGAACCGTGAGCGCCAGATTGACGCTTTGACGCCGGGAACAACTAGGGTTGATGATCCGGAACAGTTCCGTGCTTAGATGAGTGGAGTTTTTGGATCCATAACATCTCTCGGACACGAACATTGACATTCCCGTTAGTGACGGGACCAAAAGATTCGTGTTTTGACTACTACTTTTCTCCGAGTAGACTAGCATTACTGACTAGTAAAAGAGTGTTGCTGATCGCTATGTCGATCTCCCTCGCGAATCACTCGATGTCACCCAGATGTTTCACTTGGAGAAGAGATGACAACCCACCCATTTTCGATCGCGGAGTTGCATCCGAGTACATGATCAAATAGGCAAGATCATGCAGTAGAGATGCAGCATATCACACATATAATATAGGTATCCCTATCCGTACTCAGGTCGAGATAACCTCGCTCTCCTCGTCAGGTGGGCCGCCAAGACCTGCACCGCATTGGTCGCTACGGATATTACCTCGACCTTCTCTATTAGCCTCGGCTATAACCTGAATGCAGAACAAGAGCGAGACCTGAGCGTTTCATAAGTCCTTTATCCAGACGACCTGCAGATGTATCAATCCAATCCTGGTAAGGCCTGTTGCCTCCGCCCAGGGTCAGACGCCCCGTTAGGGAACTCGTATGACACAACTGAACGTCGGAGTCACAGTGGCAATGCAAGGGTCTTCTTTAGAGCAGAAATATGTGTAGAATCTTGGGTTAGACTTGGTAGTTCAGCTGCGTCAAAGCAATGACAGATGGCTTCTAGTGGACTCGCAGCCGAGGCAATATGCATACTCTTTGACTTGATTTCCTGGTCAGCGGAAATTTCGTGTTCTAGCTCGTCAAACACCCTGCCGAAAACGTGGTGCACTCGACGTAAAGGATCGATAGGGAACCCCCTGGCTGCCCCCTCTCTCATGCGTGTTTCTTTTCTTATTATCCCGCCCCTTCTCCATCGTCCCAAGTTCTTGGGTCTTTGTACATCCTTCCCTCGGCCACCATGGATCCTCAGGTTAAGCTCCCTTCGAATCCCGACGAGAATGGAGCCGTCGATATTCTTGCTTCGACGGTCTTGGTGATCACATTGGCGACCATTGTTGTTTTGGCTCGCGTTTACGTGCGGTTGTTTATGATTCGCAATCTTGGCTGGGATGTAAGTTGCGTCAATGCCTCATCTCGTTTATTTTCTCCCCTTTTTACTCTCAATTCTTCTATGCCAAGTCCTGGATCTTTCTAACCGTCTGCGCTTAGGATGCCTTCATGATATTCACCATTGCACTATCCTGGGCAGGCCAAGGTGTAATCTTCGCACAGCTTGCTTATGGCGGTGGAAAGCACATTGGCGATGTTGACCCAGATGTCTACATGATAGGAATGAAGTTGAACTTTATAAGTCAGCCCATTTTCTTGATAGCAATCTGCATAGTCAAATTGTCCGTCGGGTGCGCCCTCCTTCGAATTGCGTCTACCAAGTTCTACAAATGGTTGATTCTGTCTATTATGATCTTCATGTCCATCTACACTATTGGATGTTTCTTTGTAAGCCATGCATCTTCCACGGCCTTCACTTCAAATGGCTAATACTTTGTGCTGTAGACTGTCATCTTTCAATGTACAGACATTCGTGTCCTCTGGGATCCAACCGTGCCGTCGAAATGCTGGTCACAAAAGACTTTACAATCCCTCTCGTACACGAACTCCGCGTTTAATATCCTGACTGATCTCCTCTTCGCTATCATCATCCCAACACCCATGCTTTGGAAACTCAACGTGCACTTCCGCACACGGGTAACCCTTATTGGCATTCTCAGTCTTGGTGTCTTTGCCTGTGCCGCTGCATTTACCAAACTTGGATATGTCACCAACTACGGCAAGCTCGGTGACTGGCTATGGGACTCTCGCAACATCACAATCTGGACCAGCGTTGAGCTCAACGTCGGTATCATCGCAGGCAGTCTACCCTGTCTGCGGCCACTGTTCCGAAGCTTCCTTGGCAGCACCTATGGCAAGAATTCCAAAAAGACTCCAACAACAGGCAATACAAACTATGGTCGCGGTACTCTACGAAGCGGCACCATGCGTAGTGGCAAGAACTGGCACGTCTTGTCTAGTGGTAAAAGGGGCGATGATGAGACAAGCAGTCAAAAGGCCATCAATATTGGTCAACAGGAGTATGAGCTTCGAGATAGGATAGCCAGCCCTTCTGGGGTGATGAACAGGACGACAGTGCAGACAGAGATTGAGGGGAGGTCAAGTGATGAGAGTGCTGGCAATGCAGGATATAGGGGCCAGTTTCAAAGTGGTATCACAAAGACTATGGTAACGACAGTCGAGGTTACCAAGACGGACTCTTCATCGAGTCGATGATTTTCTATTACCTATTTCCAACATCCTTCCCTAAATAATTACACGCATAACTAGCGATGAATATCAAATCAGTGTTTTTCAATGGCGAGTGGCCGTGAGAGCCTTATAGAGAATGATTGTACCTCCAGACTTCAAAGTTCTGGAATATTTCGATCTTGAAATCTTTCTTTCCCTTCTTCTATGTGTCTAATTAGGGCTTTTTGCTAACTGATGTGGTGATCGTATGCCGAAGCTGTTAGAAGCTATTCTAAGCCGACTGCATCTACTTTACCTTTGCCTTTAAGCAGTTTCACTATCCTCCACCTTGTTGTTGACTTTTCCTTCTCCTCCTCTGGTACAACCGATCCCTCCTCCATTAGAGTTGGCATGGCCGATTTCAAATCTCTCCTGGGCTCGGGGCGCTCCAGTGACTGGAAATAATCATCCCACGGGCAATCTTCCCATGATAGCTCTCCATCCTCCAAACGCCGGAGGAGTTCGTGAATCCCAGGCCCCAAGGGTGTATCTGGTTGTTCTTTTCTGTTCGGCGCTGCTGCTTTGAACCTTTGAAGTGAGCTTGAGCCTGACACCTGAGAAGAGCGCGAAGACCTAGACGCCAAGGATCTGGCGAGAGTAGGGTTTCCATTCAGCACGTCCAGGTATATATGATGGGCAGACAGAGATGTTCTTAAATAAGAAGAAATACTAGAAGACCCGAAAGACGGGGGATATAGCGCCCCTTCGACATGTATGATGGTATCTCTCTGGTTAGTAGAGGCTAGCTGCTCGTGTTGTTGTATCAGCCAGTCCAAAAATTCGTTGTCAGTTGATGCACGTCGAACTTTGCCGGTAATTTCTTTCAAAGCTGTCAATGTGTGAGATGTTGGAGTTGATGACCGGCTGCGTCGAGTGGCCAAGACTGATTCGAGTGCTTCCATCTGATGAGTCTGAACTTCTCGAGCGAGATCACTTTTGCGAGCAGATGGTGGAGACCATGAGTAATGCTCAACGAATTGCGTGGCAAACTCCCTTTTGGCACTTTCTGGTGTGAATGAGTTATCATAAAGAAGCGCTGGTATGATTTCACAATAGAGTGATACGTCTGAGGGCCGAAGTCCGGGTGGGCCATTGCTAGGTTCAGAGGAGACAAGAAGCGACCTTTGAACGATGATCCTGCTCACAACCAACAAAAAGTGTGTCGCGGAAATTGTAGGCAGGCTTTGGCCCCACGGGACAGGAGATTCACGTTCCAGTTGGATGTTTTTCCAAAAGTGGGTAAATAGGAAACTGGATTTCCTCCACAGATAGAGTGGTCTCTTTTGAAGAGCCAGGTCACTCATCTGAGTCGGGTTCATCCCCTCAAGTCTCTCTTTGTCATAGCCTGGGAAAGGTTTTGGACATTGAGTATCTCTCAGCGTGCGCCAACAAAGCGTAAGGCAACGCTCCATATCGGATGCGAACAATTTGTTATCCCACTGGAGTGAGTTCAGCAAATCCTCTGAAATATCATGATGCTTCTTTCCTTGGAGACGCAGCAATGTCCAAAGGTCTATCGATTCTGGACCAAGTGCGTCGAAAGCCTTTGTAAAGTTTCTGGCTTTATCAAGATGTTTTTGTTCAAGGCTGGTATCTCCATTATGCGCATAGATCTGCGCAAGGTGGCGATGAAATAGGAAGGACTGCATAGGGCTCATCTCAACTCCATCGGAAGGGCAAGGGTCGTGTACCTCTCCAATCAGAGGGTCATTGCTCATCTTGAGCTCAGACTCCATCATCACCTTCACGATCTCACAAAGTCTTCGTTTCTTGGCAGTCCTTGCCGTATCAAGCATCCTGGCGCGTCGTTGCTTGGCTGAAGGCGTTTTGTGTTGAAAAGGAATAGAGATCTTGAGGTAGTAGTTGAAAGCTTTAGTGTAGCGATGGCAACAAGATAGGTATTCTGCCGACAGCTTGTCATCGTATGTGTACTGACAACGTGGACTCGATTGTGCAGTCAATGGGGTAGAAAGGAAATCGCCATCAGTAGAGAGATTCAATGGTGTGTCAGATAGGCTTTCAGCAGTACTCACGGATCCTAAACACAGTCAGCCAATACTCAGACCTGAGAAAGGCAAAAGCATACCAGGCGAGACGCAGTTAACTCTGATATAAGCATTCTCTTTCGCAGCTGTACGCGAAAGGCTGATTACAGCTGCCTTGCTTGCACAGTATGCGACATGCCCCGGAGTGTAGTCGCCTGACTCGCTTCTGGGCTTGGGTCGCTTCAGTGGGCGGCGAGGAAGAGGCGAGGATGGGCCAGGGGTTGTGATATCACTCCTGCGACTGATAGAGCTTGTGCCGCTTCGGGGGCGTTTGCTTGACTCATTTGTAAGTATGAGACCTTGGTCCGTAGAGTCAACCACGGTGGTCACGCATGATGGCTCGTTACTTGCGGTTTCACAAGGCGTGCTTTGACTGGCCGTCTCATTCGGTGTTGATTGAATAGCGAGGGCTCCTCGAGGCTGCTTGTGAAAACCCCAACGTCTCGTTGCTTTGGAGAATTGATCCCGACTACGGACAACAACGTCAGTGGAGAAATAATATGGGGAAGTTCATACTCACGATATGGTGAAACTCAGATTTGTTTCTAGGTAGTTGATTACCTGGTCTCGAGTATAACTTTGGGTCAAGTATAGGTCGCCAATTAGATCTTTGTGCTCGTCCACTGCGTTGTCCGACAGCCCAGCAGCTCGGGGAGCACGGCTGTGGATAAAGGATAGCTCTCGTGGGGCCATGAGTAGTTGTATGACTAGGGAAATAAGCTTGAAGTCTGGTAACGGCTACCCGCAGAGACTGGCTCTTAATTGACGAAGTGTTAGAGACTTAGAGTTACACTGCGTATCCGAATATGAAGAAATACCCAAGTGTAAATTGAGCATACAGTCTTCTCTTCTTCATTCTGTCCTCTTACCTCAACAAAAAAAGCAATCAATCAACACGTCATTCCCAGCTAGTGCCCGGTTGTCTAGTCCGATGTACTGTAAGATTGGAGTAACCCTTGTCTTTGGCCATTAATTGGACAGAAGGGCATGGCATTGTTGTTCTTTCAACCCCCCAGAATTGAACTAGACCGAATATGGTAACTCCAAACTTTTGTCTCAACTTTCTGCTTGGCCGTTGACATTATCGTTGATTATGGCTTGGAAACATCCTCAGCGAGTCATCTCAGCTCATTAACAGTTGGTAAAAAAGGCAACCCGCACACCATACCGTATCAGGTAATTCCAATGCGGCGCTTTGGCCTCTGCGGCAGCCTTTCTTTTCTTTTTCTATAGATCAACTCCAGATATTCAGGGGAAACCTCGTAATCCGGTTCCTCGCGTCGATCAGCAGAAGAAGCTACTGCACCTCTGTCACATTTCGTCTCATATTCCGGGAATTGAAAGTTTGGAATTTCCGGATCTGGATTGCACCCAACATCTTATAGGTCTGATGCTTGAGTAAGACAGGACCTGTCATGAGGCAGACTAGTTTCGGGTCAACCTATCAATCGTCAATAGATCTCTATGCCGCCTGATGAATGAAGTTTGTTCTTTCTAGAATTGGCAATGCCAAAGATTACGGCAGGTGTCTGAGCAGCGTTAAGGTTGTATTGCGGCTTCGTGACCAAGCGTAGTTGAGAGAGGTCTACAATCTGAAGAGTAGCTTCATGGCAGAGTAGTTCCGATTCATGACTATATAAGATGCCGATTACGGGTTAAAGCTTGAATGAATCTTTAGAGATTATCTTCCATTACTTGAACCATTAAAACTACGAGTTTCTCATCAACTACAACTCTTGGATTACGCCTTTCCTTTCAAAATGGCTCTTGATCCCGTCAAATACAACCACAAGAAAGCTCAGGATGCTATGGTTGCCCATGCTGGTGCATGGACTCAAGATGCTGGCTCCTCTCCTTCGAAAAGCGTGGTATGTCCAAGTATTCTAACACCCAAGCCCTTTACTGACTGCCAAGATTTCTAAGATCGAGGAAAGGGTCGAGGCATCGAAGAAAAGCTCTGGTAATAAGAATTGAGACCTTCTGTTACAGAGACTCACGTTGCAGACTGACTCGAATTACAATTTATGTGGATTGATATTCAAGACTAGAGGGGGCTTCATGTCTGCTTTATTGAAAGGTTACGTGATTTTAGCACAAGAGCTCTGCACAGCATCATTCTCGTCAGAGAAACTAAATAGTCATTCAAATACTCCTCCTTTTATTTATAAAAAGATACTCTTGAAATTCTTAGTGGTTATCTACTTTCAGTCATGAAAATTGTTACACAAACTGAGACACGTCGTGAATAGATGGGGATCGGTGCCCGGTAGGAAAAGGGCAAGTCAAGACAAGGACTATCAACTAGAACAGCCTGGGGTAATCTATACTAGTTCATTGCAGAAAAAAGCCCGGTAATTTGATCTTACACCATCGATTCGAAGAGTGACCACCTTGGTAGCTCACGCATTTCAATATTGGAGTTGACTGTTGAATATGTTCCCGCTTAACCTACACGGCATACAGAGAACCAATCAGAGATTTAACAATGAGGGTTTGTTTCTTACAAGAAAGTACTATATGCTCTGTACTATCCTTGGGAATAACAATCTAAATCTTATCAATATCAATTAGAATTCCTTCTCCTATTATCGCCTCATTCTCTCCTTTTCGAACCCCCCTTTCTACCCATGATCAGATTCTAGAACAAGGGTGTTCCTTTATCTCGCAGCCTTATCTGCCGAGAAATACGGGACAATGGAACCTAAAAATACGCCTCAAGCCAGTTTTCCTAAGCTATTGTTTACCGCTTCTGGTCTAGCCCATCATTTGATCAATTTTCCCCCGCAACGCGGAGGCGGAGACTCGTTACCCGCTGATTGGGCGCCCGTCGCGAGTAAGTTGCCAGCCAACGCGCGATAAGACAAGACCCAACCAACGTTGGTTCAGCTTTTTATATCTGGTCTTGGTCTGGGGTAAAAGCTTAAACCTCATCTCTGTTCCCCTTACTCTACCGCAATCGATTGGCAGTAGCAAGTATGGCGACTGATGCACCAGCCCAGGAGGGTCACCTCCAGAAGAGGTTCTCAAAGATCACTATGATCGGCATGGCTTTTGCCATTCTCAAGTAAGGAGTGCCGTCGCGTCACATGAAAGTCGCCAACTAATTGAATGCAGTACATGGATTTCTCTTGCTGGATCAATAGGTCTAGTAATGCCATCAGGCGGCTCTGTTAGTTTCGTCTACGGATTTATTTTCTGCGTTCTTTGTAATATTTGCTTGGCTGCAAGTGTTGGAGAATTAGCCTCACTATATCCTACAGCCGGAGGACAGTATCACTATTCCTTTGCTCTTTCGTCCAAGAAATGGAAGACTATTAATGTAAGGCTCACCATGACTACTTCTTATGCATATCGCTAATTGCAACAGAGCTTCCTTGTTGGATGGACAAATATTGCTGGCTGGTTGACTCTCAACACAACTGCAGCCTACTTCGGAGGTATATAACCAAGATCACCGATAAAACAATTGCTTACATACTATAGCTCGATTTCTTGCTGCGGCTGCTGTCGTCGGCTCTGGAGGTAGCTACGAAATTACCCAATGGAGCACGTATCTGATGTTCGTCGCTGTGTCTATCGTCGGCGTGTTCCTGAACATCTTTGGCTATCCCATCCTGAATCGATGGAACGAAGGCGCCTGTAAGTCGAGCTACAAATACATCCCTACTTAAACTGACTTTCTTTAGTGTATTGGTCTCTGCTCAGCGTCGTCGTCATCAGTATCGTCCTTCTCGCTACCTCTCCCAAGACTGACGCAGAGTTCGTCTTCACCAACTTCTCAAATACCACCGGATGGAGTGATGGCACGGCTTGGATGCTTGGTCTGTTACAGTCAGCTCTGAGCTTCATTGGGTAATTAGTTCGCCGATTTCTACTGGGCATAGCTAACATGCTGTAGTTGGGATGCCGTGGCACATATGACTGAAGAAATGCCTCGACCATCCAAGGATGCCCCCCAAGCCATGGTTGCGGCAGTCTTGGTCGGAGGCGTGACGTAAGTTTTGCCAACCCCCCTAAAAGTCTCCCACTAACAGTTTTCAGCGGAATCTTCTTCATCATCGTCATGCTCTTTTGCTTCGTCGACCTTGATCTGCTGCTCGCATCGCCTACACAAAGCCCTCTTACAGAGATGATACTGCAAGCGACCAACAGCCGAGCTGCTGCAACCGTACTAACTGTTGCTGTTGCACTGTGCTTCGTCAACGGTGCTAATGGTTGTGTTACCTCCGGCAGTCGTCTCATCTGGGCTATGGCACGAGATGGCGGTACTCCCTTTTCCAGATAGTAAGCATCCTATCTTCATTCCCCATACAAGCATAGCTAACTATTAAAGTCTGTCGCATCTTCATCCCAAGCTCAACGTTCCTGTTCGAGCTATTATCGTGCAGGCTATATTCAACCTTCTCTTCGGTCTTCTTTATCTTGGTATGTTTCTCTTCTAAACAGTCTACTTATTACCACTAATGTACCCAAAGGCCCCGAGGTTGCTTTCAATGCTTATATTGCAAGCTGCACACTATTCCTCAACCTCTCATACGCGGCCCCTGTGCTTATCCTTCTGATTCGAGGCCGACAAATGGTGCTTTCGCAGCCTCCCGAGTTTTCTCTTGGTCGTGTCAAAGGCTACATCGCGAACTACACAGCCGTCATCTTTGTGGCTGTGACCTCTGTTGTAAGCATCTCACTTTGGCGAATTCGAGACCTGATGCTGACACATCTTGAACAGTTCTTTTGCTTCCCTCCTGCAATTCCCGTCAACGTGTCAACTATGAGTAAGTCACCCCAGGCAAATAGGATGGCCAGACGCTAACAGATTTAGACTATGTGATTGCAGTATTGGGCATCTTCATCGTATTTGTAGCGGTTCTTTGGCTCGGAAAGAGAAAGTCTTACGAGGGACCCAAACTTGAGTACATTCTGGGGGAAGAATTGCCCGTGACAGATACAGTGTCACAGAGGGGCCCTAAAGAAATTTCCTCTAGCTCAACCTCGAAGCACGATGAATAATCGTACTTTGTGGGATTACTGTATAGCGATGCTAGGATAGTGGGTAGCGATATGATACATTGGTATTGGTTTAGTTAAAGAGCGTGGGATTTTGCCATTCTATGAAAAGTTGCGTCTTTCTCGAGGTTATCGCGACATGGACAGACTGTAATAATTTACCATTTATTTCTCCCCATTGGCCTAATCTTTAGTGCTATGCATGTAATAACTGACGCCTTGGTCTTTGAGGTAGTAAAGGTCAGCAACCTTGCTGCAGATGACTACATCTATGGAGAAGTCGACCTTTCAAGTACTGATTCTACGGTTTGTGTACGTCTGTTTGGTTACACGCGAGAGGGGTTGAGAGACAACTGGCACAAACATGACATTAAGTGACTAAGTAAGTATCAAGTATTACATCCTACAACATTGCGACTGTGTTCTTGAGGTACCCATAATGCCAATCATCCCTGGCCAAGTCCTGTCGGATCTGGTAATTACGTTCCGCGATATCCACCGTCTTCATATCGACATCCAATATACGCACGGCCTCCTCGCCATCTGTAAAGCTCCCAGGCACCGTTCCAACAATAGGTAGCGCCACTTGACTACAGCCAAAGAAACCCTCTGCCGCGGGCCCACCGGCATTGCAATAAATAACGGCGGCGGTGTTCTCGAATGCCCTGGTTACCAGGGCAGACTGGATGAACATCCTCTCGCAGTCGGCGTTATATGCGAGACCATCCTTGCACATATCAAGCGCCGTCCAGTATGAAGGAATTATAATGATCTTGGCGCCCGCAAGTACGAGCTGTCTGAAGGCTTCTGGGAAGGCAAGATCCCAGCAGACGAGGATGCCGACTCGGCCGAGAGGGGTGTCGATGACTTGGTGGGGATTGGGGGCAGCGTAATCATCTTTGGATATGTTCTTAGCATGATCGACAAAGGATGTTAACGTGTGTCTTTCTGGTATCCAGAGGTTGGTCTTTGTGTAAGTGCCGAGGAGGTTTCCGTTGTGATCGATGAAGTCCGACGTATTTAACAACGTGGGTCTGGCATCAGCGTTTTGTTGATCATCAGATTTAGGGGCTTGGGAAACAAAAGTGCCAGCGCAGATATTAATGTGAAGCTCGGCGGCGAGGTCTTGGTATTTCTTTCGATATTTGCCAGCGTCTTCAGGGGAGAGTGCGAAAGATGGCTCTTCGGGGACCCATCCTGTAAGATGGTATTCTGGCAGTACCGCTAGTGCAGCACCCTGATCAGCAGCGATACGGATCTGCTCGGCAGCATGTGCAAAGTTATGTTCAGCGTCAAGGGGCTGTTTAGCATGTAAGTGTCAGTCAAATAAAAGGATTATACGTTGGTGGCTGACCTTTGGCTTCATCTGAACAAGAGCCACCTTGAAAGAAGGACTTGGTATAGTAACAGCCATGATTGATAAGATTTCGATGCTGGAGCAACATCAAAGCGCGGGCTCCCTTGGTAAAAGATAGGTCAAGTGAAACCTGGGACCCTCGGCAAACATGTCTTCAGATAACCAAGGACAGGTGACAGTAGCCGTGATCCTGTGCCGTAGCCATAGCATAGCATTGGCTTAGGACTTCCGTTTATGGTATTGATTTCCTTCTCTAATTAATACCGAGTTTGGTAAGGATTGGTGGAGCATCGTGAGTCTCGGGAACGATATGCGATGGCGATTTCCTTGGGAATATTATCCATTGCTTCGGATCGGATACGAAATGAGATGGACAAGATAAGAGAAGCAATTCTTGATCATGGAGTGTATGTTTCTAGTAATATTATCACGAGACAGGTTTCCTTAGGAAAACCGGAGATGTCTTGGAGACTTAGGGGACGGGTCACGGATATATCTGGGCTGAGTTCCACTTTGGAACTAGTAGTTCATCACGAAACATATATGTTGTTTTCTTGTGCTCTGGATCGCCAAACCAAGCCATAACTTATAGACAGCATTATTAGGAATTAGTTCACAGCACTATAGTACACAATGGTTTACATGCTGGAATGTTACCTCGAGGCTGAAGCCGAGTCCCATATCCGGACACTAGTAGCGTCACGTGATGACAGCCCCTCTTAACTCCACATCACTCCATCTATCTGCACCTTGCCATCTCCACTCATCAACGCGGATACATCCAAACGGGTCGTCATGCTGTCCTCATCATACGCACCAGCACCAAAAACAATCACCAGATCACGCACTGGCTGTGCCGTCTGCAAATCCAAGAGAGTATGGCTACCCCTCCCGCTCATCCGAGCCCTGCCTGACCCCTAAATAGCTCAAATGTGATGAGTCCAAGCCCGCGTGTTCGCGCTGTGTGAGACTGGGTATCCCATGTCCTGGGTATCAAAAGCCGCTGCGATGGAAAGCTGGCTCCAAGTCTCCGAAGGATGTCGCGGAAACGCCTAGGAGCGACGTCACTGCTGAGCCGCAGCCGAGCTCGGCATATGTGCCTTATCAGACTCAGCCGGCTGAGCAGTTTGTTAACAATTTCTATGATCCGGAACTCATGGATCAACTCAACGAAGCTATGAATCCCGGATGTGTCGATACACAAGGCCAGGAAACGCTAGATGCCGCTTTGCCTCTCATGCAATTCCCGGATGACGTGTTGCAGCTATATCCGGAACAGGCGCTTGGACAGACACCTGATACCATAGGTCAAGGGTCTACCGATGAGAGACTTTGGCCTGTCGCTACCATGACTCCAACACAGCACATTCCGCCAGCGCAAGTGACTTCACAAGCCTTGACTAGACAGGAGCCTCAAAACCAAACCGTCGAGACTGTTGGCGAGATGCCTTTGGCTCATGCCCTTCAGGACTATTCGTCTGTCTTGGTAGAGTACTATTTTAAAGAGGTTTGCGGAATGATGTCTTGCTATGACAGCCCAATGAACCCATACCGAACTACCATCTCGAATATGTGGTCTGGATCTCAATCACTTTACTACATCACGCAAAGCATGGCAGCTGCTTGTCTATCCGAAGTATCACCGAATTTCACTCCCGTCGGCCGCCAGCTTCGAGATCAAGCTATGATCTGTTTATCACGAGAAGCTAAGATTGCTCAACTCGAGACATCATCTTTACTTGCTTTAGTCATGTTGGGGATGAGTCTGTCGTGGCATGATCCCAGTAGTCTTGGCCAACTGCAATTCGACGTTCTATCCCGAATGGTTCAGTCCGCCGAAGCACGTGGCGATGCCCTAGCAGTCGCCGACAAGAAGAAGGAGTTCTTCTTCTATAACTCGCTTGTTTACTGGAAAATGCTGCTTTCCTTCGTCACAGACGTGGATTCAAGCACTAGACATGTTCAGCCTCAACCAGCGCCTCCAGAATGTCTTGACTTACAAGAACCGCGCATGCCTCACCCGCAGACAGGAATCGGTATTGAAGTTCAAGAACTCGTTGCCAAAGTTGGAAGTCTTGTACGAAAGGAACGAAAGAGGATTCGTTCAAGGCGATTTGTGTCTCAAGAGGATATACATCGTGCTCAAGAAGCTATGATTGCCTCGGACCAGCTGCACTCTGAGTTATGCGCAATTCGGCTTCCAACAGAGAACGACATTGTCGATGCTGGTGACGACATGACTCCGGCTAACCATCTAGTCAGCATTGCTGAAGCTTATCGATGTACAGGCTTGCTTCAATTGTATCGCAACTTTCCGGATCTTCTGTTGCCTTACATACAATCTGGAAGCCCAAACAACCAAGCGTTCCAGTCAGGATCTCCAGATGCTGCGAATAATTACCCAGATGATAGAACATTGGCAGATACGTGGTTGACGTGTCTAGCTCTCCACGTGCTAGACCTAGTCAAGGATATCCCGACTACGTCTAGAAGCAGATCTATTCAACCACTTCTATTTGTTAGTATCTGCAGCGAGATGTCTTTGAACAGATCATATTGCGGGATTTCGAATTTACAGCAACCTCCAGTGGCAAGCATCGCGACTAGCACAAGGTTCAGAGTGCCTCTGGCTGGTCTTGATGTACTGCAAGCCAGAAAGACTATCATTTCACGACTTTCTGCCTTTGAAAACATTTTGGCGGCAAAGCCTATTCGCCAGATGCTGACGCTCGTTAAGAAGACGTGGTCTTGCATGGACGAGGAGAAGCAGGATGTGTATTGGATGGATGTCATGATGGAGAATGGGTATGAGACTTTGATGGGGTAGGATCTGCAAATTGCGATTAGCTATAACTTACATAATGATGATGCTTCGGACTATTAGAGGCGCGACGGTATTTATAATTGAACTTTTTTTATATCCAGAGTCCTAATTGTCATTGTTGCTCGCGTGCGACAAAGTTAAATGTTAGTGGTGTCGTATTGCGAGTGTCATTCACGTGGATCTACAGACCCGCAACCTTAACTTATTAGTTAACCTTAGATGTAGCTTAAACTCTACAGCGCGCCTCACAACAGATCGTACTCGAATCAATCATTCGCAAACGTCTAGTCTTCAATTCTAGATCCGTGAGAGTTTCTGTCATAGAGATCATATCGCCTACGACTAAACTGCTCGTAGGTAATGAATCGCAACATCAGTATCCCACCAACACCACCTTATCGTCGTAAACAATGCAGCGAATCACGCAGAGGCACAGTGGGATGAAAGGGATCAATAGTTTCTGCGGGATTTAGACCCTGCAGCAAGTTACTATTATAGATTAATCACTAACTATGGTCTGTTGGTGTCCACTTGTCTGTTTGGGGGGAAGCACCCGCTGGGCTTAACCATTTGCAGGCGATGCAGCCGCCGGAAGCACCACGATCTGCTGTAGTCCCTGCACAATGGAATTCGGCCTTCTGACCCTCTTTGGGCATGGAATATTACAGTGGTCTTCTAGCCGACCGCTCCGCTGGGAGACCCCATGTTAGCTTGTAGTGCAGGGACCATTGAGCGATGTACTTATACCAATGTTATGTCGCTCAGGTCAGGTTCAATTGAAGGGGATCACCATCATCGACATCTTCAATCATGGCTCGTGGTCTTCTCACTCTTTGTGTCAGCGCACTTCTCGCTACGGCGAGCGCTGTAAAGCCCGTCGTCAAGCCCGCAGATGTAGTCTTCGTCAATGGCGAGATCTACACCATGTGTCCATCTAACGGGCATGCATCAGCTCTCGCTGTGCGCGGCGGAAAGATTGAGTACGTCGGCAGCAAGAAATCCGCCGACAAGTACATTGGTAAGAACACAAAGGTCATTGATCTCAAGGGAAAGATGGCCATGCCTGGTCTTGTCGACTCGCACATGCACGTTCTCTCTGGTGGTCTGTTTCTTCTCAAGTGCGATCTGAGCTACCAGACGCTGCCAATTGAGGATGTGCTAGATCACATTCAGGGTTGCATTGATGGCGAGACTGGCAAGACGGATGATGATTGGCTTGAGGTTGTCAACATGGACTATGCTGGTCTTGTTGAGAAGAGCGGAAATGTTGGAAAGAAGCAGCTTGACAAGCTCAACACCAAGCGACCCATCATCATCCGATCCAGCGACTACCATACTGTCCTCACCAATTCGCGCGCTCTCGAGCTCTCCGACATCGACTCCAGCACCAAGGACCCCGCCGATGGCAAGATTGTTCGTCTTCCTGGTAGCCAGGAGCCCTCTGGCGCTCTCTCAGATGGCGCTTCTGCCCTCCTCACTGGTCCTCCTCCTCCCACCGCCGAGGAGAACGTCCAGGCTGGTCGCGCTGCTCTCAAGCTTCTTCGCGAGGCTGGTATTACTACCTTCCAGGAAGCCGCTGCTGGTGAGGAACATCACACTCTCTTCAGCACCATCAAGGCTGAGGATGGTCTCTCTGCGCGCGCGTACTTCGACTACCGCATTGAAGCGCCCAAGTCAATCGACGGTGTTCCCTCGCTCGTCAAGGATGTCGTCAAGAAGCTTACTCCTTGGCACGACAACAAGGCCATTGGTCCCAAGCCTACACTCAAGTGGCAGGCGATCAAGGCCTTTATCGACGGTGTGATCACTTATCCTGCCAACACCGCTGCTCTGATTGATCCCTACTGGGCACCCGTCAACAGCTCCAATCTCAATGGCAAATGGGCTCCCGATAAGAACTCCCTCAACAACCCTTACTGGAACCCTGCTGTTCTCACCAAGACCCTCGAGCTTCTCTTCCTTGCTGGCTTTGACGCTCAATTGCACGTCGATGGCGACCTTGCTGTCCGGGTCGGTCTCAATGCTGCTGAGTCGTTCCGCAAGAAATACCCCCGCAAGGATTTCCGTCTCGGTCTCGCTCACGATGAGTTGTCGCATGAGAAGGACTGGCCTCGCTTTGCTAAGCTCAAGGTCGATCCTATTGTCAGTTACCAGTGGGCGCAGCTCAGCTCATTCTATATCCCCAACACGTTCAAGTCTCTCGCCGACTACCGCAAGGACAATCTTCAGGCTTGGGCTGAGATTGAGAAGGCGGGTCGACCTCTTGTTTATGGAAGCGATTGGCCTGTAAGTATCGCCATTTTTTTCATGTCTGAGACATGTCTAACACAAACAGATTGATCCTCTCGATGAGTTCCTCGCACTCAAGGTCGCCGTCACCCGCTCCGGTGATCCTCAGAACCCCAACTCCCCCGCATCCCAAGGCCCTCCCTTTGACGCAAAGTTTCCCGGCAACGGGATCTCCCGCACATCCGCTCTTCAATCCATCACCATCAACGGTGCCCGTTTCCTCCGCGCCGACAAGCAGATCGGCTCTCTAGAAGTAGGCAAGCTCGCAGACATTATCATCCTCGAAAACAACTTCTTCAAGGTCCCCGAGTCCAAACTCGGCCGCCAGAAGGTTCTGCTTACCATGGTCGGCGGTGAGGTGGTTTATGTGGCTGACGGGCAGAACTTTGGCGTCAAGGCCAAGTTCCCTAACGACGACAAGACCAGCGCTAAGCTCGCCCGCCGAACTATCGGCGGCTTCAACGCCAACGCGCTGTCAGAGAGGGCCAAGGCCGATGCGGCCAAGCTTCGAAAGCGCGGCACTTGCGTTCATAAGCATTAGGCCAGAGTTAGCAAGATGGGCTGACAGGACATGTATACGAGTCACTACATTACATATAGAACTTTTAATAATTGAAGCAATTTACAAGATGAACTGATGTGCTGGTACGAAGCGTAACAATAGTCTTCTTGGGTGCAGAGTCTCGAAGAACAAAGCAACCACAAGATCCGAGTCAACTCCCTTGTCCCGCTGCACAATCTATCGGCTGACTGCGGCCGATCACAAGGATTCACCTGCAGAACCAACAGGTACGCGAAATGGTTGCTCTCGTTCAGGCTCGTTTATGAGTTCGGGCCTATCGGGGGTACAGGAAGACTGTTGGTGCGCGTGTGATTGTCAGCCAATATTAACAAGGAGGACCCGGCACATATCTGCATCGACGGGCAGGATCCGCTGCATCCGCCTATCGGTCTATCCCAGTTCTGGAACACACTAACGCGAAACTTTACGACATTTGTTGGTGATAACGGCCCAGAAGTGAGCTGGCGATATTGCGGCTTTGAGTAAGGGGTAGGGATTTCTGGTTAGGCCATCTGTTCGTTTTAGTACGTAGTCGGAAGAAGACCAACAGGAGTTCCGATATTGAGACATTGTCCGTGGGTACTTTGCAGATTGACCCTTTTGCTTAGACGAATCCTCAAAGACAGGAGTGCGATCTCTCAGGATGTGACTTGTTGCTTTTCAGCTCTGTTGGTTATCTGCTTTTTGGCTTCAGTTGTGGCTAGATCCCCGACTCATGCAGATTCTTGGCAATAAACGTGGATGATCGACTGATATCACATCACATCAGGTCGATCATTTTCTCGTCCCGACTCAGCTCAGCTCAGCCCTACTCAATCTTCGGAATGAAGGCTTTGTTTTCGATATCTCGGTTCCGCAATGAGTCTCGACTAAAGCCAATGGTGCGACTTTCACCCACTGAACAAACAGGGCTTGAAGATGAGACCCAATGCGTTAAACTCGTCACGTAACGAGGTTCCACTTCAAGCGAGGTGCCCGTAGCGTGAACTCTAAATGTTCAGCCCGAAGCCTTTAGCGGGCGCCACTTGATAAGCTTACAGCCAAGCTCAAAAATATGGGGGATTTCCGCCAGTCCACGATTGCCAGGATTAGCCTTAGCCTTGGCCTGAGATATCGCCGGCTTTATTTTAGGGATTTTATCATCTTTATCCCCAGCAACTTTTGTGACGATCATTCTGCGTTTTCGTCTACTCTATTACATTACATTACATTGCATGGTCCGAACCGAAACCATAAACACTCCTTATTCGTTTGCTTTTTTGTTTGTTTCTGTTTCTGTTTAATGCTGTAGTTTCGCCTGGAGTCTCACAATGGTCTCTGCGCCGTCAGGCGCCGCTGTGCTGGTCTGTCCCCTCTAAAGTAACCCACTGAATTTAGCCTCTAATCCACCACTTTAGGCAGTGAACTTCATTCTTATTACGCTGGCCGCTGCCATCATCGGTGCTCGAATCTACCTGCGACTCGCAATACAGAAACAAAAGCTCGTCGCTGCAGATTGGTTACGGGTTCTAGCATGGATATCGGCATTTGTTACCGCGGCGTTCGACATCATTTACATGAAGGAGGATGTGTTGAGGCCCGAGATCAACTACACCCTTGTTAATTGGGATGTCCCGCCAGAGAAGCTATCGAGAGTGCTACGGGTGAGTATCATCATAACGAATCCAAACAACATGAAGCTTATGGTATTATAGTACATGTGGGCCAGTGTCATTCCCTTCTTCGTGACCTTCTACCTCTGCAAGGCATCACTTCTCGTGGTATATCTCCAGCTGTTCCCACCGTTCATGACCAAGAGAAGGATCGTTCTTTGGGGTGTCGTTGGTTATTGTGTATGCGCATTGATCGTGTCACTATGCCTGCAACTATTCCTCTGCTTTCCGATTAGACGAAACTGGTAAGCCGTTTACATTGTCCTTCCTCAAACTCTTCTAACTCATACGTAGGTCGATCTTGGGACCAGAGCCATTCTGTGACGACTTTGCTTTGGTCACTACATTCCAGGTTGCTTGGACGCTGCATTTTGTTGGAAGTCTTTTGCGTAAGTCTTCCAGCCCTGTTAGGACTCACTGGTACTAATACTTGTACAGTCTTTGCTCTACCATGGCTAGTTCTTTATAAGCTCAACATGCGGAAGAGGGTCAAGATCGGT